TGGGCATTCAGCGATTGGGGAGATTGGGTAAGAGGAGGGTGGAGGCGTAATTGGACCTCTGGTAACCGCACTCACACGACGAAACACCACACAAGCGTTGTTTCACGTCGGTTTTCTGTGAGGCTGTGTGTGTGTGTGTTTGTGTGGTTACATTTACTCAACGATACACAACGCAAGCGTTGTTTCACGTCGGTTTTCTGTGAGGCCGTGTGTGTGTGGATACACTTAGTCAACGATACACAACGCAAGCGTTGTTTCACGTCGGTTTTCTGTGAGGCCGTGTGTGTGTGGATACACTTAGTCAACGATACACAACGCAAGCGTTGTTTCACGTCAGTTTTCTGTGAGGCCGTGTGTGTGTGGATACACTTAGTCAACGATACACAACGCAAGCGTTGTTTCACGTCGGTTTTCTGCATGCTTTGCTAGAATACGCCATACTCCGGCCGCCCCGGTATGGTCATATTGAGACACGGGATTATAGTAACTGAGCGATATGTAGTTGATAATTAATAAAATGTTAATATGAAAACATAATGATATTGGTTTACCAATAAGCACATACATAAAATATGTAGATAGATGCTGTTTTGTAACTTTTAGTTGGCCTTGTTGGTGAGATAACCACACAGGAGATTGGCAGAAGTCTCATAAATATCTCTGACTAGCTACTGCCACGCGGTTTCACGCGCTCTGCTCAGCTCCTGTTGGTCGTAGCGTGATGTTTTATGGCCTATAGTCATCCTCGATAAATACGCTATCCAACACAAAAATAATTATTTAAAACAGACTTGTAGTTACGTTAAGTTAATCGTTAATTGATTTTATGACCAACTTAATTTTAACATTTTTCCAAGAAATTTTTTAAGAAATAAGTATGCTATTTGACGCTAAAAAACATGACGTCATGCTGTCGTTTTCGACAGTTTGAAAAAAGTAATGAATTTGACTAGTTCGTGATTAAACTGAAAATCTATCATAGATTAATTTCTCACTCATTTCGAACTAAAATAAAAAGTAGGTATTAAGTTAAACTGATCCTTCTGTTTCTTAACTGCATAGTAAAAACAAATGGTATTGATTGTACCTCTCACAAGCCATTACATTAAAACATCGTAAGTAAGACTTAACTTTGTCATAAGCAGTGTAAGTAGTTTTAAACTTTAATTAACAATAATAATGTTGAATAGCTTATTGTTCAATTTCATTTCTGTTGCGTATTTTGCGCGTAAAAAGTGAGAATGTTTGGATTGTCCAAAAATAAGTGTGGGAGAGCCATGGTCGGCACGAATGGGCCGGCTCGACCGGAGTGATACCACGGCCTCACAGGAAACCGACGTGAAGCAACGCTTGCGTTGTGTTTCGTCGTGTGAGTGAGGTTACCAGAGGCCGAATTACCCTCCCCTTCCCCAATCTCCCCAATCCCTGAATCTCCAACGATTCTCAAACTCCTATCCCCAAAAGGCCGGTAACGCACTTGTAACGCCTCTGGTGTTCCAGGTGTCCATGGGCGACGCCGATTGCTTACAATCAGGTGATCCGTCTGCTCGTTTACCGGCTAATGCCATAAAATAAAATCAGTTTTAAAAGTACCTATAATAATTTGACATTGCAAAAAAATGAATTCATTTATCATTTGTTTTTATTTACAAACTGCCTCGTTGGCCGCGTGGTCGCAAGTGCGACCGCCGGGTCCGATCCCGGTACGGGCAGAGTATTATTGTTTTTTTTTTAAATGCTCCGTTGTAGCATTGAGTGTTGTGCCCGGTATATGGCAATAGGCTCACCCCCTATTACATGGGACTCATAACATAAATAGTGACAAGTCAGGTACATACACATAAAAATAATTGCTTACATACAGCAGATACTTTTTTTAAACGTTGCCCCACATTAGGATTTCCTCCTGTATCGTGTGTGCGTTTACAAACATACAAGTTCACATACACATCACACACAGACCCGGAACAACAATTTGTAGATCACACAAAGTGTTGTTCCGTGCGGGAATCGAATCCGCGACACGTTGCACGGCAGCCGGTTGCCCAGCCACCGCTCCAACCTTGCACCAATAGTGGTTTGGTTTTAAGTATTTAATGTTGCATTTCCTGCTATTTTTTGCTACACAGAATGTTAAACCGCAATGATTTGAATCAGATAATAATGTAATGTATGATTTATCATCCGGAACTGTTCATAAATGGATTATAAAAAAGATCTCCTCGTTTGGTTTGGTTTCCTGGTACCTTAATTTTGTTTTTAATGCTAGGGTATGTAATTATGTAGGTTTTGCGGTTCAAACCTGAGTTGGGTAAAGAGTTATATTAGGATTATTCAACAAAAAGTTATTGTGTGGGAATCTTGCAAATAATAATAATCATTTATTTCAGACCATGTCCATATTCTTGTTAGTAACATTGAACTTAAAAACTAATGTTAGTACACATTATATATTATGATTTAATAGGTCAATATACAAGAATATACAATATACAAAAATAGATACAGACAGGACAACACAAAATCATGTCATTATGTCATGTCAAATGACTGGTACTCTAATACAGTGTTTAATTGGGTAGTTTCCCCTGTCAAAATAAATAAATAAAACAAATAAAATAAAATCTTTATTCATTATAAGAAATTGGTCATAGTACAGATAAAAATCTTAATTTTAAATCAGATACCTCACTAGGTTTGAATGCCTGTACTAGGAAAAATATCCTGTATCACAGGCGAAAGGAGCACACACAATGTTACTAATTCTAGGACAAGTTATTTATATAAACAAATTCCGTAACATAAGTAATAGATCAAAAGTAAAGTAAAGTTGATTATTTAATATACATACATACATACATACACACTAAACAACATACGACTAAATATTAATATTATCGTATAAGTACATTTATTAAACAAGTAATTATATTAGCTTAAATACAAAACATAGAAAAATAATCTATTTAGGTTAGGCTCTTCAATAAAAACAAAATATTAAAAAATAATCACACTTTCATTCATTATTTTGATACTTAACTTAATTTGATATTTGTTTATGCAAGAGTATGCTAATTAACGCAATGACGTCACAAGCTTGTATATCTCATATGAAATCCGTGAAAAAGTATCGTTTTTGACATTTCGATAAAAGTAAATATTGAATTGTCGTGGTGGCCCGGAGGCTTCTCATGAGGGCGCGGGTTCGAAACCTACTTACGGCAAGTACCAATGTCACTTTTTCCGAGTTATATGTACTATCTAAGATTATCTAGACACCACTGACAAACGGTGAAGGAAAACATCGTGAGGAAACCTGGGCTTATAATTTCTAATTATAAGTTTGAAATCGCACACCCGCCTTGAGCGAGCGTGGTGATTAATGCTCAAACCTTCTTCGTGTGAGAAGACGCTTTGCTCAGCAGTGGGCACTTATAGGCTGTTGAGGATGATAAGATATTGAATTTAAGTAGTTTTCCACTATCTTTGCTTAAATTTTGAGTTCGATTCCCGGGTTATAAAGATTTTTCATTGTTTACTTTCTAACTAACGTCACTGTGTTCATAAGCCTGATTGATAAGAAAAAAGAATCAACTTGCAAGTCAAAGAAAAGAATCTTAGTTTCATCCACTTTCGATATTCTTAGTGATACTTAACTCGTATTTTAGAAAAAAATAAACAAAATTATTTTTACCCGGCCCGAGAATCGAACCTAAGACCATTTGCTCAGCTACCTCGCTTTTATCTACTCGACCAACAAAGCCATAATACACCATGCAATCTAAATATTTGGGCCGTAGCCAGTAAGAACCACATTGCCAAAATGGGGTGAATCAATAACTAGTTTACTGTAGTGTTCTGTCGGTACCCTTACTGGATAGACTTGTGATATATCCTTGTTTTAATATCTAGATATTTTTGAGGAAATGTTAGGTAATTAAGCTTCTAGAATTATATTTGTATTTTATGGTATAAGCCGGTAAACGAGCAGACGGATCACCTGATGGTAAGCAATCGGCGTCGCCCATGAACACCTGAAATACCAGGGCCGTTACAAGCGCGTTAACGGCCTTTTGCGGATTAGGAGTTTGAGGATTGGGGAGATTGGGGAAGAGGAAGGGGGGGGGGGGGGTTCGGCCTCCGCTAATCTCACTCACACGACGAACCACAACGCAAGCGTTGCCTCACGTCGGTTTTCTGCTCGGCCGTGGTATCACTCCAGTCGAGCCGGCCCATTCGTGTCGAAACATGGCTCTTCCAAACTTGACTTGAGGTTTGCCTATAGCTTCGTTTGTCCATAACAAATCCGTTTTTCAAATCATAATATTCAAGATTTTCGAGTTAGTTTGACGAGTTAGTTAAAAACCTCAAATCTCCCATAGACGGCAAATACTAACTTTGTAGGAACAGTCGTTTTTACTATTATGCATACGATACATTACGTAATTCGGCACGCCCCAGTTGCGATTCCATTTATCAATATTTCAAATACAAGTCATCAAAACTGATTCAGCCGTTTGTGTGCAAGGATAAAAGATACGTGTTGACGTTCAAAAGTGCCTTCCTGGTCTAATTGAAATTAATAATTTTGACTTTCACTTTTATCATCCTCACTCTTATTTTCAGAGACTGCATGGCGCATGCAAACCATTTTCGACTTAACTAAAAGTAGTAAAAATAAATATAAAATTTTTTTATTTGTTCGACACAAATCAACTTCATTTCATATTTTTACTGTCCATACTCCTAGTTTCTTTTGATCCGTACAGTCCAACAATATCCAGTTACATCCCTATTTAAAAAAATTCAGGGATCGCATCGGTATGAACAGCGACAACCACTTATTACCATCAGATAATCCGTCCACTAATATCTCTTTTCTTGTCTGTTAAAACACCGGCTCCCGGTATACACACATTATACCCGCAACTGTCAACAAACAAGAGAATAAAACACATTTTAAATCTCAATTTTTCATCTTTTCAGAAACCGCAACCACCATGTCTTCAGAGAAGATTCTCCATGAGGATAATGGGTCTTCCTCAGGGTCCTTGAGGTCTGACGACAGTGACAGCAATCCGGACAGTGCCTCAGACTCCCTGAACAGCCTTTACAAAACCAATGATAATACTTGTGCCGAAAACTGCATTGAAGAAACCAAATGCGAGGTGAACAAGAAAAGGGGAACGTGTTGCAGTAAGTTTGTTTCTTATTTTGGATTTTTTTATGGAATAGGAGGCAAACGAGCAGACTGATCACCTGATGGTAAGCGATCAATGCCGCCCATGGACACCTGCAACATCAGAAGAGTCACAGGTATTTGCCGGCCTTTTAAAAAAGAATACGCTCTTTTCTTGAAGGTTTGAAGGTCGTATCGGTTCGGAAATACCGCTGACGACAGATCATTATCCACAGTTTTTCTGTGTGAGGCAGAAAGCTACGAGAGAACCGCACAGTTTTGGCCTGCCAACCATCTGTCGTGAGGGTTGATGGCGAAAAGACGCCGCAGGTATCAGATCAAACATTTCCTCAGAGCACTCCCCGTGGTATAAGTAACTTAATTTTAGTTGTTGTTAAGTTGGTTTTTGATTGGCTTAATTGTGTTCGTAAGATACACAAAACACCGCTAATTAGTTCGCAGCGCTACACATCGACACTACTATCATTTACACAATATACATGTGTAGGTAATTTCATATTAATAGATATGTATAGAAATATTCGTCTATCACACACATCTTGGTATTTAAATATCATTTTTGTGTCGGTATACGTAATAATTTAGTAAATAAGTTTGAATAAAAACGAGGGTAAAGATAAAATAACTTATAACAAACTTTGAACATTGCAGTGGAACGTGTTTTAGGTGGGTCCCATCCCCGAGTTAGGCACACTGTAATAGTAACCCATCACAATCCTTTTCTGGACTATGGGACTTCTCTACATTTACCATAATCTCCACCTTTGGCATGTGGGTTGCAGATCGTAATTAGAACATTCAGTTTTATCAAACAAATATGTTGCCAGGTCTCTGTCAAATGTGTAGTATCTTAATCAGGACACCCGCAAATCTATGTTTATTTTCCTCAAGTTACCGTTCTAAAGTTACCTTTAGTAGGTATCCCGAAAATGGGAATTTGACGGCGGTGGTTACTCCCCGTATTTTATTTATTTATTTAGTCTTTAATGTACACAATTTTATTATGACACATAAGGCGAACTTAATGCCATATGGCATTCCCTACCAGTCAACCTTAGGGTTTAAGTAGAAAATCTGCGAAAAATATATTCAGAGGTCTAACGATAATATATTCTGGGTCTATTTAACGAGGTCTCGTATTTCCATTCGAGACCTCGTTAAATCATCCCGGACATCACATGAACATCTAAATCAGTCGTTGCGGTTAACGAGAAGGCGGTAAAGAAACCTGACAGCGGCATAAATCCATTCAAGTACAATAATATTAGCGGTTTACCAAAACGTATAATGCCAAAATGTAATTCTAATTTCTTGGGTCAATAACCACATTAATAAAGCCTTCAACATTCGATTTTAGTAGTAGCCTTTCGAAATTTAAAGCACCTGCATTTGTAAGGTTCAAATGCAGATTGAATTTTCGAAATTAATCGCCTTGTCTGCCGTGGTCATGATAAATGTTCACATGGCGGACGACCTAACGGGTTACCGGGGCTCCAGCTCAAAGCAAGAGTAGGAGCGGGGTGGTGTTAGTCAGTAACAGTCTGACACTTCCTCTCGCCCCACCGAAGGCGGGAGAAGTCAGTGATTGATTTGCCCCCTCAGAAAAAGCTCGTAACAAACATTAAACTGTCAAACACCGCGAGGACACCGGTGACCGCAACCTATTGTTCTTTAATTGTGTCTATAATGACGGTACTCAAAGTATCATCATCAACAGCCTATAAATGCCTTTTCTCTAACGGAGAAGGTTTGAGCATTAATCACCACACTTGCTCAATGTGGTTTGGTGATTTCAAACTTATAATTGGAAATTATACGCTCAGGTTTCCTCACGATATTTTCCTTCACCGTTTGTCAGTGGTGTTTTGATAATCTTAGAAAGTACGTATAACTGGGAAAAAGTCACATAGGTACTTGCCGTTGGTAGGTTTCGAACCCGAACTCTCATGCATGAGAAGCGAGCGTCTTAAACCTCCGGGCCACCACCATATATTCACTCCATGGTAGTAAGAGACCACTGGTCAAGTCAAATCGGCAACGGGAAACCCAGTGTCAGACTGCGCCAGACAATCCACAAACAGGGAGAGATGGCGGGAGATCGTGAGGAAAGCTGTATCGGCCGCCAACACAAATACGGCCGCCTCAACGTGACCACGACCGCTCTGCCAAGAGCGAAATGACAGAGAAGAGTAGAGATCAACGACAAACCGCCACCGACTCCGATCTCTCTTGGCCTCTTCTCTTTGGTTTGCATGTTCACAGTCATGTAAACAGCAGCTTACCTATGCAGATTGAATTAATTAACATTACGGATTGGTGCATTCAATTATTTACTAGGATATACAAAGTATGAAATAAATCATAGTATTTTCAATTTAATTTAGAGGAAAGGTCAGCAATTACCTAAACAGTTTAACATGAATCAGGTTTAAAATTGATGATGTTTTTTCCTATTGTGGCATAACTGGAATGCGGGTGTAAATGCAAGGAAAAATTAATCAAGATCCACCAGGATATTACATACATAATTATATAACTGTATGCTATAAATAAACTTATCTTTTAATTGTGGGAGAACCAGGCTTCGGCACGAATGGGCCGGCTCGACCGGAGTGATACCACGACCTCACAGAAAACCGACGTGAAACAACCACAGCGTTGTGTTTCGTTGAGTGAGTGAGGTTATCGGATGCCCAATCCCTGAATCCCTAACAATCCTCAAATTCCTAATCCCTAAAAGGCCGGTAACGCACTTGTAACGCCTCTGGTGTTTCAGGTGTCGATGGGCAGCGCCGATTGCTTACCATCAGGTGATCCTTATGCTCGTACCGTATGCTCGGTAATCCCATAAAAAACAAAGGGTATGAAAATTAAAAATCTAATTAGTCCGTAAGTTAGGTAGTGAAAAAATATTAGACACGTATTTTTTTATTTTGTCGTTAATAAAACAATACTTAGATAAAACGAATCATTTTAGGAGTGGGGGCTAAAACGTCATTTCTACGTCTAAAATGTACATAGAAGTGACGTCACGCGACATTTCAAATCGACATATCGTCGAAAGTATACGTTTCTGCAAGAAAAGAAAAAATACGTGTTTAATGATTTTAAATAATCTACCAGACGGACATTAAAATAAAATTAGGCATCTACCCTATTGCTCGTTTATTAGATAGATGAAAGTGACTCAAGCTCCTTTCATATCTTGAAGATGACGTCAGATGACTTCTATGTCACCAAACGTCATGAATGACGTCAAAAAATCATTTAAAGATATTGAGGTCAGGATGCTAAGTATTAATCTTTAATTGATGGACCGTTAAGGAAAACCACCGTCGCCGAGGTTTGTAATTGGATGGGTGAATTAACATACAATAGAGGATGAGATCGTCAGCTGTTTTGAAATAGATGACCTGGATTTTTTTTGGTCTGACCTTGAACTTTGCAAATGTAATGGATGATTATAAAAGAACAACACATAACATAACATAACATCACGCCTTTTATCCCCGAAGGGGTAGGTAGAGGTGAACATTATGCTACTGTACAATACAATGTAACACCTACCTTTCACTATGTATGTTATAAGTCCCATGTAATACCCCTATTATGATTTATTATGTGAGCCTATTGCCATATACCGGGCACAATTCCAGACTTCGTGCTACTACTGTGAATTTTTTGAAAAACCCAGTTTAACTTGCCCGACCCGGGAATCGAACTCGAGACCCTTTGCCCGTCAGTCGCACTTGCGACCACTCGGCAAATGAGGCAGTCAATATTTATAACCTTTCAAAATAAGAATATCCTCTAGACTCACCTCTATCTACCACTTTTTTAAAATTAGACACAATACCTTGTCTATTCTACTAAACATAGTATGAACTAATTTTCAACTATGTATACCATAAACATCACAGGTCGGTTCATTTAGTATTCATATTGAGATGTCTCACTATACATAAGGTTCCTGACCTCGCTGGAGTACATTATGTAAATCATAATTATATATACGATGTAAACATAGCTGTTATATACTTTAATTTTGTTGTTAAACATTGTATTATAACTTTCGTGAGACATACTACTAATGGGCTCTCTCTCTCTCTCTACTCTACTCTACTCAGTGCGACAGTCGCCTCGTCGCGGGTCGCGAAATGCTGCTCATGAATATGAGCCTCTAGTATGGCTTGAAACTAGTCGAGTTCCTCGTCAAATAATTACGCGAGTAAGCTAAAAACATAATAATATATTTAATTAAGTAAAAACGCGGGTTACTCACGTGAATATACTGAGAAAAGCTCTACTAGTTTCGAACCACAGAGGGATCCTTACTCATGAGCAGCGTGCGCGGTCGCGGCGACGTCGCGACCGCGACTCACGAGCTCACTTTTCTCAGTATATTCACGTGAGTAACCCGCGTTTTTACTTAATTTAGTATGTCTCACGATAGTTATTATAAAAACATAATAATATATTGGTTAAATACTGTTTTTTTATTCAACTACCGGTAGCAACAAAGCTACGGTCGGCCTGTTAATAGGGGGACCAGTACCGCCTTTACCACAACGGCATTCAGGGCCCATAAGTAGTGCCCGGGGTAGGTCGTGGTATCCCAGACGTTTACGATGCCCGCCTCTCATGCATGAGGTCGCAGGCTCGGAACCCCAAAACAGCAAGTATCAGCAGATTGTTGGGGATTCAGGGACTGGGCCTCTGGTAACTAACTTCACTCACACGACGAAACACAAGTGCAACGGTTTTCTGCCGTGGTATCACTCCAGTCGAGACAACCCATTTGTGCTGAAACATGGCTCTCCCACACGTGGCTACCGGGGTAGTTCAATGAAACCCCACACTCCCCAAATTTTTTCCACAAAAGCTAAGCGTCTTTTGAAGTTTCTCCCCATATGAAAAGAAAATAAGGTATCACATGGCTTTGTTGGCTATGTACCCACGAATCTGTTTGATTGTGTCATCATTTTCGAAGAGCAGTCCTCCGTGAACTGTGTTGGTGCGGTGGCTGGGCAACCGGCTGCCGTGCAACGTGTCGCGGGTTCGATTCCCGCACGGAACAACACTTTGTGTGATCCACAAATTGTTGTTTCTGGTCTGGGTGTCATGTGTATGTGAACTTGTATGTTTGTAAACGCACCCACGACACAGTAGATAATCCTAGTGAGGGGCAAAGTTTAAAAAAAAAATTGGGAATCTCATATCCTCAATTGACCCTTATTGGAGGGAGTAAAGGCAACAAATGACTTTTCCCGTCCTGGGCGAGAGGGAGTGTCCGACTCTTACTGACTAAAAACCACCCCGTTCCTTCTCCTGCACGTCGAGCCGGAGCCCCGGTTACCCGTTAGGTTCTCCGCGACTCCGAATCGGCATCGGCCCTAATGAGCCCCATCTGTGGTGGTCTGATGGCTCTTTGAGGCGCGCGCGGAACGCGACGCGCCGTACGCTCGGGTCTGTTTCTGGTCGGACGGGGAGCCACCCATGCTCGCCGTCCGCAGGCCCGCGCTTACGGTGGCCGGAGATCGTCCCGCGATCCCCGACGCCCGGTGTGTCCTTCGCGATGGCTGGGTTGCGAGGAGGCAGCGCTTCGCTGCCTCACGCGTCCCGCCTCCTCCTTAGCTAGCATGACTGCTTCGCAAAAGGAGGAGACGGCATCCCAGTCCCCCTCGCTCCGCATCATGGCCTGCACTAGGCCCGGACGCGAGAGGTTGCCATCGCCGATCACTTCCCTGAGGGCACGGCGGTGCTCAGCCCACGCAGGGCATTCCGCAACGGTGTGTTCCACCGTGTCCTCAGGGCGGTCCTCGCAGTGATGGCACCCGGGCGTTTCCTCCCGCCCCATCAGACACAGGTACCTCCCGAAACTTCCATGTCCGGTGAGGACCTGCGTCAGGCGGTAGGTGAGGACGCCGTAGGACGCCTTTTATCACCGAAGGGGTAGGCAGAGGTGCACATTATGCCACTACAATGTAACACCCACTTATCACTATTTATGTTATTAGTCCCATGTAATAGGGGGTGAGCCTATTGCCATATACCGGGCACAATTCCAGACTCTGTGATACTACTGAGATTTTTTTTTAAACTCAGTAATACGTCAACAAATACAAAATAAATAATAGTCTATCAATCAGTCCATCAGTGAAGCTAGGTGAAGCTAGGTGCTCATTCCAAAATGTAGATTCGAATGGAGAAGGACGAGCAAGAAACTCCATTCGTTACTCTTTTTTAAAAGTATGTAGTAGGTACAGGATTATCTATTTAAATTAGCAACCAAAATCCACTAAGGTAGGTATCTAATATCTTCTGCACTGTATGTTAGTTCAATAAAAAATCTCTTGCACTGTACTTCTATGTGTGTCCTTGAATCGTGATCGACATTATATACACAGGAATTTAAACTTTACACTGTATTGTTGCCAATTGATCCATCTGTTTGGCAGTCCCGTTACTATTTATGGGTGTGGTTATGTCCAGAATTTACTTGGAAATGTTGAAATTCTACACCGACCGAGTCATAGTCAAAGTCTACTCAAGTCAAACCACAGAATAATAATGGTAATGAATACTACTCAAAACAATATAAGGGCCACCCTGTTTTTAGGCTTTTATCAAAAAGCATTAATGTGTTTCTGGTTTTTAACAACAGACGTTGGACTAGGTATTAGGGCATTGTTTAGACTTACTGAATCTCAAAAGTTAGTAATGCTTTATTTTAGTAACTACTTATCAGCTCTTGAGTTGCTCTAAGACAAATATAAGAAATTTACGATGGTGAACTTTATATTGTTTTGAGTAGTTTATATTTATTTGCCAGAAACACGGTAAATACAGAGATGTTGTATAAATATTTTTAAAATAGACCAACATATTTCGCCGTCATTGCGGCATGCAAATTACACTGCAGAATAATTCTGACAAGACTTATGTAACTGAATATTGTATTGTGAACCTGATTGAAAAAGAGTAACCTATGGAGTTTCTTACTCGTTCTTCTCCATAGGAATCTACAACTTGGAATGAGCAAATAGCTTCACTATTGAGTTTTTTTATTGACGTTCAAAATTGTCTTTCTGGTCTAATTGAAATAAATGATTTTGACTTTTTGACTATTGACAAATAAGTAGGTTTTTTTTGTATGGCATAAGCCGGTAAACTAGCAGACGGATCACCTGATGGTAAGCAATCGGCGTCGCCCATGGACACCTGGAACATCAGAGGCATTACAAGTGCGTTACCGGCCCTTTGGGGATTAGGAGTTTGAGGGTCGTTAGGGATTCAGGAATTGGGGAGATTGGGGAAGGGGAGGGTAATTGGGCCTCCGGTAACCTCACTCTTGTAAGATCAAACCAGAGGGGTCGCTAGTTCAATTCTAAATCATTATCCTATTAAGTATAATATCGGATTTGGCAGTCGAATGATTTATTGATTTAGTTACAGCTTTTTAAATTAAGTAAATAAAATATAAATATGGTATAAAGTTTTCGAGTAACCTAACGCTTGACTGTGTTATGTCGTTAGCCTCGCTACAGCTCATAATTATGAGCCCCAATCCGACTTGAAACTAGTCGAGCGTACCCGAAAAGTTTACAGAAGTAAGAAAGGGAGAACCATTGTAAATTAGACCTGGTTAGTGACATTAAAACTACCTACATACAATCAAAGTGTCGCGGAGAACCTAACGGGTTACCGGGGCTCCGGCTCGATGTGCAGGAGAAGGAATGGGGTAGTTTTTAGTCAGTAAGAGTCTGACACTCCCTCCCGCCTCACCCAGGCGGGAGAAGTCGTTTGATGATTCCCACCCCCCCCCCCCCTAAAAAAAATACAATCATAGTGTTACTTACACTATTCATGTCTCATATAATCGTTTTATTTTTCCAGGTCCCGTGGTCCAGTGCGTGTGGGGAGTCCTGCTGATACTACTCTCGATAGGCAGCTTTATATTCACGCCTCTAGACTTCATGTTACTAGAGAAACTGAACATGAGGCCTGGTAAGTAGATTTATCCTTATCTTTACCTTACTACTAATAAATTGGAAAGTGAGTTTGTTTGTTTGTTCCTTCCGATTTCACGCCGTAACTACTAAACCGATTTCTTTGAATTTTTGCAGACGTAAAGTTAGAAGTCTGGATTAAATAATAGGGTACTTTTTATCCCGGAAAAATTTGATATTCCCGAGGGAAAACAAAAGTATTGGTATAGATGGCGCTGTATGTATTGATATATGTCACATAAGCTACTTTTATCCTTTTGTGACGCGAGCGAAGCCGCGGGTAAAAGCTAATTAAAAATATTTTTTATATTATAACTTTCGTGAGACATACTAACTAAATTAATTATTATGGTTTCGGCTTATTCACGTAATTTTTTGACGAGGAACTCGACTAGTTTCAAGCCAAGCATAGAGGCTCATATTTATGAGCATCATTCCGCGACCCGTGATGATGGCGACTACAGACTCGTCTTCCAGGCACGTGGTAATGATGCGGAGCGAGGGGGACTGGAATGCCGGCTCCTCCTTTTGCGAAGCAGTCGTGCGAGGAAGCGGGGCGCGTGAGGACTTTCTTTCTCTCTCTCTCTCTTTCTTTCTTTCTTTCTGTCTCTCTCTTTCTTTCTTACTCCCTCTGTTTCTTTCTTTCTTCTTTCTATCTTGCTTAGCTATCGTAGTTGTCACCACTCGCCCGCGAGACAGTCGAATAACTCAGATGTTAGATAATAAGTTGACATTGAGACAGCGGGTCGCGTGTTTGATTATCACCTCGCTATTCAAGTTTAAGGTCATAAGCAGAGTGTTTGCTATGTCTAGGTTAAACAAAGCATTGTGACAAGATGGTTAGCGTTGACAAAAACTAAAACATAAATTAAAGGTAAAGATGCAATGAAAATTAATTTTAATTAATTGCTGAGTGAAGAGGATAGAGTACAAAATTTCCACATAATCCACCACCGCTACTCTTTCCGCGGGTATTGTATACCCGACTAAGGGTACACACATTTAACAGAGGCCGGGCAGCAATACTCTCTGATAAACCATGCTAGAGGCTCATATTCATGAGCAGCATTCCGCGACCAGGGACGCGACGACTGTCGTGCTGCTCCTCTGATAGTCGACTTCCTCGTCAAACAGTTACATGGCATTATGGCATAAGCCGGTAAACGAGCAGACGGATCACCTGATGGTAAGCAATCGGCGTCGCCCATTTACACCTGGAACACCAGAGGCGTTACAAGTGCGTTACCGGCTATTTGGGGATTATGTTTGAGGATCGTTATGGATTCAGGAATTGGGGAGATTGAAAAGGGGAGGGTAATTGGGCCTCCGGTAACCTCACTCACACGACGAAACAAAACGCATGCGTTGCTTCACGTCGGTTTTCTGTGAGGCCGTGGTATCACTCCGGTCGAGCCGGCCCATTCGTGCCGAGAATCATGGCTCTCCTACACTTAAAAAGTCGAAAACATAATAATTAATTTAGTATGTCTCACGAAAGTTATAATATAAGACAGTCAAATACCTAATATTGGTTTTTTAAATAAACATTTTAAATAAACATTAGATCATTCAGACATCATTTATTATCAACACGTTGTTAATTGATTATAAACTTTAATCAAATAGAAATATGACACATTTCAATGTTTTATTTACAAGGCTTCCTATATATTATGTAGCCGTAGCTATACTACATAACATCCAATGACACAATGTGAGGTAGGAGGGAATGTCAGACTCTTTTTGAGTAAAAACTACCCCGTTCCCACTTTTGCTTTTCGAGTCGGAGCCCCGGCAACTCGTTAAGTCCTCCGCGGCTCCGTATCGGCATTAGTTCTACGGGATCTGCGGTGGTCTGATTTCTCTATAAGGCGTGCACGGAACTCGATCATCGATGCGGCGTACGCTCGGATCGGCTCGCTTGCTAGGTAATTTCGACCATAAGTCTGCTTTCACGATACCCATGTGAAGAAGACCGATGGTGACACTCAATCAGCAATAATTACATAGAACTTTATGAAAATTGAAAATTCTATGTATTTCATAGAATTTTTTAACCAATTTCAATATGAAGTTCGCAGTTTGACCTGCATTTATAGATGTATGTATGTACAATTGTGTACTTGCCAACTAGTCAAATTCAATACTTTTTTCGAACTGTCAAAAGCGACAGTTTTCTATGATTTTAGTACGAGATTGTGTATTGTGACGTCACGATTTTTTAGCGCCGACCAGCTATTTCTTAAGAAAATGCTGTAAATATACTAAAATTAAGTTAGTCATAAAATCAATTAATGAAAGTGTGATTATTTTTTAATATTGTATTGTATTGAACAGTCGAAATAATTTATTTTTGATTAAGTAAACTACCGAATTATATTGCCAAAACCGATTTTGATGCGATTTTCGGAAAAGGGTTTGGTACATTTAGGAGAAGGTTTTAGTATATAAATTAACCGATCTAAGGTTTTGACTGCCAATAGAAAACTGTTGAAGGTAAATCCTCCGTTAGCGTCGGTTACCGGCGACCCCCATGGCGTTCAATGTGTTAAAAAAGGCCCTCCTTTTTCAGAAAAATCAAAAAAAGCTACTTCAACCCCCTGGTTGAAGTTGATTTTTTAACCTTAATTTTTACTTTCCCTTTTTTCTCCAGGCATGCCTCCCTACGAATGGTGGTCAGATCCACCTGATGAGGTCAAGTTGAGGACCTACGTCTTCAACGTGACGAACCATGAGAGGTTCCTTCAGGGACTTGATCAGAAGCTGAACGTGGAGGAGATTGGACCTATAGTTTATTTGTAAGTATTTTTATAATAACTATCGTAAGACACATTATCCTCACTTACATTATAAATCGGAAAGTGAGTTTGTTTGTTTGTTTGTTCCACTTTAACGCCGTAACTACTAAACCGATTGCTTTGAATTTTTACAGATGTATAGTTAGAAGTCCGGATTAAATAATAGGGTACTTTTTATCCCGGAAAAATTTGATATTCCCGAGGGAAAACAAAATTATTGGTATAGATGGCGCTGTGTGTATTGGTATATGTCACATTGGCTTTTTATCCTTTTGTGACGCGAGCGAAGCCGCGGGTAAAAACTAGTATTAACTAAAAATCGCGGGTCACTTACGTGAATATACTGAGAGAAGCTCTAGCTCGAGTAGAGAGAAAAGCTCGAGCGAGTAGGCTGCGCGACATCGCTATGACCGCACACACTGCTCATGAGGACGAACCCCTCTGTGGTCCGCGGGCCTGCGGACGGCGAGCATGGGTGACTCTCCGTCCGACCAGAAACAGACCCGAGCGTACGGCGCGTCGCGTTCCGCACGCGCCTCAAAGAGCCATCAGACCACCACAGATGGGGCCCAATAGGGCCGATGCCGATTCGGAGTCGCGGAGAACCTACCGGGTAACCGGGGTCCGGCTCGACGTGCAGGAGAAGGAACGGGGTGGTTTTTAGTCAGTAAGAGTCTGATACTACCTCCCGCCTCACCCAGGCGGGAGCAGCCATTCGATGATTTTCCCCCTATAAAAAAAACCCTCTGTGGTTCGAAACTAGTAGAGTTTTTTTCAGTATATTCACGTGAGTAGCCCGCGATTTTTATGTGTAAGTATGTTTAGAATTAAACTGTGGAATCAACTGGTGAACTGGTTAGTTATCAGGTTAAGATATAGTTGAAGTATCATCATTGCGATCACTAATTTGTAGTGGTTTTTGTTGTGAATCTTACATGTTTACATTACCTATACTAAAGTCGAAGTATTTATTTAAATTAATCCTTAAATAGCCACTCTTGAAGCGTCAAAAATTGAATTTGCCGTCCATCGTTTGACTGCACGGTTGGTGCGGTGGCTGGGCAACCGGCTGCCGAGCAACGTGTCGCGGGTTCGATTCCCGCACGGGACAACACTTTATGTGATCCACAAATTGTTGTTTCGGGTCTGGGTGTCATTGTGTATGTGAACTTGTATGTTTGTAAACGCACCCACGACACAGGAGAAAATCCAAGTGTAGGGCAAAGTTTTTTTAAAAAAAAAATCGTCTGCCAGTGAAGCTAGGCACTCATTCCAAAGTGTAATAGGCATGATGACAGGGTATGAAAATTAAAAATGTAATTAGTTCGTCGTTTAGATAATGAAAAAATATTAGACACGTGTTTTTCTTATTTTGTCCTGTAATAAAACAATACTTAGATAAAACGAATCAGGAGTGGGCGGTAGCTACGATATTTTAGAGTATAAATCGTACTCAAAAGTCCTCATGCGATATTTCAAATCAATATAACTTCGAAACTATTCGTATCCGTAAGAAAATAAAAAATACGTGTCCAATGTTTTTAAATAATCTTCCAGACGGACATTAAAATAAAAATGTATCATCTACCCTATTGTAATTCCTAACTTCAATTAATTAAAATAACATGTAGAAGCGCGGAGTCACATTCACATGACACCCAGACCCAAAACAACAATTTGTGGATCATACAAAGATTTGCTCCGTGCGGGGATCGAAACACAACGTGTAGTGGGTGCGTGTCCGTTGTAAGCATTGTCGGTCCTTCGGGGCGCTTTGAGAATGGGGGCTCTGGGCACGGGCCCCCAGTGCCCATAAGTTAAATACGGTACTGAACACATTCACTGCGTTACGGCAAGTATTTGGCCGTATTTGATTCTCAGCCAGTGCGGTAGCTCGTTGTCCTCGTATATCAGGAAACATAGATACGGGCAGCATTTGTGTCGTATCGCACTAGTAGAAAATTTAGATTTAACGCTGCCGCAGTGAATGTGTTAAACTGTCAAACACCGCAAGGACACCGGTGACCGCAACCTATTGTTCTTTAATTGAAATGACGGTACTCAAAGGGTTAAGATGAAACTCTACTTAAAAGTTTTCGTTTTCGGAAATCGTTAAAACCGCTTGCTATTTTCCGAGTAGTTAAACACAATAATGACTATATTTGACACAAAACTGAGTACAATCAAGTCAAAGCATTTATATTCATCAAGCACTTTTGAAATATCAAAGTTAATACGGTAGTTGACAGGTAGTCAAATTCAATACTTTTAATGAAATGTCACAAACGATACGTTTTTATGAATTTTGTATTGGATCGCTACTTATGACGTCATCATATTTCTGCGTCAAATAACATATTTATTTCCTTAAAATTAGCGAGAAAAAATCCAAAAGTAGGTAAATCGATAAATCAATGGATGAGAGTATGATTGTTTTTTAATTATTTATTGCATTAAGTTGGTCATGAAGACCAACTTAATTAGTATCAGTAACAGTCTGACACTCCCTCTCGCCTAACCCAAGGCAAAAAAAGACGAATAGATAATCTCCTTCTTTGCCGGACTTCAGTGTTCCGGTGTTTTCATGGTTGTATCTACTGTCGATCCTGGCTTACAGGAGTTGCAGCGGTTTTGGGAGGTTGTGGCGGGCTTATCCCATTAAAAATAACTCCTACTTTTTTTAACTCGTCGAGTACCGGTTTTATAGACACAATTAAAGAACAATAGGTCGCGGTCACCGGTGACCGCTTGGTGTTTGACAGTTTAAATCGGTTCAGATTACAGCGTAGATTAAAAAATCCAAGATGTCTAAACGATGAGGTCACAATACCTCATAACGGATCACGGATGGTAATGTCTTGTTTAAGGTCAGTGATGCAATGTGACGCACTCGGCCTGTGTGGTTTAATGGTCTAAGGTTCGATGCCCATATGAAGCGAGGCGATACTGTTATACTAACTATAAGTAACTTGACTGTTAACACGGTTGGCGCGGCAACCGGCTGCCGTGCAACGTGTCGCGGGTTCGATTCCCGTACGGAACAACTCTTTGTGTGGTCCACAGATTGTTGTTTCGAGTCTGGGTGTCATGTGTATGTGAACTTGTATGTTTGTAAACGCACCCACGACACAGGGGAATTTCCTAGTGTGACCAACGTTTAGAAAAAAAAACTTGAAAGAAAATAAAATAATTTATTTGCCATTAGGCTTGATGCAACAAATACACAGACATAAATATAAAGAAAATTCTACCCGAGATTTCCTAAGTAACAGTAGCTGTCGGTATGCAGCTTTTTAAATCATTGTATCATCGTGCTAATCAGTTGCCTCCATGTTTTTTGACCAAAATTAATTATAAATTGCTAACCTGACTTCCTGATTTGTTGTGACTATTAATTTATTGACTTTTTAATATATTACAATTTGACTACTGATACATAATGACATCTTAATTTTATGACATCTCTAATTTATTTTCTGACTTTACCTGTTTTAATATATTTGAATTGTTTCCAATAATAATAATAATAATTTCAATATAATTGTTCATTAATGCGACATAAATTAATATTGTTAATACAATTTTATATTTCTACACCGGTAACGGTAGTATGTGTGGAACTCTGTTAATTTTAAGATCTGTGTGCACCATGTACTGAGAAATAAAGGACATTCATTCATTCATTCATTCATTCATTCATTCATTCATTCATTCATTCATTCATTCATTCATTCATTCATTCAAAAAAAAACAATAAAAAGCAACAACAAAAAATAAATAATAATAAAAAAACAATAAGGTGGCGATATCGCTATGACGACAGGGCTCGCCAACTCAGTATGAGCTGGGCACAGTAAGTGCCCAACGCTGATTTTCACTTGACACCCCTGCAGCGACACGCGAAAAATGTTATAAAAGGCAAATACTACAATAATTACCCAATACAAATCATTTTGTAAAAAATAAAAAAGGAAAATTAAAGAAGAGAAGAAAAACTAATGTCGGAATACTCAGTCGCTACTGAATTTTAAGTCGCGCTTAAGTATAGTTTTGTCTCCAGAAATTCTTTGTAAAATGACAGAGATGGCACGATACTTAAGCACGACTTAAAATTGAGTAACGTTTTAGTATAAGACAGTTAAAACATAAAAATACGTAGGTACATACATAATAAATATATATCATGTACCGTCACCAAAGGAAAGTATAATTAATAAACTATATTTAGATACAAACATACTGTGGGTAGGTGTGAGGTCGTGGAGTTACCGTGCAGCCTGACACTTCCTGACAAGAATAAAAAATATTTATCAAAATGATCGCTAAGATCCTGACAAAAATATCACAAAAGTATTTAGACGAAAGAGGTTTATTTACAAACTCCTCGTCTTGTTGAAGAGCTCATAAAGGGCTGATCCGATTCTGATAAAACATAGCTAAAAATCACAACGAGGAACAAGGCTTTCGATTAAAAAACCATACAATCATATCATTTGGTTTCATATGTAGCGACACTAAAGTGTTGACATTTTTATGTGTTTTCAAGTGCGTAGCTGGGCCTGCAACCCTATATCGGACCAGTAGTTTCGGAGATTAGCGCGTTCAAACAAACAAACAAAAAATCAGCTTCAGCTTTATAATATTAGTATAGAAGTATAGATTTCACGCGAACGAAGTCGCGGGTAACAGCTAGTACCTATTGACTAAAAACCACCCCGTTCCTATTCCTGTTTCAAGCCGGAGCCGCGATATATAGCTATATTTTATATCTTACATCTATCTACACATTATAACCCGATTCTATAGTAACATTTAATGACTCCGAACACAAAATACAACTGCGGAAGTAACACAATAGGAATATGAATTGTTCATCTTAATTCTGATGCAATAGATGTTACTTTGTTATAATTTGTTGCTTTATTTACGTAACAAAGGAGGTTAGGTGTTAGATAAGGAATTATTGAGTGTTTTGTGTAAACTTCAACAGTCTATAGGCGCCCACTGTCGCGGAGAACCTAACGGGTAACCCGGGCTCCGGCTCGACGTACAGGAGAATGAACGGGGTGGTTTTTAGGCAGTAAGAGTCTGACACTTCCTCCCGCCTCACCCAGGCGGGAGCAGTCATTAGATGATTTATCCCCCCTTAAAAAAAAATTGGCGCCCACTAGTGAGCAAAGCCTCTTCTCACACGGAGAAGGTTTGAGCTTTCTACGCTTGCTCAATGAGGGTTAGCGATTTCAAACTTATAATTAGATATTATAAGCCCAGGTTTCCTCACGATGTTTTCCTTCACCGTTTGTCAGTGGTGTCTAAATAATCTTAGAAATTACATTTAACTCGGAAAACGTCACATTGGTACTTGCCGTTGGTGTTGGTAGGTTTCGAATCCACAGCCTTATATTTTTATAGTTTTCCCTTTATGTGGCCATTAAACCCTAAGTCTGTCGTGGAGAACCTAACGGGTTACCCGGGCTCCGGCTCGACGTGCAGGAGAAGGAACGGGGTGGTTTTTAGTCAGTAAGAGTCTGACACTGCCTCCCGCCACACCCAGGCGGGAGCAGTCATTCGATGATTTTCCCCCCTTAAAAAAAACTTATTTTTAACTTCTTTACAAAAAAAATTGCAGTGAATGGCTGACCTGACTTAACGCCTTTCTGACAGTCACCCATAGGGAAGTACAGTGCAGATATTTAGCATAATATTTAATAAATATCAAAATTACAAAATTAAGGACATTCTTTTATTATTTATTTAAACTGTCATACACCGCGAGGACACCGGTGACCGCAACCTATTGTTCTTTAATTGTGTCTATAATGACGGTACTCAAAGAGTTAATTACATTTCTTTTTGTTTTAGAGAAAAACTCCTCCACTCGAACGTTCGTTTCAACGAGAACAGCACGATGACGTACACTGCGAAGAGGTTCCCCATATACCTGCCGGACCTCAACAATATAGACCTTAATGCTACCATCATAGTGCCTAATGTCGGTGTTTTGGTAAGTGACCTTCGATTCGTTTACGTTTTAAAAAAACGTTGCCCCACACTAGGATCTTCTCCTATGTCGTGTGTGCGTTTACAAATATATACAAGTTCACATACACATGACACTCAGACCCGAAACAACAATTTGTGGATCACACTAAGAGTTGCTCCGTGCGAGAATCGAATCCGCTACACGTTGCGCGGCAGCCGGTTGTCCAGCCACCGCTCTAACCGGGCGGACATTGTATATTTAATTAACACAATTGAAAAAAAAAATAAACAAAATCAATGGAGACTAAATTTGTCTTTTTCTTATACGTACGTTTCTGTACGTTTACTACGTCACAGAAAAAAAACACACGAAGGAGGAATCGATGTTAAAACTATTTCAGTCGCCTGATCTCAATACCAACGCCATCTGTTATCGTTAAATAGAACTAATCAGCATGACAATTTTCTGTTTTAGACAGTAAAATATTACTGAATTTAGAATTTTACCCGCACGGACGTTGGAAAAGCTCATTATTTGGATTTTAATTAAATAATAAGTTTTTAAAATAAAAACTGTTAAATAAAATAAAATATTAAAAAATAATCACACTTTCATTAGGTAATTGATTTTATGACCAACTTAATTTTAATATTTTTCCAGCAAATGTTTAACAAATAAGTATGCTGTTATTATGCATACCTACACATGCAATAAGCATACTCGTACAAAATTATAGAAAACTGTCCTTTTGCAATATCTCCATAGGGGTGGTAAATTCAAAGACGTGTTGCTGCCAATAAGTCTGATTTATTATTGCCAAATTTCCTTATATTCAATAACCATACAACACTAAAGTACTTAAAACTATTCGCTGATTAAGCGCAACGTACCTTATTGTTTCTCAATCAACCTTGAGTTACAAAGATGTTCTTATGTCCTTACACGTCCCTCGAAAAAGTGGGGCTTCACCCCTTCCCTCAGGGAGAAAAAAAAATGTTGATCGATACTGCAATAAGTTACTTTGTAAAATATATTTTTTTTTTTTATCTTTCCTTTATAACATATAATTCAAATAATTTACTTAATCGTAAAACATCTTAGTTAAGTTCTTATGAATAACATATTCTTTATTATTCTTTATTATTTTTACATTAGGTGAAATGTCTTCTATAACCTCATACGGTCCAATATAAATATTATCTAATTTTGTACCTGTTTGATTTTTTATTAAAATAAGATCACCTTTTTTATAATGGATAGGAGACGAGTTTTTATCGTAAATATTTTTCCTTAAAAGTTTACATTGTAAAAGATTATTCCTTGCATTACAATGAGCTTTTTGTAGCCTATATTTAAGTTCTAAGGGATAGCTATCAAAATTATACAATGGATCAAAACTACTTTGTAAGTTACTTGGCAGATTACATAATTTTCCGAATACTAATTCATATGGAGTGTACTTTGTTGCTGAATGTACTGTGGTATTATACGAAAAACACCAAAAGTGTACCCAGTCAGACCAATCGCCTTTATTATTATTCCATTGTATTCTAAGAAAAGCACCTAAATGCTTATGTGAGTTTTCAAGGGATCCTAAAGTTTCATGGTGATATGGTGTTGAATTTAATTTTTGAATTCCTAATATTTGACAACATTCTTTTAAAACTGACGACATAAACTCACTGCCGTTGTCTGTTAAAATTTCTCGTGGTATACCATATCGTAGGATAAAATTATTTACGAACGTCCTAGATACTGTAACAGTATCCTTATGTTGAATAGGGTACGCTTCAACAAACTTAGACAAATCACACTGAATGGTCAAAATATACTTATTATTATAATTATCTACATCTAGGGGGCCCATTAAATCTAAAGTTATCCTCTCAAAAGCTGAACTAGGCGTAGATGTTACAGTCATTGGTTCCTTAACATTTTTATTAGTATGCTTTTGTAGTTGACAACTTTTACATTTTTTTACATACCTTATTACGTCACTACACATACCTGGCCAGAAATAGTATCTTTTCATATTACTGAGCATACGATTCATACCCGCATGGCCACTGCTGGGTAATAAATGAAAATCATTTAAAATAACTTTCTTTTTGTTATCATCACATATTTTTGTAACACCTTTTATTACAAGAAAACGAGGTAAATTAACTTGCAAGTTCTTTGTTTTACTCAATAAGACTTTAATAAAGTTGTCAGTCTTTTTATTCTTTATAATTATTAATTCTTTTATTTTTAATTGTTCACATAATTCACCTAAATCCCTCGCTAACACCTGTGGGGTCGATAACGATCGGGAGTTTAGATATATCGCAGATTGCGATAGAACAAATATGCAATATTTTTTATTTGAACCGACATTCTCTTTATCATTTAAAATATTATGAAACTTAATTTCATCGCATAAAACGAGCTCGATTACGTCATCAGGTTTCTTAAGAATCTCCACCGCTACAGGTTGATCAGACCTATTTACCGCGGGGCTCTCATAAGTCTGGTCATTGTCATTATTTAGCGCTAAATTTTTCTTTTGTTGTCTAGTTAAGACGTTGACAACATGTTCTTGCATATCTTTAAGATCTTTGCATGTTACAGGAATCCGACTCAATGCGTCTGCAGCCGCATTGCTTCGACCCGGAACATACTCAACCTCAAAGTCATACTCCTCTAAATATAAACGGAATTTTGTTAATCGACTTGATGGATCCTTTAAACTAAATAAATAAATGAGTGGTTTGTGATCAGTATAAATTTTAAATTTTCTACCATATAAATAAGGTCTAAAATGTTTGATTGCCCAAACAATGGCTAGTAATTCCAATTCAATCACAGGATACCTAGTCTCGGCTGGTTTCAAATTTCGACTTGCATAAGCAACTACTTTACCATTTTCATTTGATAGTATTGCTCCTAGACCAATTTTTGAGGCATCGGTTTGCAATTTAAACATGTTATTTTCTGAAAAATTTGGATATTCTAATACTGGTGGATTCATAAGTGCTTTCTTTAAACTCTCAAATGCTGACTGACATTCCGATGTCCAATCAAACTTTACACCTTTTTTACATAAAACATTTAATGGATAAACAATGGAAGCAAAACCTGATATGAAGCGTCTGTAATAATTTGCAAACGCAACAAAACGTTTCACATCTTCAGCACATACAGGTGTTGGAAAATTTCGCAATACTTCAATCTTTGCTGGATCGGGGAAAATTCCACTCGATGTTATTTTATGGCCCAAATAAACAATTTCGTGTCTCAAAAATTCACATTTAATAGGGTTTAATTTAAGATTTACTTCTCGTAGTCTATTCAATACACTTATGAGATTTTTGTTGTGACTTGATAACGAGTTTCCTATCACAATACAGTCATCCAGATAAATAAAACATTTTTTATAGTTAAGGCCCGCCATTGCAATTGTCATGAGCCTTGAAAATACGCTTGGACTGGTTTTGAGTCCCATTGGACAACGTTTCATTTGATACTGTTTTCCTGCTGAAAAAGCAGTGCATTTACGTGAATCCTGGTCCAGAGAAAGCTGATACATTTTATTGACACTAAATGAAGTATATTTTCGAGAATTATCACTAAGAGAAAGTTGGTAATAACTTTGTGAAAGGTCTAATTTTGAAAAATATATACTCCCTGAAAGTGAATCTAAAATTTCAGTTATATTAGGTAATGGAAACTTGTCATCCTGTATTTTATTATTCAACTGTCGGTAATCAACGACAAGCCTCCATTTCTTTTCATTAGATTTATCTGCTTTCTTTGGAACCAACAATATTGGACTCGACCACTCCGATGTTGTTTCCTCAATAATATCGTTTTCCAACATATCTTGAATTTGCTTTTCTACCTCGTGCTTAAGAGCATGGGGAATTCTATACGGTTTCTGATAGATAGGGGCTACATTATCCTTCAATTTAATAGTATGTTCCATTAAATTTGTGACTGATAATTTATCCCCTGGCAAATGAAACACATCTGCATATTTTGCACATATGTTTTCTATGTTAATTTGCTCTTCCTTATTTAGATAACTGACATCGAGCAAATTAAATAGTGTTTTAACACGTTCTACACTTTTACTCTCCGAAGTAAACTCACATACGTCATAATCGTTCAGAGAATAAACACCTATGTCAGATACATCTATCTGTATTTCCGTATTCCTTGTATTTAATATTCTAACAGGGATATGATTATTGCTAGGTTTTGCCAGTAAACCTGCAACAAAGACCCCTTCATGGATCTCCTTGGCCAATACGACTGTATCCTCACGATAAGCGCAAGGAATATAACTAATTACCTCACAACGTGGTGGGATTGTGCGAGTATACCTATTGTCAGGTTCAATACTCAAGTTAACCTTCTGGTCATTATGAGTTAAACATAAAGTCATTGTTTTATAATTAATTATTCCTCTATAATGCTTAAAAAAATTATCACCTAATATTCCATCAGCGGAACACCACAAGTTCTTAAAAACATAAAATTTTTGATTAAAAACTATACCATCGCAAACTAAATCTAAATAAAGAAACCCTTCAGAAATTAATGTTCCACTTACACCTTTTATTGTTAACCTATCATACTGAAGCTTATTTAATAGTTCCGTATAGTTAGACAACCATTCATATTTTAAAATACATAAACTAGCTCCCGTATCTACTAATAAATGAGCTAAGCCTCCATAATTTACGTTAATTAGTATTACGCTACTATTATTGTAATTAAAAATATATTGTTCATTAGTTTGTCGAACGAAAAAACTCATTGTTCGATGAGTTGCCGGTATTTGATTGCGAAATTTGTTCATTGTGTGGTCCGTCCGAAAAGTGATGCGCGTTGCTGACACGTGTGCGCGTTACCGAGAATCCGCGCCCCCGTGCTGTACCTCGGTAGGTTCCGCGAATATTACGATTACTTTTGTAATAAGTCACGGGTAATGTATTATTGAAATGCCTATAATTAAAATTAGATTGAGAAGGCTGATTCCGGTTTTGAAAATAATTTCTAGTCCCACGATGTTTGTTTGTAAAGCTACGTCTATTACCACGATCATTCTGGAAGCGTCTAACATTCATAACTGGGTTATTATCAGGAGAAAGCGTTTGTTCATCTACTGCTGCCCTAATCGCCTCAGGCAACGACTCAAATTGTCGAGAAGCCACAATCGTACTTAGACGGGGGTCACTTAGACCATCTGAAAAACGCTTTATTGCGATTTTTTCGTTGATCGGTCGCAATACACCAAACTTAGTATCGTCCCCATCGGCTTGAGCAATTGTCAAGTCAACGAAAAGTGTTTCGAGCACGTTACCATAATTTTCTATTGACCTATGTCCCTGTTTCGTAGTCGAAAGCTGCGATTGTATAGCTACTGCTGATTTTTTCTGAATAAGATGCTTACGCATGTCACTAACCAAACTTTCAACATTTCCGTACGTAGATTTTAGACGTAATTTGGCTCCTTCCGATAACCGAGTTTTAAGAACAAATTCAATTAATTGATTTTTTGTGTTATCAGTTATCATCGAAGCATACAATTGTATGCCGTCGATCAGTTGCAAGGTCACTTGCTCTTTACCCGTCATAACTGGTAATAAAGCTATGGCTGTTTTCAGGTTAAAAGATTCGTCTGCCATTTTTATCGACGACGACTCTGTACTAACAGTAATTAGATTTAAAATTTTTGAATAACATATACGTATTTCGGTAACTATAGAATTTATAGTCTTTAAGGTTTCTGGACTTAGCTCTGAACATTCAGATTTTTTATTAATTTCAGACAAAATACACTCCAGTCTAGTATATTCAGCATGAGCTAACGATATCTTACACTGGGCTGTGTCGGAACTTTGTCTCCGAAGTGGACCGATTTTAACTAAATAGTCTCTTATATCTCTTAAATTATTACGAATTGAAGTTATATCTGTTAACTGCATAATAACATCAAGAATTACATTATATCCTTACATTATATCCAGTTAGTTATTTATACAAAATTTAGTGCTTATACATGCTTATTTATAGAACCTATAGAATTTATAGTGAAATTTAAACAGTTAAAGATTATATTATAGGATACATTGCCTTAGTTATTCCTTAGTAAGACGAGCCAGCGCGATGGAGTCACGGAGTAAGAAGCGCGATGACGCAGCTCGAAGTGGGGACTCATGCATGCCGGAACTGTGTGTTGGGCCGGGCTATACCCTGGACTCCTTGGGCCGGGATTTCCCTGGACTCCGCTCCTTCTCTTCGAATTATACTGGTTCGTGTCGTGAGACGGCACTAAAATTGTGTGCGTTGAGTTCTCGTCTCAATGTTTTTACAGCAGCATTTTGGCATTTCTTTAGGATGAAGTAAATGCCAGCGGTAGATAGTATTACCACTACTACTATTAATAGTACTTCAGCGACAGTAAGAGCATCCCTTGACTGATGAGCAGATGCATTCGCTTCACCGTTGGCGTTTTGCGCGACGACAACCTCCTCCTTTGAATAAGTTTTTCCCATATTATGATCTTGGTATATTTTCTGTCTTCGAGATCTTCTTTGGTTTTTTTTTTTTTTTTTTTACTTCAATCTTGAAAAGTAACTTCTTAGTTTGGCTTCATTTTCATTCTTCTAATATAATTTTCTGAGTTCAGTGGCAGGATCGCCATGCAATATCTCCATAGGGGTGGTAAATTCAAAGACGTGTTGCTGCCAATAAGTCTGATTTATTATTGCCAAATTTCCTTATATTCAATAACCATACAACACTAAAGTACTTAAAACTATTCGCTGATTAAGCGCAACGTACCTTATTGTTTCTCAATCAACCTTGAGTTACAAAGATGTTCTTATGTCCTTACACTTTCTGACAGTTCGAAAAAAGTATTGAATTTGACTAGTTGGATTTTGGCACACTAGCGCCATCTGGTCAGCTAAAATACGATAGGCTCCATTGAACTTACAGTTGTAATTTATTACTGCGACAATTTGCTGTAAGTTTGCAAAAACTGAATTGTAATTAATATCTGCCTAACCTTTCGTGTACCTATGCAATCAGGAGTCGCGATTTTTAAATATTTAGGTAGGTATGTATAGTCAAATATTTTTATGCCTCTTTGCAACAAATCGCAAAACGCCACAAAATAACCATAGCGAATGGGTGTTATTTTGCAAAATAATGTTTAAAAACAAACAATAATAGAAACTATTATTAAATATAGTCATTCTTACAATAATGTCAGGGATACTGAAGCAATTTAAATTAATAGTGATTATGTATTTATCCTATTATTTGTTGCTATTATTTAAAATATTGTGCCTGAATGCAATACGAGGCCTAGAGGTACGAAATTCTCGAGCGTATGGCGCGTCATGTTCCGCGCGCGACCGGTAATAGCCATCAGACCACCATGGATGGGGCCCAATTTAGGGGTGATGCACTGCGGATCCGCGGAGGACTTAACGGGTTGCCGGGGCTCCGGTTGGAAGAGTAGGAGTAGAAACGAGGTGGTTTTTAGTCAGTAGGAGTCTGACACTCCCTCTTGCCACACGCGGGAGGGAGAAGTGTTCAATGATTTTCGCCCCTTAAAAAAAAGGTACAGTAAGGAAAATCTAAATAAAAGTTATGATCTGTAGGTGCCCGATATGCTACTGCAACGCCATCTACTTATCACAAAATTTAAAACGGAACTAATATAAATAAAAACGTATCATGTTACACAAAATTCAAATATTGATAGCACGGTTGACACCACTGGCATAGTGGGTTCGATTGGTTCATGGATCCAAATGAAAAAGCTTAGCTGATTAACACACAGCACCGCGCACCACCGTCGTAGGTGGTGAAACGCATCTCATGTTGCATTGACTTCTAAAAAACAATTACTCCACCCAACCGCGAGGTCGAGCGGTGCAGCGCCTCACACACGGAGCGCCGCATAGCCGCGCATCATCTTGAGTGCAGGAAGTGTTGCAATTTAAAAATGGAATTCGAAATGAACAAACTGCTCAAAACCGCGTTACATCCATCTGCGCAGACAGGCGCCTTACCGCGCGGGGCACCGCTATGAAATTCGCTTTACCCTCGCCCTCCGCGGCGATACCCGGTACCGTGTGTTAGTCGCCTTACGGTCCACTTGATGGTAACATAATAAGCGGATGGTGTAGTCAAAGTCCATCCAGTCATCGATAACCCACGACAGCCACTGCCGGAGTATCATACAGGTCTAGTTTACATAAAAGGCTTTGCTATAATCTATAAACATGGCAGATGGGTTGGAAACATTTCATGAGTGCGTTGGTCACTCTCATCGTCAGCCTCTAACTGTCCCAATGTTGGGAAATGTCCCCATCTCACGTGGAGTTCTCACTCCACAATTGTGAGCTATGATTTTTTTTTTATGGCGTAAGCCGGTAAACTAGCAGACGGATCACCTGATGGTAAGCAATCGGCGTCGCCCATGGACACCTGGAACACCAGAGGCATTACAAGTGCGTCACCGGCTTTTTGGGGATTAGCAGTTTGAGGATCGTTGGGGATTCAGGGATTGAGGAGATTGGGGAAGGGGAAGGTAATTGGGCCTCCGGTAACCTCACTCACACGACGAAACACAACGCAAGCGTTGCTTCACGTCGGTTTTCTATGAGGCCGTGGTATCACTCCGGTCGAGCCGGCCCATTCGTGCCGAAGCATGGCTCTCCCACACTTGAATAATCTTTAATTGTGCTTCTATCTATTCCAGGGCATATTCTCCTACCTCCACAACGCCAATTACTTCGTGAAGACGGTACTCAGGTCTCTAGTCAGCATGTACAATCCAGAGCCATTCGTCCAGGTCTCCATATATGACTATCTCTGGAACTTCACCGACCCAGTTCTGGAAATGTCCAGGAGTTTGGTGCCTGGTCTGGTGCCTGTTAGCAATACTGGAATGTTGGCTAGGGTGAGTTTGAGTTTTTTAGTTTCTTTTTTAATTTTGTACGAATTTGTGTTAGATTTAGACAACTGGCTGTTCTACTGTTCTAAGGAAGACCTCGTTATTTATTTTACTGCCTCGTTGGTCTACTGTCGAGTAAAGGGTCTCGAGACTCTCGGGTTCAATACCTGGGTCGGTTCAAGTATTATTGGGGATTTTCCTGATTGTGCCTGTGACAGACGCAACCCTAATGAAATGACCAATTAACACACATTGTATACGAGCGTCTCTGCCTACTCCTTCAGAGAAAAAGGCGAGATTTTGTTCAATAGATTAATATCGCGATCTCTATGTTGACTTTAGTATGTCATAACCGAAATGGAACTTAGTTAGACATAATTCTAGGCATTTATTTTCAAAATATTCCTTTTCCAGGTATATGCAGACTTCAAGGACGAAATGACGGTGAAGATTGGACCCCAGTGGGGTCACAAGGAGTTCTTCCAAATAGATCGGTTCAGGGGACAACCGCAAATTCCTGGATTTGATCCTGATGTGAGTATTTCTTGTAAAAGCATAACCCAATTAATTCCTCCCTTTCGAGTGCCACCTCCTTCCAATGAAGGGGGTTATTGGGCTGTTCCGGTTTTCTGAAAATTCCTCACAGTCCTTCTAAGGGCGTACTTAGAGATTGCAGTCAAGAATATGGTTAACGTTATTATTTCTACATTCCAGGTATGTCCAGATCGCATATTTGGGTCGACAGAGGGCGTCATGTACGCGCAGCGGCTGACCAAGCAGGATGTCTTACAATACTGGAGAAAGACTGTTTGCAAGCTTATGCCTTTGTATTTTGATAGTAAGTCCTTACGAAATCGTTCGTATGTAAAACCAGATTTTTTTATATTTGATGGGTCGACGTTTGACCACTATCTCGCCTAGTGGTAAGCGACGATGCGGTCTACGATGGGGCAGATAAACCCATAAGCAACCTATTCACTCGGGCTTTGAAGACACCCACCTTCAGGAAACACAAGTCTAGCCACCGCTGCCATGCTGCCATGCAAAGTATCTTGGGTTAAATTCCCGCATGGAGCACTCTTTGTGTGATCCACAGATTATTGTTCCGGGTCTGGGTGTCATGTGTATGTGAACTTGTATGTTTGTAAACGTACACACGACACAGGAGAAAATCCTAGTGTGGGGTAACTTGAATTTGTCACTTAACTTTATATGGCAGCCCGCTGCTGAACTATCGTCCGCGCTTGGTAGACGTGTTCGAGAGGGCAGTTTAAACGGTTCTGGTTTGTCAAAGAGGTTTACTACCCCTCTAGTCAAAAATAATTTCAAAAACCCTTAACTGGTTCTTTCAACATCCACAAAAGAATAAGATTAGCGACAAAAATACAATCCAGTCTGCTGTTACGGGTCACCACACCGCATATCAAACCTTCTACCTACTACTTCAAAGATTGCTAAATTTGATTTTACATAACATAACATCACGCCTTTTATCCCCGATGTAACACTCACTTTTTACTATTTATGATATGAGTCCCATGTAACAGGGGGTGAGCCTATTGCCGTATATATCTTAGACTGGGCACAATTTCAGACACCGTGATAATATTGAGAATTAAAAAAAATACTTTGACCGATCCGGTAATCGAATCCGAGACCCCTGCCTGGCAGCACTTGCGACCACTCGGGGAACGAGGCAGATTTGATTTTACTTCTGTTCAATCTTCTATATTTCTTGTTCCAGGCGAGCTAACCATGTACAACGTGCCTCTGTACCGCTACAATCTATCAGAAAACGCATTCGATCGAGTTACGAATGGCACAGACTGTTACGATACTGTGCCAAGCCTTCACCCTGGCCTTAGTGATACATCGAAGTGTTATTTCGGTAAGAATGAATACGTCTTTTTTTAAGTGTGGGAGAGCCATGCTATGCATAAATGGGCCGGCTCGACCGGAGTGATACTCCGGCCTTACAGAAGACCGACATGAAACAACGTTGTGTTGTGTTTCGTCGTGTGAGTGAGGTTATCGGATGCCCAATTACCCCCTCCCCCTCTCCCTTCTCCCAATCCCTGAATCCCCAAAAATCCTCAAAATCCTAATCCCAAAACGTAACGCACTTGTAACGCTCTGGTGTTCCAGGTGTCCATGGGCGACGCCGATTGCTTACCATCAGGTGATCTGTCTGCTTGTTTACCGGCTTATCCCATAAAAAAAATATGACAGTGGCAAAAAATCACACGGCCCACCCGATGGTAAGCGGTTACCGTGGCCTATGTACGCCTGCAACACTTGGGGCATTACATGCGTCTTGCCAACCCTTAAAAAACCTATTCACTCCCCTCTTGAAGAACTCCAAGTTGTAGCTCACTAGAAAAACCACGGCAGGAAGTCCATTCCACAATCGGATGGTCCGTGGGAGGAAATTCCTCTGATACCTGTACGGAACCATTGGGGCTCCAATGTTTGAGCGTGAAGTCCTTCATCCAATACTTAGAGTTGATGATGAACAGCTTTTTTGTTGTATTGGTACAAATGAGACAAATGATCCACAAGAGAGGAGTTAAGAGTATGCAGGCCTTTAAGAGCTTACCGAGGAGGTTGAGGGTAAATTGCCATTTAAGTACCGAGGCCCTGGTACGGAGTAGGAGTTGATAAAAGGATGGTTTCTAGTCAATAAGTGTTTGGACTGATTTGAAGATTTTTTATGGGAACGAGCAGACGGATCACCTGATGGTAAGCAATCGGCGTCGCCCATGGACACCTGGAACACCAGAGGCGTTACAAGTGCGTTGCCGTACGTTTGCAGATTAGGAAATTGAGGGTTGTTGGCGATTCAGGGAGTGGGGAGATTAGAAAAGGAAAAGGGGGGGGGTGTAATTGGGACTTCGGTAACACAACACAAGCGTAGTTTCACGTTGGGTTTCACTGGTATCACTCCGGTCGAGCCGGCCTATTCGTGCCGGCTCTCTTACACTGAAGGACATTTTCTACCTACACTAATTTTTATTAGTGTCCTTAGGGAAGGGTGATCAGAAGCTTCGTGTGGTACCGAAGCATGGCCATCCCACTTGAGAGAATTATTTTTTAGGTATACCAACAGCTTCTGTATACATAGCATTAAGTGATTTGAAAGTAACATTAAGTATTTAGGCTTATACAGTCGCCAATTATAGGTTAACCAACATGCAATTACTTAAGTGATAAAAAAAAACTATAAATACAAAAATGAACGAGAACAATAGAGTTTTAGTTACTAAAATGAAACTACTACTAACGAAATAAACATTCTTATTTTAGTGAACAAAAATTAAAGACTTTTAAACCTTGGTTGTAACAAAATTAAACATTTAAAAAAAGAAAAGAAATAAAGCATGTTTCATAAAAATTTATATGTTAATAAATATATTAAGCTAAGGAAGGATATGAACATTTTGTAAAAATGTATATAAAGAAATGAATTTAGAAAAATGGGATATGGACACTTACTACTAGTACGTACTCATCTAATATTTCTGATACAAATACATAGTTACATTATATAGTAAACTAAGTTGTGCGGTTTGGGGATTCCAGTATTCGGGTCTTAAAGACTTTTATGGTGTCATGATATATGTCAGCATCTGGAGTGGACTTTGTAAAAGAATTAATCTCACGAGCGAGCCTATTGAGAGGTGAAATTATCATTATAACATAGTAATGACGATAAGTAATATTACGTTTCCTATTTTACAGATTTTCCACTGGTGGCTTCATTCCCGCATTTTTACACTGGCGGCATACCAAAAGACAAGTTTGTGACGGGCCTCAAGCCGGACAGATACAAGCACAACTCATTTGTTATTTTGGAACCGGTAAGTATATTACCAATGTGACTTTTTCCGTGTTATATGTACTTCCTAAGATTATTTTGACACCACTGACAAACGGTGAAGGAAAACATCGAGAGGAAACCTGGGCGCTTACTCTTGAATCCAATCGCAATGTCAATGGAATTACAATTCAATAAAATACATACATACATACATAACTTCACGCCTGTCTCCCATGGAGGTAGGCAGAGACTAAGGAACGCCAATTACTACGATTCTTACATACCTCTTTCGCTTCATTAACAGTCATCAATGTTTTCATGCATGCTCGTCGGTTAAGGGTACTTTTAATTTGGCCCTTCTTTAATATATCGCCAATCTGGTCACTATATGTCCGTCTAGGGCGCCAATAAAATTAAATAAAATTCAATAAAATCTCAATAATTATTCAATGTCAACACTATACTACCCCAATCGTAGCTGTTAAAACAGCATTCAGAGTACGGAATATAAAGCCAAACTTGATACCATTTAGTTCATTCAATATCCACGCAATACTTAGGTAATGGGCGCTAGAGTTGAATTAAAGAGTGTGAAATTTTCAAATTTCACAATACCAATGTCGATCGATCGGGATTGGATTCAAGAGTAAGCCCCCTAGACTTAACACATACATAACATCACGCCTTTTATCCTCGAAGGGGTAGGCAGAGGTGCACATTACACCACTGTACAATGTAACACCCACTTTTCACTATTTATGTTATGAGTCCCATGTAATAGGGGTGAGCCTATTGCCATATCCCGGGCACAGTTCCAGACTCCGTGCTACTACTGAGATTTTTTTTAAAACCCAGTAATACTTTGCCCGACCCGGGAATCGAACCCGGGACCCCTTACCCGGCAGTCGCAATAGCGACCACTCGGCCAACGAGGCAGTCACTTATCCTAATTTAACCCCCTAGACTTATCATTTCTAATTATAAGTTTGTACTCACCAACCCGCATTGAGCAAGCGTGGTGCTTAATTATTCTCAAATCGTCTCCGTGTGAGAAGAGGCCTTTGGTCAACAGTGGCCACTCTATTGTGGCTGTTGATGGTAAGCAATCGGCGCTGCTCTCGAACACCCAGAATAAAAGAGGAGGTACAACTGCGTTGCGAGGCTCAGAAAGTTCACTCAAACGGAGAAATACTTTTTTGCTACGGGCTCCTTACTTAGTAGCTTTCTTTTACGGGATAAGCTAGTAAACGAGCAGACGGATCACCTGATTGTAAGCAATCGGCGTCGCCCATGGACACCCGAAACACCATAGGTGTTACAAGTGTATTACCGGCCTTTCGGGATTTGGAATTTGAGGATTGTTGGAGATTCAGTGATTGGGTAATGGGGGGAGGGATAATTGGGCCACCGGTATCCTCACACGATAAAACACAACGCAAGCGTTGTTTCATGACGGTTTTCTGTGAGGCCGTGGTATCACTCCGGTTCGTTTCTTTCTTCAACTATCGTTTTTTTTTTCTTCTCCTCTTATAATATCTTCTGATTCACTTTGTTGCGGGAACCAAGACAGTTGTTCATATCCCTGGGACGCGCCGGACTTCAGTGTTCCGATGTTTTCATGGTTGTATCTACTGTAGATCCTGGCTTACAGGAGTTGCAGCGGTTTTGGGAGGATGTGGCGGTATCACTCCGGTTGAGCCGGCCCATTCGTGCCGAACCATGGCTCACCCATTCTTAAACATTTTCTAATTCAATCTATTTTCTTCTTTCAGTACACTGGTACGCCTTTCGAAGCTGTAGCGAGGATGCAGAGCAATCTACTGGTCCACGATCTTACAGGGTTCCAGGAGAAATTCGCCAACGTATCCAATTCCGTGATACCACTATTTTGGGCTGAATATGTAAGTCATCATGGTGTTAGTCCTTCTGACACATACCATAATCTCACATCTTTTATTTGAGGGGGGAAAATCATTGGATTATTTGGTGAGAGGGAGTGTCAGACTCTTACTAACTAAAAACCACCCCGTTCCTTCTCTTGCACTTCGAGCCGGAGCCCCGGCAACCCGTTAAGTTCTCCGCGGTGTCAAAATTTACGTCAATTCCATAAAATTTTAATTTTCTACTCTACAAGTAGACAAGAGCTAAATGGCATTTGGCTACAGGTGCTGGCGCACTATGCATTTGCACGTAGGGATAATACGACTCTCCTTATACGCATCTATTGGCTAAGATATGAAATATCTGTTCGTTTTTTGTTTCAGCACCAAGAGGGCCTGCCATCGAAAATAAGAAAAACTGTATATTTCTCAATAGTTATTCTACCGCCATTATCAATTATTATATCAACTACCATGCTCTTAATCGGCATATACTTACTCAGTAAACTCATTTATTCAAATAATTTAGAGAATGATAGTCTAAAATCAATACTTATATTTAAAAGTAAAAATAATATTGCAAATAAAAATAAAATGCTGGCTTTCGAAAAAGAAACGTTTTTGAAAACTAGTTAGATTAATTTTTACAATCGATTGATTATTCGATTGTATGTATATCGTAGTCGATATTTTTATAGAACGAAAAATTGCTATGAGTTAATGCAAAAGCTTGCAGTGTGTAAATAAATTTAGATATGAGTTAATTCGTAAGCAAAGATTAGTTATTATATAATTATAAAATATACTGGGCAGACTGTCAGTAAAAGCAAGAAATTCGTTCTTTAAATCTATTGACTCGAAAATTATTTAATAAGTTTTATATTAAATAAAAGGGAAATGGTAAACAATGTAAATAAAGACTGAATATCATATATTTCATGACATGGCCAAAGCACACACGAAATTTTAATGAAATTGATTTTAATTTTAAAAATAATGTTTAATTTTTCCTTCTTTTTATCTACCTCAGTGTTACAGTAGAAAAAAATTTACCAACCTAAAGTAACAATTTCGACTCTTATTTTGTTTATTTTTCTTTTTATAATTAAAATGTAAGTACTTATTTTTGATTTATTTTAAATACTTATTATTTTGTAAGTCTCTTAGCCGAAACTCTTATTTTTTAATCTATTGAATAGATTATGAAGGTGTAAGCGTATATTTAAAAAATATATTCGGGGTTAGTTTGTAGCTGTGATTGTTCCTAATTTAAAATAGTTGCAACAATTTGCTCATTGTTAGCTTTAAGATAATTATAGTAAACAGTAAATAAAGATATTTTATATATTACACTGTTTTATTTATAATGATCATCTTTACTATATTTTATTTATTCCCTCTGATAAATAACAAAACGTTGTGTGACATTTAGAAAAACAAATATACATCCGGTTTCATTGTAGAATTATTTTATAATAATTACTTATGATTAATTAGAAATGTACATTAAAATGTATCTTTTAAAAATTGTACAAATATATATGAATAGTCAAAAACACTTTTCTTTGGCGCTCAATCATTCAAAAGTAATGATTTTGACTACAGTACAATACATAATAACTGTCAGTGTCACACACTGTTACACCAACCGCCTTACCGCGTAAGAAAAAAAGTTTTATAAAATTTCGCGGGTCTCAGCAAATTTTTCTTTTCCTAACGAAGCATTCTTGTATTCGTATTACTATGTTTCTTTTCGCTACATTTTATCAATATAAATACTTTCTACGTCATATTTACCGTCTATTAATTGTTTAAATTAGTTCCACCGCTTTAAAAATGAATAATAAGAAATGTGTAGGTCCTAATAACGGCTGGTTGTTGTGCGAGTCCAAAAGTTTTCCTGGCAAGCTTTATTACTTCAATGTTCGTAATGGAGACGCCGTGTGGACTTCCAACGACTCTGATGTATGTATAACTTAAGTTTTAATACTTTTAGTTATGTTTATATTACATTAGATCGAATGTGTTCGCAAAGATTTTTAGATTTACGATTTTGTGAAATAAGTTTAATATTTTCTTTGAAACGCATATTACGTATATTTATAGCGTTTTATTACACTCTCTAGAGATAGTTAACGCACTCACATTTGACATGCAATGCAGCAAATGTTTTGCTTACAGTCGTACATACCCAAAATAATTTCTGCGAAACTTTACCTGTAATAACTACATACTATGAATTCGCCAACTTCTCAAACGAACTTTATAGTACATAATGTACTTTCCTTCTGGTGTTACATTTCAATTGCGAATGCATTATAAACTATTGCTAGTAGATATTTGTTGACAAAGAGTTTTCATTTCACATAATTATCATCTAATCAAAAGCCTACAAGTGTCCACTGCTGACCCGCAGGTTTGAGCTTTAATCACCGCATTTCTTCAATGTGGGTTGGTCATTTCAAACTTAAAATAAGAAATTATAAGCCCAGGTTTCCTCACGATATTTTCCTTTACCATTCACTAGTGGTGTCTTAATTAAGCCTTTGACAGCCGGCAGAAAACTGTTGAAGGGAAATCCTCCACTAACGTAGGTCACCGGTGACCTATGTGATGTGTTAATCTTAGAAAGTACATACATGCAACTCTGCAAAGGTCTGATTGGTACTTACCAAGAGGCCTTTGGTCCATGGTCAGAGCCAGTGGCCACTTTTAGGTTTTGATGTGATTCGTATGATCTAATATTTATTCATGTAGGTAATTTGAATGAGCAAATAGCTTCACTTTTATTTTTTTGTTGATGCTCAAAAGTGCCTTCCTAATCTAATTGAAATAGATGATTTTGACTTTGATTTGGTGCACCTATGTTATTTATCTCAAGCACAATTTAAAACTACTACACTATGCAATATTGTGTTATTTAAAATGCCATTGTTGAGAATTTCAATATAGAAAATTCTATTTCGAGGTGCTGCCATGCTTACTCTTGAAACCAATTACAGTGTCAATGCAATTTCAATCCAATAAAATCTCAGTAATTATTAAATGTCAAAACTATACAACCCTTATCGTAGCTGTTAAAATAGCATTCAGATTACGGATTATAAAGCCAAACTCAATACCAGTTAGTTTATTCAATATCCACGCAATACGGATGCAATGGGCGCTGCTAGTGTTGCAACTCAAGAGTACGAAATTTCACAATACCAATGTTGATCAATCGGAATTGGATTCAAGAGTAAGCCCCCTGGTATTGTACCCAAGTCACATTAATTAATTAAAGGTCCAATCTGAAAGATTAGATTTATATTATCATTAATTTATTTAACTTTTTTATTGATAGGACCAATATCAATAAAAAAATTAACTACAATATCATACTAATTTCGAACTTCCAGACAACAATTAAAAAGAACAACAGCTTTGCGGAAAACATTGTGGACAAATCACACAAGTATCCGGAACCGACCACATTACCGGACGACCATACAATACCGTACCATAAAATTGGCACAAATATTAAACCGGAGATCCATACAAATATTCCATCAACTCGCTTGCAACAACCTATATTTGGGCAGCCTGTGTACCCTTTATGCACACCGAATAGGGACACAAAAATAACTCAAGTTGTCTGGACGCCCGTACAAGTACCGATGCCAGTCTGCTGGAATGTGGAATCAAATAAACCGATGTCTGATAAATTCACCCAGACTTTTGAGTGTCAACAGGACAAACAACATACACTAGTTCAAAGTTGTACGGTACCGTTATCAAAACGGTTCGTTAATAATCAAAGAAATGTCAAATCTACTAATTTTGAAACGTCAACACCTATTATGATAAGAAGTCAAACTTCAAAACCGTTTACCAAATCTACTCCTACTGTATTCGAACCAAAGTCTCCGGATATAATGAAGAGCAATGGAAAACCAGTCTTCGTTTTTGGTGATAAGGTTGAAAGTGCTAACCCTGAAATTGAGGAGGTACTTGAAAAACAGGATGTTCTGAAAAACTTAGATAGTAATGATTTAAGGTTTCATTTGTTAGCTAAAAGGAAGAAGTCGGTTGATCAAATATTTGAGACTGCAGTTGAGAGTGAGTATATTTAGTTCAATTTTTTCTATTATTTTTTTTCCTGATATTTTAGTTAATAGCACACACACACACACACACACATAACATCACGCCTTTTATCCCCGAAGGGGTAGGCAGAGGTGCATATTATGCCACTGTACAATGTAACACCCACATTTCACTATTTATGTTATGAGTCCCATGTAATAGGGGGTGAGCCTATTGCCATATACCGGGCACAATTCCAGACTCCGTGCTACTACTGAGAATTTTTTAAAAACCCAGTAATACTTTGCCCGACCCGGGAATCGAACCCGAGACCCCTTGCCCGGCAGTCGCACTTGCGACCACTCGGCCAACGAGGCAGTCAGTTAGTTAATAGCTTATTTATTTTTAATAAAGAATTTAAATTAAATTAATGTACACAACTTAACATATAAATAACTAAAAACTATAATATTTACACCTTAAAAAAAGGAAACCTTAAAATAATAAAAATCTTAACCCATATATCCCCAAGCCGTCACCAGTGACCGCTCTCCACTAACTACTGCGGCCGAGTCGCAAGTGCAAATGCTAGGCAAGGAGTCTCGGGTTCGATTCCCGGGCAAAGTGTTACTGGGTTTTAAAGAAAATTCTCAGTAGTAGCACGGGGGCTCGAATTGTGCCCGGTATATGGCAATAGGCTCACCCCCTATTACATGGGACTCATAACATAAATAGGGAAAAGTGGGTGTTACATTGTACAGTGGCATTAAGTGCCGTAATATGCACCTCTCTGCCTACTTCTTCGGGGATAAAAGGCGTGATACTATGCTATGTTCATACATATATGATAGGTACTTTGCCTAACCCAAAAATGAAATTCAAGACATCTTGTTGGCCAGTCATTCATACACATATATGCCCAAGCGGTCACCGGTGACCGCTCTCCACTAACTACATTATAGACCTTATTTCCGATGTTTAGAGACTACTTTTGTATGAACAACTTTAGGTAATGATTTTCAACAAGTTAAAAATATTAGGTACTTCTTTTACAGAAAATAAACCGAAAACTGGCACTGAAGTCCCAACATGTAAGAAGGTAACTTTTGATTTAGTTGATGATGTCACTGACGAGACCAGTAGCGACCTGCCTTCAGACGATTTTATTGTAAGTACCATTTTTTATGGGGATAAAAATCGAATCGAATGGCGTCTCCCGCCGTGGAAGAGAGTGTCAGACTCGTACTGACTATAAAACACACCGTTCCTACTCCTGCACTTCGAGCCGGAGCCCCGGTAACTTTCTACGTTCTCCGCGGCTCCGTATCCCATCCGTATCCCATCCAGATGCCGATGCATCTGCCCAATGGGGCCCAATCCGTGGTGATCTGATGGCTCTTTGAGGCGCGGCGGAACGCGACTCAGTCTGGTTCAGGTCGGGCGGCGAGTTACCCGTGCTCGCCGTCCGCATGCCCGTGCTTACGGTGGCCGGAGATCGTCTCGACGCCCGGAGTGTCCTTCTCGACGGGTAGGGTCTGTGGAGGTAGCGCAGTAGCGCTTCAGTACCTCACTTGCCCTGCCTCCTCCTTAGATAGCATGACTGAATTTTTCTGGTGGGCTTAACGGGGGTCCCCGGCTTGGGCTTAACGGGGGTCCCCGGCAAGGGCTTAACGGGGGGGCTCCGCTCGAAGGGCAGGAGTAGGAAAGGGTGGTGTTTAGTCAGTAAGATTCTGACACTCCCTCTCGCCTCACCCTAGGTGAGATAAGTCATTGGATGATTTTCTCCCCCTCAAGTTGGACATTCAGTTTTGTACAGCTACAGGCAAACCGACCTGAGGCTACATTAGCGCCACAAAAACTAAGGTTTGCCCTATCCGGAAATCAAATTGCAGAGCCCTCGACTACTCTACCATTGAATAAGTCAATTATCTGATAAAGTATTTGCCATTTATCTGGCAAAAACTCGAAAATGACTGGAATCTAAAACAATTTGTCTAATTCCGACTTTAAAATCTACTATATAAAAATAAGTCGGGTTTTCCTTCCTGACGCTATAACTCCAGAACGCACGAACCGATTTCCATGGTTTTGCATTCGTTGGAAAGGTCTCGGGCTCCGTGAGGTTTTTAAGAAAGAAAATGCAGGAAAAAATTTTCTTCATCTTTTAATCACCAAACGAAATATTACATAAAACGAAGCCATCTGGTAGTAAAACGGAGTTCGCCGGGTTTGCTAGTTCTTACTAAAATCCAAAATGAAGGAAAATATATTTCAAAATTGATATTTTTGTCAAAATAACAAATACAGCGACTAACTTTTAAAATTATCTTCCAGCCACCATCAAAGACCCAATCAGCATCCTCCACAGACATAGACAAACCAGCTCCAAAACTAAATACTCTATGGTTCAAAGACATACAAACCTTTAAGGAGCCGAACTTTTTGGAGAACGCGCAAATGTTTAAAAATAAAAAGATTTGGTTCATGGCTGTTGATACCGAAGTATTGTTGTTGGATTATGAAGCTATCAAGAATTACGTTAAAGCTGGTAAGTAGAATAACAAGCTTTTAGACCAGCCCAGGCAGAGGTGTGGTTTTCATATTTATATTTTTAAAAGAAACGTTGCCTCACACTACGATTTTCTCCGGTGTCGTGTGTGCGTTTACAAATATACAGGTTCACATAACTACACACCCAGACCTAAAACAACTATCTGTGGATTACACAAAGTATTGTTCCGTACGGGAATCAAACCCGCGACATCCAATCCTTAAAAGGGCTGGCAACACCCTTGTCCTTGCCTTGTAACACCTCTGGTGTTTCTGGTGTCCATGGCGGCACTAAAAACATCTTATTTCATTTCAGATCCTACTTGCAAGCTACTAATTCCACACGTGGTACAAGCAGATATAGAAGCGATATGTATGGGCACTTGTGATGGACAGCAACGCGTGCTAAATGCCAGGCAGATCACAAGGAACCTGGCAATACCACCGCCGTATTTCCTAGGTAATTTAGTACTGGCAATACTATGCTTACTAGTAGTTTGTTACTGGTAACACTTTTCTTAATTAATCTTATACTATTACTAGCTACTTCCGCGCGGTTTCACACGCTCTGCTCAGCTCCTATTGGTTGTAGCGTGATGTTTTATACCCTATAGCCATCCTCGATAAATGCGCTATCCAACACAAAATGAATTATTCAAATCAGACTTGTAGTTACGGAGATTAGCGCGTTTAAACAAACAAACTCTTCCGTTTTATATAGTAGTATAAGATATTACTTAAATGATGTTTTATATAGCCTATAGCCTTGGCGACTAGGCTTCTCCCAGTTGTACAGTCTCTTTTTCTGCCTTTAAGCTTAATTCACTCAGCCTCCCGCAGTAATTCTCTGAGGGAAGTGGAAACTATGGTTTTTTTTCTCCTCTTATAATATCTTCTGATTTATATCGTTGCGGGAACCTAGACAGTTATTCAAATCCCTGGAACGCCCCGGACTTCAGTGTACCGGTGTTCATTGTTGTAGGTATCTGCCCAAAAAAAAACTCGCAGTGAGCAAGCGTGGTGATTAATGCCAAACATTCTCCGTGTGAGAACAGGCTTTGCTCAGCAGTGGGCATTTATAGGCTGTTGATGATAATGATAATGACTCTTTCTCTGAATACTTTGCAACTTGTAACGTCACTCTCGTTAAAATCTATAACATAAGTTGTATGAAGTTTAGATCTGAGTGCCAAGCACGAATAACTATCGCATTCGTAACGTTATAATATCGAGCATGCTCGGCACTCTGAGGCCTTGAGACTCTGACTCTGAGACCGGGGTCGGACGATCTCCGGCCACCGTAAGCGCGGTACTGCGGACGGCGAGCATGGGTGGCTCCCCGTCCGACCAGAAACAGACCCGAGCGTACGGCGCCGAGCGTTTCGCGCGCGCCTCAAAGAGCCATCAGACCACCACAGATGGGGCCCAATAGGGCCGATGTCGATTCGGAGTCGCGGAGAACCTAACGGGTAACCGTGGCTCCGGCTCGACGTGCAGGAGAAGGAACGGAGTGGTTTTTAGTCAGTAAGAGTCTGACACTCCCTTCCGCCTCACCCAAGCGGGAGCAGTCATTCGATGATTTTCCCCCCTTAAAAAAAAAAATACTATTATTAGTCACATGCTACTCACAATAATTACTCGGGTATTGTTATAATAATACTAGCTGTTACCCGCGACTTCGTCCGCGTGAAATAACGACTTCTGTATAAATTGGGTTTTTTAAATTAGTCTTTGTCAAGGTATATTCTGTGGCTGTACAACTGGAACAAATATCATCACAATCGATTCAGTACCTAGGTTATATTTATTGAGAAATGAATTTATTTTCGTGGTTTCTAAAATAAACAATCCCATAGAGGTTTTACCCGTATAGTGCCCGTCTCGTGAAGTTTCACTATTCTATGTTTGCAAATCAATGTTGTATCGCATTTCAATCAAATAGATATAGTGATTTTAACAGCACAGTTCCCGGTTTCGTGGGTTTTTCGGGTTAAAAACTTTTAGATGTCCTTTCCCGGGTCTCAAACTATCGCTGCGCCGAATTTCACCAAATAGGTTCAATGGTTTAAAAGGTAAGAGCCCCTCTTTATTTCAACGTCCTTGGTCCTGGTTTTTTAGCGCATAGTTTCCGTCATTTTGGGATTTCCTCTCTCCTATAATGTGACCTGATATGTACCGGTGCGACGTGCGTTACTATCGCAAACATTTAAATGAAAAAATAGGTATTCTGATATTAGGTTAGTTACATATGATACATGTACTTTAATGTTGATATTAATGTCCTCTATAAGACTTAATACATCCCTTGGCTCTATTGTCCATAATTTCCACAGCGTAATCAATACCAGTAATATAAGGAGTTTTTTTGGTAGTTTTTCACACATCGGGTTGTCATTACCTAAAGGAGATTTTTTTTGAGGTCGGAAAATCATCCAATCACTTCTCCCGCCTTGGGTTAGGTGAGAGGGAGTGACAGATTCTTACTGACTAAAATCCACTCCGTTCCTACTCCTGCTCGTCGAGCCGGAGCCCCGTCAACTCGTTAGGCCTCCCGCGGCACCGTATCGAGCATCAGCCCTACTGGGCTCCATCTATGATGGTGTCATGGCTCTGTAAGGCGCGCGCCGTATGCACGGGACTGGTTCTGGTCGGGTGGCGAGCTACCCTTGCTCTGCGTCTACAGACCCGCACTTACGGTGGCCGGTGAGAGTGTCTCCCGCGACGGCTGGGGCGTGAGGAAGTTCATTCCCTCACACGCTCCGCTTTCTCCTTGGCAAGCATAACTGCTTCGCAGAAGGATGCGACTGCATCCCAATCCCCCTCGCTCCATGGCCTGAACCAGAGCCGAACGCGAGAGGTCACCGTTTCCACCGTGCTCAGCCCATGCAAGGTACACCGCCACGGTATGCTCCACCGTGTTCTCCGGGCGGTCCTTGCATTGATGGCCTCTCTAAAGCCACTTTTAAAGAGGGGACTTTCCGCTGCAATGACAGCGAGCCCAGCCCTCGGTTACCTAAAGGAGTGTTTCGCTGTGTAAGTGAGGTTACCGGAGGCCCAATTACCCCCCCCCAGCCCCCCCAATCCCTAACAATCCTCAAATTACCAATTCCCAAAAGACCGGTAACGCACTTCTAGCACTTCTGGTGTTACAGATGTCCATGGGCGGCGCAGTGATCCGTCTGCTCGTTTACCGGCTTATGCCATAAACAAACAGCTATCATAGTGAAACGGTCTAAAATGAAAAGGACTAATATTATTTTTTAGCTATGTGCATTTAGCTAGTTTTTTTGATATACATATAAAAAATACGAATTCAAGTAAACTGAAAATATTTTATTCGTGGTTTTATCTCCTTAGACTGCTGTCAACCTCTTTGCATACCTTAATATTAATACCATAGTATAAAAAAAATCTATGACACATTGACTTTGTAAACTCACTTGTCACACAAATGTCAGATGACTTAAGAAATGTATACTAATAATATAAATTTGTATGTGCTTGTTTGTTTGTTTGTCCGTATTTCACAACAGAACGGAGTCAGGAAGGTTTTTGATTTGAGATAGTTGAAAAGATGGAGAGTATCATAGGCTACTTTTTGTCTTTTTTTAACCCCCTTCCACTTCCGTGAAACAGAGGTGAAAGTTTGTATGGGGTATTTTGCAATTTTCAATGTGGAAAGCTAACAATTGGTATGCGGGTTATTTGTGACCAGCATAGAATCGTGCATCATTTCATTTTTTTATTGTAAATCCTTCCCTCACCCCATTAAAAGAACGCGAGAGAAGCCGCAGACAGAGGCTAGTCTATGAATAAATTGTATTCAGTCAATTGAATTCGTATTTTGTCTTTAAAATCCCTGATCCCTGATGCAGCTGAATACTAATATTATTCCTTGAAAACCCACAGAACTTCATTTTTATATGTTGATGCCAAAATATATTATGAAAGTAGGACGTCATAACAATTACAAATCATCAGGTTGGTTACCATAGTAATGTTACCTGTCAGATATCCGTTTTCAGGTTTTCAGATAAATCGTAATAATAATTCTTACAACAACCCCTTTTTCGCGATAAAAAGTAGCCTATGTTTTATCTCGGGGTCTAGAATATCTGTATACCAAATTTCATTCAAATCCGTTCAGTAGTTTTGGCGTGAAAGAGTAGCAGACAGACAGACAGACAGAGTTACTTTCGCATTTATAATATTAGTTAGGATTGTTCACAGTGGAACCGCCACACAATGAAGATTGCTTCGAGATGACCACAGAGAGTATCTTGAACTGCTGCATGAAAGCTATCAAGAATAATTACTATGTGGTAAGTGAAAAATATATATACAGAGTGGAATTTTGTAATGCCACGTGAAGGGAAAGAAAATTTTCTATCTTAAGTATTAACCCGTCGAGCGTCCGCGTCCCTTATGATCCAACGGGTGCACACGTGACATTTGGAGAAAGAAAGAAAATGAATTTATTTGGCCATTGGCACACGAAAACAAGGATCATTACAATAGAAATAAAAAATACAGTCAAAATAAAAACAAAACATTAATAATAGATTTTATAAAAGAGATGCAGCATGGAGCATTTTTTCTTATGATCCACCGGGTGCTCATAAGGACGCTCGAGGGGTTAAGAGAAAGTACTCTTAAAAACCGACTAAAATTAATGAAGTTTGTTAGAGAGATTTCGTCCTTATTGATCCTAACAATCGATGCAATAAATGTACATGGTGCAACTTCTACAGATTTTAGTCGGTTCGATTACAGTCTATCGGTCAGTCCTCTAGTTGCTCTATTTGTTCATTCCAAGGTGCGCGTTCCCCAGGCCAGATGTTGTCGAAAATAGTCATTTGAATCTTATAGATAATTAGTTGTGCGGCTTCTGTAATTGTTGCGCACATTTTTAAATTTATTGCGCTGATAGGTTTTTAATTATTTCACAAAAACATTTCCTGCTGGGGTAACGTTACCCCAGCTAGACCTTTTTCTTTCTAATGGGAATATTTATATAATTACTAGCTATAAAATTAGTTGTCTAGTGGTTGAAGTAAATGCCTTATTTTTTATTTGTTTTTTCTTTGGTTGCAAAGTTATTCGAGAGTATACTGGGGTAACGTTTTTGGTTATGCTAGATCTTTGTAATGGTTAAGCGGATTCTTATCATATTTAATTATTTAGTACATGGCTTCTTAGGAATTAGTTTAAATTTGTTGTACAATAAAAAATCCAAAATAATACATAGCTTAACTCGTCGAGTACCGTATTTATAGACACAATTAAAGAACAATAGGTTGCGGTCACCGGTGACCGCTTGGTGTTTGACAGTTTAAAGGTTATTTCATTAAATAGAAAAACACTTCAATTGGTCCCAGCCCTCTTAATAAGAGCTCTAAAGACTTACTTTAAACTTTAATATAACGTTTAAAGTAAGTCTTCAATCAAGCAGGGACGAAAGAAAAATTACGGAAGCTGTTTGACTGGGATTTACATTCATTAAAAAAAGTCTTAAAGAGTTTTTTAATTCGTTCTCTACATAACACAGAGCCTGCATTGAGCTCGGTGCTTCCAAAAAAATGTACATTCTGCTTATCCCCCTTAAACTGTACTCAACGAGTTAATTAATCATTTAAACATATTTCTATATACCTATTATTTTGCAGGTACTAATAACAAACGACCCACATTTGAAGAACAGGGCCTCAATCCTCAACATACCATCATATAAACTAAACGAAATCAAAAATGGCGCTCTTGTCACACCCTATCTGACAGATGCCACTGTCAAAAGTTCCCACCAAAACGAGGACATAGATAAAAGAAATGAGTTCGAGAAAAATAGTTTTAATGTTGGATCCTTGAAACAGCAATTGTTTATGGATAACGATGATTTAGTCGGCTTCGATAGATTAATTGATATTACGAAGCCTAAATATTTAAAAGATTGTGATTACCGCTCTGATAGTGAAAGCGGATATAAGCGTTCGGATATAAGCAGAGATGTCCAAAATTTGAATTTGAAAGATAAAATTTTGTCGAAATCTGAACATGTTCATCGTAATCCATTTTTGCCTCAGAATGATCGAAATAAATTGATTCCAACCGTATTTGATACTACTAATCTCAAAAAGACAGTGCAAAATTCAAAATTTGACTTTGAAAAACGATCCATTTGGGATTTCGGTATGCAAAAGAAAGAACAGGAATCACTATTTAATTCTAATCCGACTTTGCATACCAAAAAGACAATCCCAAACTCAATATTCGACGAAATTCGTAATCCGTTTTTACCGAAAACCGACACTATTAAAAAGGTAACACCAAATTCAAAATTCAACCTCGAAAAACCGTCAAATCCTTGGAATTTTGATATACAAATGAAAGAGCGAGAAATGTTACCTTCTGCAAATTTCAAAACTATGGAAATTTTTGGAAAGCAAGAATCTTCACAAAAAATGGAAAGTTCGTTTGAAATTAACAAACTTAAAGTAAAAACATCATCGCAGCAGAGAATTAAAAAAATCCTAGAACATGTCTCTTTAAAAACGGACACAGATAACACAGGAACTTTCAAAATACCGCAGACGTTACAATTTAAAAATCGAACGCGAATAGGCTGTATAGAAAGTCCGTTAAAGAATTCGAAATTTGGTAATTATTTAAGTTTGAATTTGGAATCTTTGGATGAGAATCTAAAAAGTTTTTGTGTTAGCAGTAAGTCTGTTGGTGACAGAATTAGTACAAAGATTGATGAGTTTCTTTGTATTTACATTCAAGTTATGGAGGACGTACTTAATGATTTGTTAAAGGTAAGTAAATCATATTTATTTATCTTTTTAGGGTGATAAAAAAAAACCACCCGGTTTTTGCTCACCAGCTAGGATATTCTGTAACTTTCGATTTGAAAGATCTTAGTGAACTCGGTCGCGGTCCGCTCTGTCATTGGTTGTAAGGATGATTTAAGTGTGGGAGAGCCATGCTTCGGCATGAATGGACCGGCTACCGGAGGCCCAATCCCCCCCCCCCATCCCCAGTCTCCTCAACCCCCGAATCCCCCACAATCCTCAAATTCCCAATTCTCAAAAAGCCGGTACAGCACTTGTAACGCCTTAGTGAACACCAAGGCTTTCTCTTGAAACCTCAATGTCAATGCAATTTCAATCCAATAAAATCTCAATAACTATTCAATGTCAAAACTATACAACCACAATCGTCGCTGTTACAATAGCATTCAGAGTACGGAATATAAAGACAAACTCAATACCATTTTGTTCATTCAATATCCACGCAATACGGATGCAATGGGCGCTAGTGTTGCAACTCAAGAGTATGAAATTTCACAATACCAATGTCGATCGATCGGATTTGGATTCAAGAGTAAGCCCCCAGTGCAAGCGGGAAGGAGCTATTAGTTTGTATAGCTCCGTCCCTCTTGCATAGGAGACTAAGGCCCCAGTGGAGATTCATTTTTTGATAGCTACGGTGATTTGACGAATTGAATAGACCTGACAGTAGATACATGATGTCTAATGAGTAAAAAAATGACTTGAATGATCAGCGACGGCGTCTTGGGTTCGATTTCGAGGTGGATCAAATTGTTAGAGCAAGTTTAAATTTACCTCGAAAATTCAAATACAATTACCAATACAGTTAAAAAATGCCTTATCAAATTGTAAACGCGACTGTTACGCTATTGAGATTGTGGTCTTTGACATTATTGTGATTTTCTATCTTGCAATTCTCACTTTGTAATTATACAGATTTTGTAAACACTCTTAAGAGTCACCGAAAATCACAATAAAACTTTACCCTATCCAGTAATTGAAACCAAAACCCTCTCTAATAACACTGAGTTTGAAATCACTATTAAGAAACACTGAAACCTCCTTAAAACTTTGTCCGGCCTCTCAAGACCCTAACTCAACCCCAAGTCCCTTAAATCAACCCCTAACAACCCCAAACTCAGCTCCCAAGACACCTAAATTACACCCCAAGACCCTAACTCAGCCCCTAAGACCCCTAAGACAGGCCCCAAGACAACAGTTAAAAATAACAATTATTTTTTCAGAAAAACACAATAAAAGACATGTTACCCCCCACAACATTGCAAGAAACATTAAATTGTATTAAAATGGTTTACAATGAATATGAAAATATAAGGGAGATTATCTATAGACTCATTCTGTATATCGAAAAATGTGTTAATGAGAAAGGTGAGTGCGATTTTGAATCTTATTTTGTGTGATGTAAAGTTGAAAGTTATTTAAAAGATATTTATGACGGTTTTTAGAGCTTAAATTTAGATCTGCGCTTCCACATGCCACGGATTTTAGTGAAAACAAAAATGTCGTTAAGTCTGTCATCTATCTTAGCTTAGGTGTTACTTAGTGGTTGATCAAAGCCTTCTTGACGCAAGCACAACTTAAGCGGTTTACCACGCGGAATAATTTTTTCTTATCCTTATATAATTTATTTACCTTTTAATTTAAAAATAATGGTTATTTATGTAAGATTAATTGGTGGAATTTTAGGTTATTTTATTAGAAATATGAAAATCACATCTTCGTTACTCACCAGGTGTAGCGCGTCCATTTTTCCTCGTCTCATTAGAAGTCTGCTATTGTGAGTTCGAGTCCCGTGGTACCGAAAATAATTGAAATAATACACATCTATATGAATAAAAATGAATTTCCATTCGTTAGTCTCGCTAAAGCTTGAGAACTGTACGTGTCCGTTATCCAGGCCAGATGTTGTCGAAAATGATCATTTTAATCTTACAGATAATTAGTTGTGCGGATTCTGTAATTGTTGCGCACATTTTTAAATTTGTTGCGCTTATAGTTTTTTAATTATTTCACAAAAACATTTCCTGCTGGGGTAACGTTACCCCAGCCAGACCTTTTTCTTTCTAATGGGAATATTTAAATAATTGCTAGCTATAAAATTAGTTGTCTAAATGAAGTAAATGTTGTGCCTTATTTATTATTTGTTTTTTCTTCGGTTGCGAAGTTATTCGATATGTATGTACATATATAAAAAGTATCCATCATTTATTTAAATGAAAACCCTACCATTCAACCATTATATCTATTATATACATTCGAGCATTAAAGAAACATTTCATTCCTTACTTTAATGAAAATGCAACTTGTTTTTTACCATCACCTGTCGGCGCTTTTCGGGGGCGTTCCGATTACACCATGTATAATGTTTTATAAAACTATCGTGAGATACTAAATTAACTAAAAATCGCGGGTTACTCACGTGAATATACTGCGAAAAGCTCTACTAATTTTGAACCACAGAAGAGTTCTTCCACATGAGCTTCTCTTCATCTTTTAAGTGTGGGAGAGCCATGCTTCGGCACGAATGGGCCGGCTCGACCGGAGTGATACCACGGCCTCACAGAAACCCGACGTGAAACAACGCTTGCTTGTGTTTCGTCGTGTGAGTGAGGTTACCGGAGGCCCAATTACTCTCCCCTTCCCCAATCTCCCCAATTCCTGAATCCCCAACGATCCTCAAACTCCTAATCCCCAAAAGGCCGGTAACGCACTTGTAACGCCTCTGGTGTTCCAGGTGTCCATGGGCGACGCCGATTGTTTACCATCAGGTGATCCGTCTGTTCGTTTACCGGCTTATGCCATAAAAAAGAGCAGCGTGCGTAACCCTGTATAATATTAATTTCAGGTCATATAATCAAAAGTATGAAGCCAGATGATTTCATGAAAATGTTCGGTTGCGGCATCATGCTTATAATGGCTTTACAGGTAAGACAGTATATTTTAATCCCTTATTATTTTATTCTATGGCGTAGTTTCTTATTATTCTGGGACAACACTTCGATTACACAGTTGGTGCGGTGGCTGGTCAACCGGCTGCCGCGCAACGTATCGCGGTTTCGATTCCCGCACGTAGCAACTCTTTGTGTGATTCACAGATTGTTGTTCCGGGTCTGGGTGTCATGTGTATGTGAACTTGTATATTTGTTAACGCACACACGACATGGGAGAAAATCATAGTTTGGGGCAACGTTTGAAAAAAATAAGAATCCCTAACAATAGGGTAGTAAATAGTGTATGAAAATTAAAAATGTTATTACTGAAAACACATTTTTTTATTTTGTCATATAAGAAAACAATACTTAGAAAAAACAGAGTTAAGTTTAGGAGTGGGAGATCGTAACGTCACGCCACCCTATAAAATGTAGAAACCGTAACGTCACACGATAGTTTAAATCAATATAACTATCGTCGAAAGTATTTAATTTTGTAAGAAAAGAAAAAACACGTCAAATTTATTTATTTTTTTTAAACTACCAGACGGACATTAAAATAAAATTTACGATCCTACCTTATTATAATTTGTATTTTCCAGTCCATCTTCCCATCATCAGAAGAATTAAAAGACACAGAAGTATATCTGAGCTCCTTACTGACCAGCATAGAGAGTGACTGCGAAGCTTCCATCGAGGACCCGTTGAAGACACCACCTGTTTACAGGTCTGATCGCGACGAGAAGTACGAGTTTAGACCCAATTGTAAGTTTATTATTTTGTTTATTACGCCTTTTATCCTCGAAGAGGTGCACATTACGGCACTTAATGCCTCTGTACACACGGCTACACATCGAGCTTTGCATAACCAGTATAAACTGAACGTTAAATGTGCGGAAAGATGATGCGACGCGATACCAGGATAAACTGGTTTGGTATAGATTGATGTATGGCCGTGTGTACAATGTAACACCCACTTTTCACTATTTATGTTATGAGTCCCATGTAATAGGGAGTGAGTCTATTGCCATATACCGGACACAATTCCAGACTCCGTGCTACTTTTGAGATTTAAAAAGAAACCCAGTTATTTTTTATTTATTTGTATCAGGCAACGAAGACCCATATTAAAATACAATAATACTATAATATCTACTACAATTTTAACTTAAAATGCTATAAACACATATGTAAGTAATAACACTAATTATCACGACTATTGTGGTGTGTCGGCGTCGTGTGCTGCGCGGTGTCAGGTATTCGGCCGCGGAATCGCCGGAAAACAACACCTTTCGGCCAAAACTCTGGTGTCATGAATTTCGGTAAATCCACGGAAGGCACTCTCACCACAAATGAATTAAAATTCACGCTGTGGTGGGATTCTAATTTCAAAACCCTTAGAGTGTCATTCGTTTTGGTCTGAATATACTCTACAATGTCCTCGACCTTTGTAGAGTAATGCAGCCTGGACACGTACAGCAGCGTCACTGGTACAGCTGGACGCAGCAAATGTTTCGCCCGGTAGGTGCTGGCACAGCACCGACCGGGCGAAACATTTGCTGCACCGCACTTGTTTTGGGATGACTTCTTTTTCTTCCTCTGAACAGTGATAAAGTCATCCCTATCGACTTGCTCCTTCGGTAATACTTTGCCCGACCTGGGAATCGAACCCGAGACCCCTTGCTCGGAAGTCGCACTTGCGACCACTCAGCCAACGAGGCAGTCAGTATAAACAAAATTATAGGGTCTAAATTAAACTATTAAGTTGCACTTAATGCCACTGTATGAATTAATGTACGTTTCCGTTACCCAGGCCAGATGTTGTCTAAAATGGTTATTTAAATCTTATAGATACTTAGTTTTGGGGACATTTTTAAATTTGCGCTTATAGTTTTTTAATTATTTCACAAAAACATTTCTGCTGGGGCAACGTTACCCCAGCTAGACCTTTTTCTTTCTAATGGGAATAGATAAATAATTACTAGCTATAAAATTAGTCGTCTAGATGAAGTAAATATTGTGCCTTATTTTGTATTTGTTCTTTCATCAGTTGCAAAGCTATTCAAAATTTTGATGGGGTAACGTTTTTGGTTTTGCTAGATGTTTGAAATGGTCAAGCGGGTTTTTGTCATATTTTGTAACGCCCAAACGGCTTTCAACATTTCCATTTTGCAATGGTTCACTACTTATTTGTTGTTTTAAAGATTTTATTTCTTGGTATAACTATTGTTTTACCGAGACAGAACCATTTTACTTCGGGACGAAAACGAAATACTTGTATTTATATTTTATTTTTTCAGTCATAAAGCAACCATCATACGTGCTGGAATACTTAAAGAAACATTTCACCGAGTGGACCTCTTATGATGAAGATATTGACAGCCCACATGTAAATGTAAGTCTGCTTTTATTATTTTTAACATAACATTACATCACGCCTGTCTTCCCCGAAGGGGTAGGCAGAGGTGCACATTACGGCACTTAATGCCACTGTACAATGTAACACCCACACTTCACTATTTATGTTATGAATCCCACGTAATAGGGGGTGAGCCTATTGCCAAATACCGGGCACAATTCAGACCCCGTGCTACTACTGAATTTTTTTAAAACCCCATTAATTTTTTTATTTTTTTAAAGGAGAATGGCAGGTTTGTATGGAAGTTTTGTACCGCTATAAAATTTTGTATTAATCATTGTTTCAACCAAGTGAATAGTCTGAACGATAGATATTTTTGTTATGAAGTTATGAAAAAAATTACATATTTTTAGAAGTTGGGGTTCAAAAGTTATTTCACTTTGAAAATGTGCAAAAGGTACGTTAAGGTGGTACCACACTTGACATTGCGTAGTCGCTACATTTGTCCAAATATTTGTAGACTACGTACAAATGGCGTCCAAATAGTATCTCTATATGTAATGGCGTGCAAATATATAGCAAACAAAGAAGAATAAATCCTCCAAACATGTTCTTTTTTGGCCGAACACAACAAATACGCAACGTCAAGTGTAGAGCCACCGTAAGCAAAATATCTATTACAAATGACAGATGACAGTTAACTGAAAAATGTCAATGTGCTCTCATGTGGTTTTTTATTTACAAAAAACAAAAATCTAAAAATACTGCTCGCTACTCAAGTGACTATTACACTTTGTATTATTAGGAATGATCCTGTTAATTCAGCAAGCATGATGTACCTATAGAGTTTTAAAGAGTATGCCTCACAATCTTTTTCATTTCTTAGGTGCCTACGAAAATGCAAATTCATAATGTAAGTGACTGTCATTGGGTAGAAGGCCTACATTTAGCAGTGGAAGTCTTGTGGCGGATATGATAAAACTAGTCTCACTTCACTTGAATCTTGCATGTAGATAGTCTCAAAGGTCTCAAGTTAATTCGATTTAAACTTAGCTTAGCTCTTTGAGAAAGTATTCTTCTGAAAACTGGGCTTAGCACGCGTGTAAGGATTAATTTCTAATAAGTAAGTCAAATTAGTAGAATCATCAACATTTTCATCATTAAGTCTATAAGTGGCCACTGCTGACCGAAGCCTCTTCTCGCATGGAGGTTTGAGCATTAATCACCATACTAGCTCAATGTGGGTTGGTAATTCAAACTTATAATAAGAAATAATAAGCCCATGTTTCCTCACAATGTTTTCCTTCACCATTCGTCAGCGGTGTCTTTGTACTTTTTAGATTATTGAATATACAAATAACTCGAAAAAAAGACACATTGGTACTTTGCCGTTGGTAGGTTTCGAACCCGCACTCTCATGCATGAGAAGCAGGCTTCTTAAACCTCTGGGCCACCACATTACAATTAAAGAAAATGTAAAATGAAAATGAACATTTTTGGTATAAAATTAAAGCTTAGATAGCTTTTTAACTCGTCGAGTACCGGTTTTATAGACACAATTAAAGAACAATAGGTCGCGGTCACCGGTGACCGCTTGGTGTTTGACAGTTTAATATGGCATTTATTTTATAGATTCATTCTTAAAATCACTTTTATCAAGATGGAATATTATATAGTTACTTACTAGGTTAAAATAAAACAAATGTATTATTTTGACATACTTTTATTTCATTGTATTCAGGTTGTTTCTAGGACTACTTCATCTAAAAAGAGAACAGGCAGTGTCATAGGTACAGCAGACATCAATTGCTGATATCTGTAAACAGTAAGATAACTGTAAATAAAGTAAACAAAAGTAAATTTTTTTCCTTTAGTTTTATATGTTATAATAATATGTCTGATTCCCTATCTTAAAATGGAAAAGATAAAAATAAATATTTGATTACATTACTTGATTTTATAACATTTTTATAGTTATTCGTATAACACAGATCATAGGAGCTCAAACAGCATGCTAATTAATAAATTATAATTATAACATGAGTATAAACCTATTAGAAACCACTTATATACTCCACATAGATACATAATTATGTAGGTACATTATAATGAGAATGCATACCTGTTGAAGCTTTGAGAGCCGAACAACATCTTCCGGCCTCATCTGTTCTACAAATGGCAATGTTAAAGTGAGCTTAGTCCATGTTTACATAACACATTACTTCCTGATAGTGAACACTGTGAGGTGGTATGTCAGGTTGTAGTTTTATAGTTTCGACTCTTGTACGGTCTCTCAGTCAGTATGGAACATGATCTTCATCATGGGAAGTAAGCTAAAATAAGTAATATTATTAGAATATGATATTGACTTTAGATTACACTGTATATAGATAATAGTATGGTTAAATTGCTTTATTACCTCTTGTGGCTGAATCCAATCAAATACTATATGAGCCAGTCTTTACTCCTGTTTGTTGGCACCTTCAATTAAAACCCTGCGTCACCTTATCATTGCATGAATCACCCATATACGACACAAACATGCCAGTGACCAATTTGTTTGCTGGACATGCTTTCAGCAACATCCCGATACATTGCTAATTGCCAGCAAGCATTGCAAATATGGTCGGTAGGAGAGATCTAGAATAAAAAGAATAAAATGATACATTATGGGTAGATAACACTATGCGCTTCTTTTATTCAGGCAACATGGTGACTTTCGATATGTTATGGGTAAACTAGGTACTTACATCTCTAGGATAAGTCCACAATGGGATATTGTTGACCACGTCTAATCTTCACTCTCATTTCCTAGAGCATGCCGTCTCATGTGCGACAAACTCTGATGCAATTAATGCACTGTAAATTCATCATCGCGACAAATTACAACACACTATGCCCAAAATAATGTAAATAAGTGTCTTTTCGCAATTGTCACAACAATGATGCCAATAACACCAATTTGGGCTACGGAGGAACGGTTGCTAAACTCAACGTATCACCAGATGAATAAAATAACTTCAAATTCAACAAAACATCATAACATCGCATTTGAAACAAACAGCAATGCGCCAGTATTGACATTTGACAAATTAATTGTCAATGTCATCAAGACAAATGCCAGTTCAACATTGCCATATTCAAGTTTGTTAAAATGTTAATATTATCATTAATAATCCATGTAGACGTAGATTTAGATTGGATGTAGATTTTTATATTTACTTATAAAAATGTTTGAAATGGAAAGGAAAATATTTCATTGATAGATATTAAAATAAATGAGTTTATGAAATAGCGAAATTCAATATGCTCTGATTTCATCTTTACGCATGGCAACTTTGTAAACGTCAATCGCGGTTCGTTTTACGTTTATAGTGGATTGCTTTTTATCATTATTGAATATCAGTTTTTCTAGGGTTTCCCAAGTTCTAAAAATCTATTAAATATGCTAACATAACGTACTTAGGAGGTTCTATAATGACCCAATTTTTTAATGACAAATCTTTTTTTAGCGAAGCGGTACAAAATCTGCCGTTCTCCTTTATTTATTTTTATCAGGCAACGAAGGCCCATATTAAAATAATAATGTAATGTAATGCTTTGCCCGAGCCGGGAATCGAACCCGAGACCCCTTGCCCGGCAGTCGCACTTGCGACCACTCGGCCAATGCGGCAGTCCTTTTTTTATATTGTGATAAAAAGCGTGATGTTATGTTGTGTTAATATCAAAATTGTTCTATTTTTTCAGAATTCTGACGTCAAAATACTAAGAACTGTTGGTAAAAACTTAAATTTATTAAAAATAGACAAAAATAAGTCTATATCTATGACTCAAAATGCTACAGAAGCAGATCTATTGAAAAATAATTCCCAAATATTTTCCTTTACTGGTAATAATGAACCTAAACGAAAAGATTTTGAAAAATCAACTGAAATTGTCAATGAAGACATAAATAAAAATAAACGCAAAGATACTACAATCAATTTAAGCACAAAAGATACTCAAATTACTATGAAAATCGATAATAACACTTTAGCAGAAACCTCCAAAACGGATGCACCTAAAGTGATAAGATCAGTGAAGTTGATAGATGAATATGAGAAGAAAATTAGACAACCCGTCGACCTGGATTTGCTTGATTATTCAGAGATTTATGAACCATCGTTAGATGGTAATTTTGAAGATGATTCAGTAAAAGAAACCGAAGGTTCGTTTTGCAGTAAAAATAATGAAAATCAAATTGAAAAGAATAAAATAATTGATTCAAGTAATATTATTGATAACGATATCATAGAAAATTGTAATAATTATTATCATGAGACCAAAAATAACAATCAAGATGCAAAAACCATCGAAAAACCCGACTTCGAAGCCGAAAGCGAAACTTTCACGGACAAATTCGACGAAAGCGGAGTATTTAACGATGTTTCGGATGTAAATAACGATGTGTCTATACGTAACGATAACGATGGTTGTGACAAAGACGACGTGACTAACGATTCTGGGTTTGAAAATGAAAGCACTTGTGCACATATCACTGTGAAGATATTTTTTAACGAACTTAGCACTACTTTTAAAGCCGTGAGCAAGTTTGTGTGAGTATTTTTAAGATTATTTTTTGGATAAACGAGTAGACAGATCACCTGATGGTAAGCAATCGGCGTCGCCCATGGACACCTGGAACACTAGAGGAGGTACAAGTGCCATACCGGCCTTAATTTTGGGTTTTGGAGATCGGGGATAGGGGGTTAAAATGGGAGATAGCTTCCATAGGTTAAGCTGAGGCAATATATCCCCCTTATCTATACAAGTATTTAGTCTAAGTAAAATAGAGTTTAAATCATTTTCTGTTTTGTGGTTGTTCAAGTTTTTTTTAGGATTTTTTTAAAATACACGCCTCCCTTTCTTCCTCTTGATGTTTCGTGATGTTTTGTCGAACCCCGACTCCGCTAATGACCTATCGTGTTTTTGCTTACCATATGGTGCTAGTATAATCTCCTACGTCCAATAGGGAACCAGCTAGTGTCACGCCATTCGGCATTTAATATTTGACAGCTGCTGTGATTGGACAAAAAAACCCTTCCTACATTAGCGCCATAATTTTATTCATTTTTTTTTTTTTGAGGGTGGAAAGTCTTCCTATCACTTCTCTTGTCTCTTCTACCTTGGGTTGGAGATTAAGTACTGTGTAAAATGTGTGTAGTGTATAAAAATGTACTCAGTCCCTATTGCTAGGACTCATAATAAAAAAAATATTATTATGTATGTCTTTACCATTCACGGGACCACTGGGTCCCGGTCATTTGGAAGGCGTACGAGGGGCCGAAGCCAACTGCGCAGAGGCCCTTTAGACAACTTTAATTATTATTATATTATTATAAAAAAACTGGTCAATATTTTTAGACTTTATTCATGCCTAAAGGCACATCTAATACACTAATAAGCACAGCTCTGGCACGACGTTGTTACGTATTTGCCTACCGCTAGCCGCCAGCGCTTACGGTGCGTCGCCCGCGAGTTGTAAGGATGTCGCCGGCGCTCTGCCAGCGAGGTGGAAGCTATCACTACTAGTATAGTCAACAATACTTGGCATTTGAGATTGAATAACATAGGTAAATTAGATAAAAAACAATAAGCATATATGTAATACGAGTGATTTTGAAAATTACTCCTTAAAAAACAAACGGTATTAATAGTGTCATCTGCTAAACGGCAGCTAATGTTCGTTGCAATGTACCCCGTTGCTGAGAATGCCCTCTGACTCAACACTGGTTAGCAGTGTTCGTTACCCAGGTCAGATGTTGCCGAAAATGGTCATTTGAATCTTATAGGTAATTAGTTGTGCGGCCTCTGTAATTGTTGCGAACTTTTTTAAATTTGTTGCGCTTATAGTTTTTTAATTATTTCACATAAACATTTCCTGCTGGGGTAACGTTACCCCAGCCAGACCTTTTTCTTTCTAATGGGAATATTTAAATAATTGCTAGCTATAAAATAAGTTGTCTCGATGAAGTAAATGTTGTGCCTTATCTTGTATTTGTTCTTTCATCGGTAGCGAAGTTATTCGAGATTTTGCTGGGGTAACGTTTTTGGTTTTGCTAGATCTTTGAAATAGTTAAGCGGATTCTTGTCATATTTTGTACATAGCTTCTTAATTCCTTATTAATTCCTAGTTTAAATTTGTTCTGCAATAAAAATCCAAAATAATAAATAGCTTAAATGTTATTTCAGTAAATAGAAAAACACTTCAATTGGTCCCAGCACTCTCAATAAGAGCTCTAAAGACTTACTTTAAACGTTATTTTAAAACTTGTAACTGCCTTCAAATGTATGTGAAGTTTAATTAGTATCCTGTAAGTAGTACAAACAAATAATCTTTAAGCTATGCATTATTTTGTTTTTTTTATTGCAGAACAAATTTAAACTAGGAATTAATAAGGAATTAAGAAGCCATGTAAAAAATATGATAAGAATCCGCTTAACCATTTCAAAGATCTAGCAAAACCAAAAACGTTACCCCAGCAAAATATCGAATAACTTCGCAACCGATGAAGGAACAAATACAAAATAAGGCACAACATTTACTTCATCTAGACGACTAATTTTATAGCTAGTAATTATTTAAATATTCCGATTAGATACAATAATGTATGGTTGGGGTAACGTTACCCCAGCAGGAAATGTTTTTGTGAAATAATTAAAAAAATGTGCGCAACAATTACAGAAGGCGCACAACTAATCCTTACTAATTTTATGAATCGGAAAGTGAGTTTGTTTGTTTGTTCCACTTTCGCGCCGTAACTACTAAACCGATTGTTTTGAATTTTTGCAGACGTGAAGTTAGAAGTCTGGATTAAATAATAGGGCACTTTTTATCCCGGAAAAATTTGATATTCTCGAGGGAAAACGAAATTATTGGTATAGATGGCGCTGTGTGTAATGGTATAATGTCACATAAGCTACTTTTTATCCTTTTGTGACGCGAGCGAAGCCGCGGGTAAAAACTAGTTATCTATAAGATTCAAATGACCATTTTCGACAATATCTGGCCTGGGTAACGCACACTCGTTGGCACCAGCGTGGCGAAGCAATTATATGCAAACTGCAGAAATCGCCCCCTTGTTCCTCCACACTCAAATAAATCCATTTTTTATGGTAGACTCTAATTTGTCTAAGCAAGTGGACGTGGATATACGTGCAAAAAGACTTTTAGACGCTCGCAGAGTTTCTTCTAATTCCTCTTGAAGTGATTTATCAGTTTGTGCAGCACGTAAATTCAAATCTTCTGCTATTACTGAAAGAGGCAAGTGATTTGATTAGTACTGTCGTATTAATCCCTGCTTGGTTTGATTCTTTACGATATATCATTGTGATTATATTTTTTATTTCTTTTCTTATAAGATACTTGCTTGGTAATTGAAAAATCCCGTTGCCTTCCCTCAATCCAATAGCTTGTTTATTTAACTCACATAAACAATAAAAAATTTGTAATTTAAGAAAAAATTATCACTAACTATAAAAAATAATGACAAACGTACCTAAACAAACATTATTTATTTATATCTTGTTTTTATTAATTTTTAATTACTGTGTTATTATTGTATTGTCACTGTGTTGTTATACTCTGTCGTTTTTTTTCTCCATATCTATATAAATATGTGTGTTTATTTGTTCTTTTCTTTTTTTAAATTTGTATTTTTTTTTGTATCTGTGTGCGTGCCTACTGCCGAATGAATGTTTTTCTTCCTTTCTTTCAAAACAAATGACTGCCTCTTCGCGCGCATATACTTCTTCCTCACTTACTCGACACAGTTCTGTATTATCTGTCCCACTCGTAACCTGTCGCTAATATTCGGAAATAGTCAAAATAGTTTTCTAACGCTGTTTAGCGTTCCTGCGACCCAATCCCGTCAATCTAGAACGGATCTCGTCATATGATGCGTTGGGATTGATCCCGATAAATTATACGATATCTCGCGAGATCGGGATCCCGCGGGATCGGGGATAAAAAGGCGTGATGTTATGTTATGTTTCAGTACAACCTTCAGTGAAGATATTCAAAGAAGAGGATTAAACGATAAAATTAGGAATGAACATCTTCAAAAAGCTACTAAGTGCTTAGAAAATTTGGGAGCTATAACACTACGATTAAAAAGGTAATTTTACTTTTATTTATGGAATAGGAGGCAAACGAGCTGACGGGTATGAAACCTACCAACGGCAAGTACAAATGTGACTTTTTCCGAGTTATATGTACTTTCTGATATTAACTCGTCGAGTACCGGTTTTATAGACACAATTAAAGAACAATAGGTCGCGGTCACCGGTGACCGCTCGGTGTTTGACAGATTAATAAGACACCATCGTGGGGAAACTATTTTTTTTTTTTTGAGGGGTGAAAATCATCGATTGGCTTCTCCCGCCCGGGTGAGGCGAAAGGGTGAGTGTCAGACTCTTACTGACTAAAAACCACCCCGTTGCTACTCCTGCACTTCGAGCCGGAGCCCCGGCAACCCGTTAAAGTCTTCCTCGGGTCCGTATCGGCATAAGCCCTGTTGGGCCCCATCTGTGGTGGTTTGATGGCTCCTTAAGGCGCGCGCGGAACGCGACGCGCCGTACGCTCGGGCCTGGTTCTAGTCAGGCGGCAACCTATGCTGGCCGTCCGATGGCCCGTGCTTACGGTGACCGAAGATCGTCTCGCGATCGTGAAAGTTTGAAATTGCCAACCCGCTTTGAGCAAGTGTGGTGATTGATGCTCAAACCTTCTCCGTGTGATAAGAGGCCTTTGGTCAGCAGTGGACATGTATAGGCATAGTATAAAGAACAAAGTAGGTTATCTTCATACAAATGCTCCGCGCGCGGCTTATATGTGTGCGCCATAGTATCTATGCGTCGACGCACGCACACTATAACAAAATCTCGACCCGTTTCTCAGTGCGCCAGGCAGGGCTGACACTGTACGAGGATTGCGCGCGCTTCACGGCTTTTCGGCACTGTTCAATGAAATAAAAAATGTCTGATAATCGTAGAAGAACGTATTGCTGTGTGTTTGGGTGTCTTAATAATTAATCGATTCCAGAACTGTCTCTGTTCAGATTAGGTACCTATTGAACAGGAAAGGTAAGCTAGTCACTTTTTCTAGCATAATATAATTTGTAGGTACTTGATGATGAGATACCTACTTACTTATTCTTACTCTTATCATTCTTCATAGTTCCTACTCAACCAGAAATGTAATTACCTACTATACTTAAATATTATAAGAAAATGTGGTATTGTATTGTTTATTTCACAGTTTATCTGATTTGTTAAGAGCGTAGCCGAGTCGCAATTTTCCATATAAATGTATTCCCAAATTTACTTTCTGAATACTATGTATAGAGCTAAAGTTTATTTTAAGAATTTAATAATCTTTTTATAAGCTTTTAATTTTTACTAAATTTATAAATTGATAAAATATTCAATCATAATATGCTTTTCATTTCATAAATTTAGATCAAGTGCTGCTTGTTCGAAAATATTAACTAAAAGTAAAAGTGACAACCCTGGGGATCAACGCAAGAGTAGGCTAATAACTCGGCGGGCGGCCTTAGATAACCTACTGTGTTCTTTCTACTATGGTATAGGCTGTTGATGAGCAGACGGATCACCTGATGGTAAGCGATTAGCGCTGCCCATGGACACCCGCAACACCAGAGGAGCCACAGGTGCGTTGCTGGCCTTTTAAAAAGGAATACGCTCTTTTCTTGAAGGTTTGAAGTTCGACTGCCTCGTTGGCCGAGTGGTCGCAAGTGCAACTGCCGAGCAAGAGGTCGCGGGTTCGATTCCCAGGTCGTGCAAAGTATTACTGGGTTTAAAAAAAATCTCAGTAACAGTATGTAGTATGGAAATTGTGTCCGGTATATGGCAATAGACTCACCCCCTATTACATGGGACTCGTAACACAAGTAGTGAACACTATGTGTTACATTGTACATAGCCTATCCCTTCGCGGGTAAAAGGCGTGATGTTATGCGTAAATCTTAAATTGTTTGCCAATACAACCGTGGGTTATCGAAGCTAGTTAAAAATAAAACATCGACAACTTTCTTACCTTACCACATATACCAAGTTTCTTAAATTATATAATTGTTCCAGTATAATCAAACGAGAATCAGCAGAGGTGACAGTACTCAAGACGTTATTGCTCAAAGCGGGACTCGAAGCCACTAGCGATAAGAGGGTCACGCGATACAGGTAAGAAAACTTCTATTATCTTATCATCATATCAGCCACAGGACGTCCACTGCTGAACATAGGCCTCCCCCAATGACTTCCAGATAGGCCGGTTGGAAGCGACCTGCATCCAGCGGTTCCCTGCGACCCTAATGAGGTCGTCTGTCCACCTTGCGGATGGACGTCCTACGCTGCGCTTGCCGGTACGTGGCCTCCACTCGAGAACCTTTCTGCCCCAGCGGCCGTCGGTTCTCCGCGCTATGTGCCCTGCCCACTGCCACTTCAACTTGCTAATCCGCTGGGCTATGTCGGCGACCTTTGTTCGTTTGCGGATTTCCTCGTTTTTTAACCGATCTCGCAAAGAAACTCCGAGCATAGCCCTTTCCATAGCGCGCTGAGCGACCTTGAACTTCTTTATAAGGCCCACAGTGAGAGACCACGTTTCTGTTCCATAGATCATCACTGGTAACACACACTGATTATAGACTTTCGTCTTGAGGCACTGAGGTATGTTGGACGAGAAGATGTTGCGTAGTTTCCCGAACGCTGCCCATCCAAGTTGGATTCGACGATTGACCTCTTTCTCGAAATTGGACCTACCTAGCTGGATCACTTGTCCTAGGTATATATATTCGTCAACAATTTCGAGGGTAGAGCTCCCAACTGATATCGGGTAGGCGTAACATGGGCGTTTCGACATGACTTTCGTCTTGTCCATGTTCATTTGGAGCCCTACCTGTTGAGAAACTCTACAGAGGTCATCGAGCATTGTGCTTAGATCCTCCAGCGATTCTGCCATGACCACAATATCGTCGGCAAACCGGAGGTGTGTGATGTACTCGCCGTTGATGTTAATGCCAGATCCTTTCCATTCCAAAAGTTTGAAGGCGTCTTCCAATGCAGCGGTAAACAGTTTTGGAGATATGACGTCTCCTTGCCTTACACCTCGCTGCAGGAATATCCCTCGTGTTCCGGTCCTGTACTCGGACCGACATAGTGGCGTTTGTGTACAAGCACTTTAAAACCTCAATGTACCGATAGTCAATACGGCAACGCTGGAGAGATCTTAACACCGCCCAAGTCTCGATCGAATCAAAGGCCTTCTCATAGTCCACAAACGCTAAGCATAGCGGCAAGTTATACTCCTCGGTCTTCTGTATAACCTGCCGCAGTGTATGGATGTGGTCCATGGTGCTATAGCCTTTCCGGAAACCGGCTTGTTCGGGAGGTTGGAAGTCATCGAACCTACGTGTGAGACGATTCGTAATGACCCTCGAAAACAGCTTGTAGACATGGCTCAGAAGTGAGATGGGTCTGTAATTTTTCAGTAGAGTATTGTCTCCTTTCTTGAAGAACAGCACCACCACACCTCTGCCTATTATCTTATACTATTATATAAAACGGAAGTTTGTTTTTTTGTTTGTTTGTTTGAACGCGCTAATCTCCGTAACTACAAGTCTGATTTGAATAATTCTTTTTGTGTTGGATAGCGCATTTATCCAGGATGGCTATATGCTATAAAACGTCACGCTACGACCAATAGGAGCTGAGCAGAGCATGTGAAACTGCGCGGAAGTAGCTAGTATAACATATTACTATCATATTACTAACATATCACTATATTACTATTCATTCATCGACGTTCGTTCGTTCGTTCACTTCGGAGTACCTCTCGGCCCAAGTTTTATAGGGAATCTATACAAATAAAAGTCCATTTGTGCTACAATCGATTTATTATTAAACATAGTGATCATTTCCACCACAAGCACGCAAAATTGTGCAATATAAGGGCTGCGTCGACAGAACAGTATTCCGGTGATTGGTGAGCAATAATTTTAGAACTACCCGCCACAGTAATTATACTTGAGGGAAGGACCCCACATAACATCACTCGCTAAGTTGCTACCAACGCCATCTGTTAGTCGTCTCCGGCAACACCCGAAACTCATCGAAGATGCCGGGCGTTAAATGCGGAGGTTGTGGGCGTTTCATAGCAACGCAGGATGGTGCCAAATGCACCAAATGCCATGAGTTATACCATCGGGCATGTGTGGGCATCCCCACAAAAGCTGGAATTGCATCAAATTGGCGGTGTCCCGAGTGCAAAAAACATATTGCCCGGGACAACCGGACGGAAACACCCATCAGAGGTTCTGTGCAGAGCCCCTCTACTGATGGCGCGACGATGTCTACTGAGGCAGACTCCGATATTTCGAGAAGCCCTAGTGATTCTACCTCTGAACCCCTCTCTAGGTTGTCTGTTGCGGCGGACACAGATTTGCATGCAATTGTTGTGGAGCTTCGGGCGGTGCGAGATGAGATTAGGGGGTTTCGGAGGGAGATGAAGGTGGAGATGGTGCAGCTGAAGGCCGCCCTGGGTTTTTGCAGCACGCGTATGGACGGTTTGGAAGCTAGAGTTGACAAACTGGAGCAGCAGGCCACCGCCGCTGCAGGTTCCACGAGCTCTAACGGCCTGGAAAGGGTTGTGGAGGATTTGAAGAGGGACCTCAACAGCAGGGACCAGGACGCCCTTGCTAACGACATAGAGGTGTCAAACATGCCGGAGACAGGGGCGGAGAATCCGGCACATGTTATCAAGGCAATTGGTCACAAGCTTGGGGTCAGTATCAACGGCTGCGACATTGTTAGCGCGGAGCGGGTCGGTGGGAGGCAGCTCAACGTGACGAGCTCGACGGGACCGACTGAGTCTCGCCCGCGGCCACTAGTTGTGCGCCTCGCTCGCCGGGACCTGCGAGATCGACTTCTGGCGGGCGCGAGTGCGGCGGGGTGCGACCACTGCCGACCTTGGCATGCCCGGCCCGGCGCAGCGCTTCTTCATCAACGAGCGGTTGACGAAGGTTAACCGTCAGTTGTTTCGGAGGGCGCGAGACGCTGCCCTCGTCCAGAAATGGAGGTTTGTGTGGACAAAGCAGGGCCGCATTTTCACCAGGAAGGAGCCGGGAGACAGAGCGCAGAGGATCCGCACCGATGAGGACTTGTCCCGGATTTTTGGCACTGCAAATGGAACGGCTTGTTTGTAATTGTATTTATAAACACATTTATTTAATAATATGGATTTTACAAATATTTTTATATATAGGATTACACCACTTCTACTAGAACAAATAAACATTTACATACAATATATAAAACACACATACACTTTACATCTAAAACTGAACATATTTACATCACTCATGCTTACTCTAAATATACTTACAAACACATACACACATTATCACTATCTTACATATTATACTGTTGAAGGTTTATTTACACGTGAATCAACTTTAATTCATTACAGTCAAATAAAGAGTACAATATATGGATATAAAAATTTAAAAATAACTAAACAAATACTGACTAACATTTACAAAAAAAGGCAATTACTGCAACTTCGCTTTCATACATCCCTACATGCCATAAATATATTGCATATTTTCTTACAGCTTCAAACACACTATATAAATAATACCCTGATCCTAAAATGTACCGTGTATTTGCTAAAACATAATAATGTGTGACCCTCTACAAACAATAAATGACCTCGATAATTTAAGTATTGCGAAAGCTATAGAATGTGATTGTAGTGAGCTCGCTAACAACTATAATATAAATAAAAGTGACCTTACCATAATTTCCCAAAATATTAGGAGCATATACTGCAATTTTAATGACTTCATAGCAAACTTGTCTTGCCTCAATTTTGACGTAGATGCAATAATTCTAACTGAATGCAGACTTGATCGAAATAAACCTATACCTACTCTGACCAAATATCGTTCCTATGCTACTACTCGTCAACAAAACCAAAATGACGGCGTAGTAGTATATATCAAGGACACCTTAAAAGCCAGTGTCACAGAATTAATGATAACCCATGCATCGTGTCTACAGCTAAATATTCTAAACAATATTATTTTAGGTATATATCGTTCACCATCAAACAATAATGCGGAACCTTTTATAAACTCCTTGACACTCCATCTTGACAACCTAAACTCTCAAAACAGTAATGTCATAATTGCTGGTGACATTAATATTAATATTATACCTAAACACACGGAACAAACATATGAATTTAAAAATAGAACTTCATACCTGGATATGTTATCGAGTCATGGTATTCTATCTGGTCACACCTTACCTACAAGGGAGGCCAATTGTCTTGACCACTTTATGTTCAAAATTAATAGGAAACGGCATTCTGCCTTTATAGCTATCCTACTTACTACTATTACAGATCACCGCACAATCTTTCTATCGCTATCTAAAATAAAACATTGCCAAACTACACCAACAACGACTCGTAAAATTGACTTTGAAAGTGCCTTACAACAATTAAAAGAAAAAAATCTATCATCTCTGCTTTTCTGCGAAAATCCGAACTACATAACAGAATGTTTAATCCAGGAACTTACTGACTCACTAAAAACTAATACTACTATTCACAAAATCCCTAAAAATAAACGAACCATTAAACCCTGGATCACGGAAGGCATATTAAGATGTATAAAGAATCGTAACAAGCTTCAAAAACAATCTCGAGACGACCCCCATAATGAAATTAAAAAAATTACATATGCTCGTTATAGAAACCATTGCAACAACCTAATAAAAAAAATAAAAAGAAAATATGAAAGAAACCTCCTAACTAAATCATTAAATAATAATAAATTACTTTGGAAAAACCTGAGAACCATCACCTATACAAATAAATGTACTAAAACGAATACTGAATTAACTAATCTAAAAGCATCACCAGTGGAATCAGCAAACTTCATAAATCAATATTTTGCAATATCGGTAACCAACTTGCAAATGATATCCAACAAAAAGTAACCCAGAATGACCTGAATCTTTATCTACGTTCTTTACCTAGTCTCTCTAAATCTTTTGTTCTTCTGGATACAGATAACAATGAAATAAACTCTATTATTAACTCTCTAAAATCGGATAGTGCCCCAGGATGGGATAATATCTCTACTAGGTATTTAAAACATGTTAAGAATGAAATAATTCCAATTTTGACACATCTGGCTAATCTTTGTTTTACGCAAGGCATCTTCCCTAGCTCCTTAAAAAAATCAATAATAACCCCTATATACAAGAATGGAAATGAGGGTGATATCAACAATTATAGACCAATTTCTGTTATTCCTGTTATAGCAAAAATATTAGAAAAACTTTTAAATTGCAGACTATTAAGTTACCTTCAAACCAACAACATTCTATCCCCATCCCAATTTGGCTTTAGACGAGGTATCTCTACGGAAGATGCTATCACATCTTTAACTTCTTTACTTACAAAAGAACTTGACAAAGGAACTAGGTGCTTATCTGTTTTTATTGACCTAAAAAAGGCCTTCGACACGGTTTCTATTCCCATTCTTGTCCAAAAACTGGAGAAAATTGGTATTAGAGAAACACAACTAGCTATATTTACAGATTATCTAACAAACAGAAAACAGAAGGTTAAGCTAGAGAACTACGTCAGTGGGGAGGTTGACGTTATTTGCGGTGTACCCCAGGGGAGCGTTTTGGGACCAACCTTATTCCTCATTTACATTAACGACTTATGTAACATGTCAATTAATAATGCCAACATTTTTTCGTATGCCGACGACACCGCAATTGTCTTTACTGGCTCAAACTGGGCTGAAGCCAAAATCAGTGCTGAAAATGGTTTGTTACAAGTAGCTTCATGGCTAAAAACCAACCTTCTAACATTAAACACAAGCAAAACTAATTACATATGCTTCTCAATATATAAAAATGTCCAACCAGATCATGATTTCAAAATTAAAATACATGAATGTAAGAGTGTAGCAAATCACAACTGTAATTGTCCAATCTTAAGTAAAGTCAGCCACGTCAAGTATCTAGGTGTAGTGTTGGACCAAGGCTTGTCCTGGTATCCTCAAATCGAAAAAATTACTGCGAGAATACGTAAGTTTATTTGGATTTTCAAAACTCTGCGTCATGTAGTCCCTAAGAGTGGCGAATCAAAAAACCTTCTAAATGAAGTGTATATCTCGCTAGTCCAATCAGTGATAATATATTGTATTTCTATTTGGGGAGGGGCACGTAAGACACGTTTTCTTGAAGTTGAAAGAGCACAACGGACATTAGTAAAGGTGATGTACTTCAGGAAGAGGAATTTTCCCACTTTCGAGCTATATCAAATTAGTAACCTATTATCAGTCCGAAAATTATATATTTTACACATAGTACTAAAAAAACATAAAACCATACCATTCGATTTTAGAATTTTGGCTAGAGGAAGAAAACACAATGTTGCTTGCACCACTCGGGTAAAAACAGAATTTGCTAAATTTCAGTACGATACACGCTCGACTTACTTATATAATAAAATAAATAAAGAAATACATATCTACGCTAAACCGTTTAAAGAATGTAAATCGTTACTGTTTAACTGGATAAACAAGTTATGTTATGATGAAACAGAGAATCTACTGTTAAATAAAAATTAAATCTAAATTAGGCTGTTCCTATTTACAAAAACCTAGTTGCGTGTAATACAACCTTGCACACACCCTTTCACTCACAAAAACACATACACCCGCACACAAGCACACACGCACGCACACTCTCACACACATAGTCACACACACACACACACACACACACACACACACACACACACACACCACACACACACACACACACACACACACACCAACAGACTTATGATATAACTAGACTTTCAATTATTAATTTTAACTATTGTAACGTATTACACTTGTATGATATAAAAGAGCGGCGCCTCCTGGTACAGGCATTTATATGCTTAAAAGGGGACGCCACCAACTGTGTAACTTTGTATTAACGTGTAATAATGAAATAAACATTTTTGATTTTTTTGATTTTTTGATTACTTTTCATCTCTGAGGGGATAGGCAGAGTTGCACATTTTATGGACTTCTATATAGGGCTAACTTATATTTGTTATTGCTGAAGATTTGATAAATATTAAAACTGATATTAATTTTTTTCTCAAACCATTGCCTTACACTCGGATTTTCATCTGTGTTGTGGGTGCATTTACAAACATACAAGTTCACATACACACCCAGACCCGGAACAGCAATCTGTGGATCAAACAAAGAGTTGTTCCGTGCGGGAAACGAACCCGCGACACGTTGCGCGGCAGCCTGTGGCCCAGTCACCGTGCTAACCGTGCAGTCACTTTAATTATTATTACTTATGAATAATTCCTTCTTATTTGCAACAATAATTTTAATATTTTGACTTAACCTAGCTGATCTTTTCTATTTTATCCTTACTAATATTATAAATCTGAAAGTGAGTTTGTTTGTTTGTTTGTTCCACCTTCACGCCGTAACTACTCAACCGATTGCTTTGATTTTTGCAGACGTAAAGTTAGAAGTCCGGATTAAATAATAAGGTACTTTTTAACCCGGAAAAATTGATATTCCGGAGGAAAAACAAAAGTATTGGTATAGATGGCGCTGTGTGTATTGGTATATATCACATAGGCTACTTTTTATTCTTTTGTGACGCGAGCGAAGCCGCGGGTAAAAGCTAGTAATAAATATTTTTTAAAAGTATTACTGTGTTTTTAAAAAGAAATCTCAGTGGTCGCACGGAGTCTGGAATTGTGCCCGGTATATGGCAATAGGCTCACCCCCTATTACATGGGACTCATAACATAAATAGTGAAAAGTGGGTGTTACATTGTACAATGGCATAATGTGCACCTCTGCATACCCCTTCGGGGATAAAAGGCGTGATGTTATGTTATGTATTTTGTTACATTTACAAAACATCGGTTCTAGAACAAGTTATTATGGGCCCCAATCGTGTCTCGAAAGCAGTCGAGCACCCTCAAACAATAGTAAATCATTATAACCTAGTTTTTTCTTTCTTTTTCAGACAAATCGTATTAAAATGTTTACAACAAGCATTGATTTTGAAAAATGCACTGAAAATTATAATTTCTACTACTGCAGGCGACGTGGACGGCGTATCATGTAGTTTGGAGTCTATACATTCTAGATATTTTAATATTTTTGATAATTAACTTTAACCTATCTACTGTTGGACAAAGGGTTTTTTTATAACGGTTTACCATAATCACCACACTTATAAATTAGTTTGGTGATAACAACTATTATCATATTGTAAAAATGCTGTTGTCTTGTTGATGATGGTGATTAACTCGTCGAGTACCGTATTTATAGATACAATTAAAGAACAATAGGTTGCGGTTTAAACTGTCAAACACCAAGCGGTCACCGGTGACCGCGACCTATTGTTCTTTAATTGTGTCTATAAAACCGGTACTCGACGAGTTAATAAAAAAGAACAACAGTTTAATTAATCTTTCTAAAGAAGGGTTTACCATAATCACCAGTCGTATTAATTAGTTCGGGGATTATATTTATCTTATTGTAGAAAATGCTAATGTTTGCCTGATGATCATTAAGGTATCCCTCTAAAGAATGGTTTACCTTAATCACCACTCTTATAAATTAGTTTGGGGATAACAGATATTATCATATTGTAAAAATGCTGTTGTCTGGTTGGTGAAGATGACGTTGATGAATCATAATTCGTATAATTTCCATTTAGATCTAACTTTCGAGTTATTCATTAAAAAATATGTACGTATGTATGTATGTAAGTTTTTGAACGTGTATATGTCCTTTAAATTAGCTAAATGCTATTTTTGTACTGATTTTGATTTCTAATAAAATTAGGTTTATAGTCGACTTCTAAATCGCTTCTTTACTTCATTTACGTGTTAACTCTAAAAAATTCAATATTCAAACTAACAAACAATCTATTCAATCTAATCATCATCTACAGCCTATAAATGTCCACTGCTGAGCAAAGCCTCTTCTCACACGGAGAAGGTTTTGGCTTCAATCACCACGCTTGCTCAATGCGGGTTGGTAACAAACTTATAATTAGAAGTTATAAACCCAGGTTTCCTCACGATATTTTCCTTCACCGTTTGTCAGTGGTGTCTAGATAATCTTAGAAAGTACATATAACCCGGAAAAAGTCACATTGGTACTTGCCGATTGTAGGTTTCGAAGCGGGCGTCTTAAACCTTCGGGCCACCACGACTCAATCTAATCATATTAAAGTTAAATCATGCCAATTGGGTACTTTTCTTAATCAAAAATAAATTATTTCGACTGTTCAATACAATAAAATATTATAAAATAATCACACTTTAATTAATTGATTTTATGACCAACTTAATTTTAGTATTTTTCCAGCAAATGTTTAAGAAATGAGTATGCTGTTGACGCTAAAAAATGTGACGTCACAATACACAATGTCGTACAAAATTCATAGAAAACTGTCGTTTGTCACAGTTCGAAAAAAGTATTGAATTTCACTAGTTGGCAAGTACACTATTACGTGCTAAATCTGAAAATCTAAAATATATTAAATAACAAAAAATCTAAATCTATAGAAATACAATATAATCATATCAAAATTAAATCATTTCAATTGGGTCTACCGTATTTTAGCTCACCATATACCATTAGTGTGAGCCTCTCGTTCTTCGTCTAGTAGGGAATTAGCTAGTGAGGTTACCGGAGGCCCAATAACCCCTCCTCCCCATTCTCCCCAAATCCCGAATCCCCCACAATCCTCAAATTCCCAATTGGCCGGTAACGCACTTGTAACGCTGGTGTTTCAGGTGTTTATGGGCGACGCCGATAGCTTACCATTAGGTGAACCGTCTGCTAGTTTACCGGCTTATCACATAAAAAAAATATGAAATAGGAGACAAACGAGCAGACGGATCACCTGATGGTAAGCGATCAGCGCCGCCCATGGACACCCGGAACACCAGAGGCGTTACAAGTGCGTTGCTGGCCTTTTAAAAAGGAATATGCTCTTTTCTTGAGGTTTTGTATCATTGTAACGATGGCCCTTAGAAGTAGACATAATTGAAGTAAAGAAGCGATTGTGTTATGTATTTTGTATTAGATTATTAGATATTAAGTAAAACGTAATATTAATTATATTCAAGACGATGGCCGTAGACCATTAACAGACTTTCAACTCTATATACAAAGTATTTGAGGTTGAAAATCTATTATTTTACTATTTACAACTTAGCCACCGATTTTTGCCATTATTAAAGTCGGGACCTGCCTTACCACCTAAGACAAATGGCATTTAAACGCTAGTGGAGACCTGTGACCCAATCCTCCTCCTCTCCCCCCTCTAGAAACCCCATCCGCCACACCGCCACACCCCCACACCCCTATCCACCGCACTTCCCCCCCCCCTACCCCCATCCCGAAACCCCATCACCCTCACCTCCCCTCCCCCCTAACCGAAACCTCGATATTCCATGGGTGAGGTCGATTGCTTACCATCAGGTGATCCGACACCTTGCTTGCCTAGTTACCTCTTAAAAAATCATTGATTTGACATTGATATTTCTGTTTAATCGACTAGATTGCGTTTAAATGCTATTTGTGTACGGAAAATAAGCGAGCGTCGTAAGCAAGCAACTTATAGACGCTCTTACTTTTTTGGCGCCGTCACTATGTGCAGTAGTAATGTGGCGTGCGGCCCTTGCCTACCCTACCTTATGCTTTGTTCCTACGACGCTAGTAATTTAGTCGAGTTGCGAATATTTTGCAGTTTTCTCTCACTTCAATTTTGGGCCAGAAACGAGGGAGGACTACTGAATATTTGCTTCTTCTCTGTCTTTTATTTGTGTTGGCCGTATTTGTGTTGGAGGCCAATACAGCTTTCCTCACGATCTCCTGACATTTCTCCCTGTTTGTGGATTGTCTGGCGCAGTCTGACACTGGGTTTCCCGTTGCCGATTTGACCTGCCTTCAGACTCTTGAAACTAATCTCAATGTCAATGCAATTTCAATTCAATGAAAACTCAATAATTATTCAATGTCAAAACCATATAATATCGTAGCTGTTAAAGTAGCATTCAGAGTACGAAATATAAAAACAAACTCAATACCATTTAGTTCATTCAATACCCACGCAATACGGATGCAATGGGCACTAGTGTTGCAACTCAAGAGTAGGAAATTTCACAATATCAATGTCGATCGATCGGAATTGGATTCGAGAGTAAGCCCACTGATCGGTCCAGCGCATAGGCGATCTGCCTCGTGATCTGGTTCCATCTATTTTCCCCTGAACGACCAGCCGCTCTATGGAGTTGTTATCACGACGAGAGACATGGCCAAAGTACTGCAGTATACGCGTCTGTACTATGCTTAATCGACTAAAATACTAGCGTAATGTGAACAATAATAGGTACGGCTCGGATTAGTGACCATTGTTATTTTTTTGGAAATATTTAAATAAAAATGTTAAGCTGACAGTTTATTTTTTGTTTTTAAATGATTTATAAATTAGTAGTCTTATAAGTTATATTTGTATTTTGTAATTATAAGACTTCATTGGCTGGAACCTGTTATTTTTTTAATGTTTAAAACATTGTTAATCAGTTTTTTTTTTCTTCATTTTAAGATGATTTAATAAAACTTATATGATTAATTTTTGTTTTATTTCGTAGTTTTTTTTTACCTTTGCTAATATACTTACCCTTATGATACACTCCCAGACACGAGAATAGGATAGCTTGGCACTGGTTGTTGTCCTAATTCCAAATCTTGCAATATCTTATAAACAACAAGCCCTAATTAAAAATAATGCTATTTTTGTATAGTCTCTTAGGTACCGGTTGAGACGTCGCAGATCAAAATTTCGCCACGTTCATTTGCGATGCACTTCTAAAAATTCATTTCAAAAAACTTCCTGACGGGAAAAAAAAATCTATACCCGAGAGGCAGTACGTATAAAATGATTTTGAAGACTGTTGCCTCCTGTCCAACTGATTTTTTTAAGAAGGGCGTCATTAAACTGCCACTGCGTTGGCATGATTGTGCAGAGATTGTATGGCTAATTACTTCGAAATACATGAAAAAAATCCTTTCATGTTTTTCATACAAAACGGCAATTAAATATACAAGACCTACTATATCTTTTAAGGGGTTGCGTCTCTTTTTTTTATATTAAATTGGACTGAAGTTTGACAACTATCTCGCCTGGTGGTAAGCGATGATGTGGCCTACGATGGAGCACGTCGACCCATAAGCGACCTATTCACTCGGGCCTTGAAGACACCCAGGTTTATACCCTTCAGGAAATACAGACTCTGGCAAAGAACTCCACTCCTTAGCAGTACGCACAAGGAAGCTTGATGCGAAGCGCTTCGTGCGTGTGGGCGGGACATCTACCATGAATCGGTGACGCTTCGTCGATTGTCTTATGGTATGATGATAGAAAGGACTAGGGGCAATCAAGTTGTGCAATTCCCCCGCACACTCTCCGAAATGTATCCGGTAGAAGATTGAAAGGCTTGCAACCTTACGCCTGTGTTCGAGGCTTTGAAGCCGGGCCTCCACAAGCGCATCATCGTTGATGAGGCTCTTGGCACGCCTCTCGATGTGCTCTAGAGCAGTACCTACTCCACACAAGACCGAACCTGCGTGGTGCATGGTGGGTGGCGTTCTTAACGGAACGCGACCCGGAGTCTCTAACACGGTACTATGAACTAGAGACAATCTGGTGAAGACCTCTGGGCTAGAGTTACTGTGAAAATGTATCCCCTTTTTTCCAAAATTCCCTCCAAATTCCACTGATGAAACTTATATGCGCTGGTTTCAAACGGTGGAAACTGTAATAGAATCCTTAAAAGGTATTATAATTGTCGTAGGAGATTTAAACTCAAATCCTAAGTATACATCACTGTATTCAGTTTAGAATATTTTCTAAACTACTTATTTCATCACCATCCACCATTAGAAGTGGCTTTCCCATTAGATAGGTACCAAAAAAGCCCATCTCAGAAGGCAATTACGAGTTATTACTTATATGCAGAATTAATAAATGGTTTTTCTTTCTTTCTTTTTTCATATGAACTCATCTCCAAAGCATGGGGTCAAGATATTATATCCTCACAGAACGCTGACACTGCCGTTGATAATTTCTATCTCTTATATGGTAGGTATATTTGATACATAATAAGAATAATAGACCCAAAAAACCTAGCAGGCGTTATCCGGTTTGGTTTTCATCACAAATAATTTTCAATGTCAAACATAAAGCTGAGCTTCATCACCTTTGGAAATCCACCAAAAATCTGATCATATAGCCAATTTAGTACTTACACTTTTTTATGGAGGGAGTATCATCGAATGACTTCGCCCGTCTGATTGAGGCGGGAGGTAGTGTCAGACTCTTACTGAGTAAAAACCACCCCGTTCCTACACCTGCCCTTCGAGCCAGAGTCCCGGCAACCCTTTAAGTCCTCCGCGGCTCCGTATCGAAATATACAGTAGAGCCAACTATAGCAACAAATCAACTTAGCTTATAAAGATTATATTGCAAACATCCAAACTAAATTGCGACGCGACACCCGCGCCTTGGCATTGGTGGCTTCGAAGTAACATATTGTATTGTCTAATAAGTTTATCTAGATAAATAAAACCAATGCACTAACGTTATAAAGTCTATATATTAAAATAAGAAATAAGTAAACAATAATAAGATCGATTAAGTTAAAGTTATACAAAGCGACAAGAGAATTGTAATTTCGATGCGCGCGCGATTCGTCTGTGTGGGCGAACGAGGGGCGCGTGCGGGGTTGAGCGCGGGGAGGCGACGGCGACGACAGCGCTCGGTGTGTCGAGCGGGCGGCTCCGCGAACACGCGAGGCGTCCGAGACTTCAACGCGGGCCGGGACCGCTAGCGGCCAGGCCATACATGCTCTGTGGGCCAGGCCGTGTGAAGGTATAGCTAAGGCCGTGTACAATACAAACGTTGTAAAGTTTTAAGACGTCTTACGGTATGAAACAAATACATACGTATTTGATATGTATATTATCTTGTACCTTAGCTAAGTACTTATATCCTACAGACTCTCTTCTTCGGTGGAGTATAGCAAACAAACTTCACTTTAATATTGCAAAATGTCCTGCCATGTCCTTTAGTCTTGCGCATTTTCCCAAACATATACAATATTATTTAGGTGGTAACCAATAGAACGGATTAGCACGTTACGAGATTTGGGTGTACTTTTTGATCCAAGGCTTAATTTCCATGATCACATGAAAGCACTTGTTGCCGACTCATATCGCAGACTTGGTTTTGTTACACGCAACATGCGAGACTTTAGCAATCCCCTGGCGATCAAACTCATTTACATGGCACGCGTTAGATCCAAGCTCGAGTCATCTGCAATCATCTGGAACCCTTATGAAAGTACCTACCTACGCCTTGCTTCTGGAGAGAGTTCAAAAGGCAATGCTACTACCTTTATCTATACCCAACTAAATTCTTATTAGGCATGCTGAATTTTTAATTTATACATCGAAAGTACTGCCTCGTTGGCCGAATGGTCGCAATTGCGACTGCCGGGTAAGGGGTCTCGGATTCGATTCCCGAGTCAGTAGTAGCACGGAGACTGGAACTGTGCCCGGTATATGGCAATAGGCTCACCCCCTATTACATGGGACTCATAACATAAATAGTGAAAATTGGGTGTTCATTGTACAATGTACCAAGACAAAAGAAAAAGAGGTGCACATTATACCATTGTACAATGGTATAATGTGCACCTCTGCCTACCCCTTCGAGGATAAAAAGCGTGATGTTATGTTATATATCGAAAATACTCCTTACGGCAAGTTGTTTTGCCGCGGGACGAAAACGAAATGGGTAGTATTAACGGTGTATGGTGTAAAGTGCGTGTCAATCTGTAAAAGTGCACCTATATCGTTTCTTTTGGGGATTTTTTTTAGGGGAGAAAATCATCGAATGACTGCTCCCGCCTGGGTGAGGCGAGAGGGAGTGTCAGACTCGTACTGACTAAAAACCTCCCCGTTCCTTCTCCTGCACGTCGAGCCGGAGCCTCGGTAGCCCGTTAAGTCCTCCGCGGCTCCGTATCGGAATATACACAGATATGAGCGCCGGTATTTGATAAGTCGGCGGCGGCGCGCCGACTAAAAACAGTCGGCGGCGGCGGCGCAGTCGGCGGCGCGACCATGGCAGTGAATCTAGTGCGAGGGAAGAAATGAAATGCCACTGTTTTCTGTTACTTATTGCTTTTAATTATATCACAGTGAATTAAACATTTTTGAGACAAGAAACAAAGAGATCAATATTTTGTTATATCTATTAAACTTTTTTGACGAAATAATTAACTACCTATTCTAATAACATTTGCAAGTACAAATAATCAACAATACCAACAAATTTAAATAATAATAAAACAATACAGAGGTATATAACCTAAGAAGCTAAACAAGCTAAGCTATTCATAAGCTTTTTTGGCAATTGAGTCCAGGTACACTACAGTAGTTGTAGGTACACATAATTACAACTTAATCATAGAGCCCACACTTACAATATGTAGCAAAATAATAGATAAGAAAAACGAAACAAAAAGTTTAACGAAAATTATGCATCGAGTAATCAAACAAGCAAACTAAATATCAGCTTTGCACTGGGTGTAATTATCATGAATGAATATAATACGATTTACTCTCAAAGGATTTAGTCGGGATCTTTTAGCGGTTATCAATTGTCCAGCGACGGAAAATACTCTTTCGCTTGGGGTACTTGTCGCTGGGACGAATAGTACTGCACGCGCCAAACTTGACAACCACGGAAATGATTTCTTTCGTTCCTGCCAATATTCAAGTACGTTATCTTTATAGGCCTGAAGATCTGCGGGCGTAGCTGTGCTAAAATATTTCCAGCACTCGGTTTCGATTATGCTGTCTATGTCAGCAGAGTTGACAGAAGTGCTGTGTCTTTTTGCTAGGTTCATGAAGAAAGATGAAGATGGTTTCGAAGTACTGGGTCCAGGAGTTGCATCTTGTATTATATGCTCCTGGACAATATCTCCATTTTTCAAAGTAGTTTTTGCATAAGTAGATAAAAATGTAACCTTGGTGGTTTGGTGTTGTTCCATGTAAACGTCAATATCTTTGATAGATTGGAATCTGCAATCTAATAACGTGGCAGCTATAATCAGGTCTGTGCAAGGAAAGCGGTAATCTAATTTAAGGGACATGTTACTTTTTAACATTGTTATCAGTGCCGGCTCATTGTCATCACATTCATCTAGTATTCTCCTTATTTCTGACTTGAAAACCAACGCTAAATTGATCGTAGTTTGCGAATCTGAACTCATCATTTCCACTATTGTTTTAAACTTTACTAAAAAAGTTGTCAGGGAAGTAATCAAATTGTACTCATTCTCATCAAGCAAAAAAGCACTGCGACCTATGTCAATTAACATGTCCCGAATAGGTCGGCGATTAGCCCTATGACTTATGCTTGAAAGCATCATAAGAATGCTATGCCATCTAGTTGGCGTACTCGTCTTGATAGTAGGAGGAGCACCCGTCCCAGGATTGGTCGAAGTTGAGGGTAGAGAGCTATTATATTCCAAATTATCTGGGACGACTTCGCCTTCCTCGTCCAGGTCTTCTAACTGCTCACCGACTGTTTCCAACGAAGATAAGAGTTCGCGCTGTTCGTCATTGGCAGCGGCTTCCAGTTGCGGAGCCCTGTATCGGATATGTTTCACTATTTTCTTACACTTGGTAATTAGGGAATAAACTTGGTGAGTACTCTCAATTCCATCAACAGTAACGAGGTTATGTAAGGCGTGTCCAAGGCAAAGATGGCTCTGTATGTTCATTAATTTTGCAGCTCTTTTCATGTTACTGCCAGAGTCCGTCACCAACACAATATCTTTTTCAGGAATCTCAAAAGTAGACAGCATATCATGAATTTCGTCTTTGATTCTTTCACCAGTGTGCTTTTCAGTTACTTGCTTCGTGGCCAGCGTAAATTTTAAGACCTTCATTTCTTCAGATATAAAATGGAATGTACCAGTTATATAATTACGACGTCTGTATTGGTCAGTCCACAAATCAGTAGTCAATGCGCCGAATTTTACGCTATTTTTTTGTATAACTGTTTTCACGTGGACTAACATACTTTTATAAACGTCTTCGAGGCCTTCACGAGCAATGTTTTGTCGCGAGGGAATGTCTTCGTCTCCTACTACAACGTTGTATTTTTTGAAAAAATCTCTCATAGCTTCATCATTAATGCTATCAAAGGGTAATAATGATCTGGCAAACCAAAGTGCTAAATCCCGTGAGAGAATCCACTTATCTTTTCTTCCACTGGTTTCACTGCTCTTTGTCACAGGCGTCGATCTTATTTGAACAGAGAAAAAGTCCTTGATAGGTAAGGCCTTTAATTTTTGCTGGACCTCTTCCAAGTTGTGTTCGTCCTTTAAGTGACGAAGCAGGTTACTAGTAGCTATGTTTTTGCTGTAGGCTTTCACGCGGGCTCTGAAAAAATAAACATATTGCATGCTTTTATTTCATTTTACGAAAACACTGTTACACGCAAAACAATTTGGTCTAACAAAAATTAAAGGCCTTATTAAAAAAATATTACTTTGTACGATTACTTTGTGTTTGTTTCAACTTGGACCATCGCCTTACAATACGAGCAAAATCGCTGCCGCATATGAGCTTAGGGCCGCTGTCTAAAATCATACGATGTTTTACTTACCTGCGTGAGCGCGGTGCACGGAGGTACCTACTTTATCAGTCTTACGTCGGCGACCAAAGATATTGTACAAGCGCTTAGACATTGCTTACTTGCTTGTATAAGTTTTATAATATACTATTTCTATTTCTATCTAATAATACTATTCATTTCTTCGAGTTTCGTCATTCATTTTTCCTGCTATATTACTACACAGCCAGGCTATAGTGGACTCTAATAACCTAGCAATAGGGATTAATTTCCTAAACTCCGTTAGTGGCTAATATGCAAACGTGTGTCAGGTAGTCATCTTACCTTAAGTACTTCGCGCCGTTCGCGTACTCGCGATTTTAAGCATATTACACTATTCTTAGTACATTATTATTCAGTCGGTATCGGTACTTACTTTGAAAATAGCAAATCGCAATCCTCTTCTTTTTCTCTTTTTAGGCAAGCGTCACAAAACACTTGCTCACCCAAAACAGTCCTTTTTTTTCCTCCAACGTTCACAATTAACTGACCGAAATGATTCCAACAAAAACTGTGTTTGTTGGTGGATATTTTATTTAAAACAGTTACAGACAGCTCCCTTATTTTAGTTTTTGTAACATCTATCTCTTCTGTCGACATTTTGTACTTATTTTATAACAAATAATACGCGCGGGCGTAGCGAACAGCGGGAGCGAACTGAGTTTTGCCAGCCGGCCGGCGCGCCGTCCGCTTCCTTCGGCGGCGGCGGCGGGGTGGTAAAGCGCGGCGGCGGCGGCGCTGCTATAGTTGGCTCTAACTGAGTTAGAGCCAACTATAGCAAGAAATAGGTAAACTTAGCTAATAAAGATTATAAGTATTGCAACCATTAAAACTAAATTGCGACGCGACACCCGCGCCTTCTGGCAGCATAATTGTAAGTACCTAATCTAAAAGGCATTGGTGGCTTCGAAGTAACGTATTGTAGTGTCTATTAGGTTTATCCAGATAAATAAAACCAATGCACTAACGTTATAAAGTCTATATATTAAAATAAGAAATAAGTAAACAATAATAAGATCGATTAAGTTAAAGTTATACAAAGCGACAAGAGAATTGTAATTTCGATGCGCGCGTCGAGCCGGAGCCTCGGTAGCCCGTTAGGTTCTCCGCGACTTCTTTTGGGAATATAGGAGTATCTAGGCTTAAAATTATGTTGTCTATTATTTCACGGTAAAATGGGGTGAGACAGAAGAGGGGTGAATCGATATTGGGAAATTTTTCATGGTATCAATTCACACCTCTACTGTCCCTATTCACATCTCGATCCCTATCCACCCCATTTTACGGTACCTACGTAGCGGGATCAAATAAAATACCACATTCGTATATATTATTTATTTTTATTACAACTAAATTACTTACATATTGGAATAAGTACCTATCACTGAATTTTTAAAAGGAATGGACTGTCCATTACATACTATATTTTTATGGGACGGCGAACGAGCAGACGGATCACCTGATGGTAAGCAATCAGCGCTGCCCATGGCAAGACTAGAGGAATTACAAGGGAATTGCCGGCCTTTTATGTAGGGAGACAGGGACTTCGGTAAAATTATGACGGAAATAAATTTTGTCAAATTTTTTTTACTGTCATGTACAGAGAATCAAGTATATTATCAAAATACCTGGAATTTTCTTTTTATTATGGAGAATACATGATTTAAAACTCTATTAATGATTTGCCCGATTTGAAATAAAAAGTATATTTCGTATGTAAGAGACAGTCCTAACCACATCGAATTTTGACTAATGGCAATACAAACAAATATGCATTGACTGGCAACACTTATTCTACCATCCATTTCAAAATTTGAATACATTACGTATTATAAAATGCTTTGATTTTTTTATAACGTAATCGAATGTAACTATTAAATAAAATTTGACAAAACTATATTTTTTATTGATTACAAAAATCCAATATCTTATTAAAATCTGACAAGGTTTTGGTATACCGTGTGATGATATAATCAGAGTAGAATACATTAGTAACTTCGTACTTCCCGCGGGTGTCGTGTACCCGACTAAGGGAGCACATTTGACAGAGACCGGGCAGCAGCGCTCTCTGATTAACCTGAACTTTTTACACTGCGATCTCGCTCGCGACTGTCAAGCAAACCCCTCTTATGTAAGAGGAGGCTCATAGTACCTACAGCAGTGGACTGTCATAAATTGTTGATGATGATAAATAAATATAATTTAGACAGAATTTTTAATAATACATTGTAATTTATTAATAGAAAAAGAACATTAACTCCTAAGTAGCCAAGATTCTTTTCAAAAATAAAAATATTGCAAACAAATTATAATACACCGTTGAACAGTACAAAAACAAAATAAATATATTAAATTTTGACTAAAACAATATTAGATAAATAGAAACATTTTTCTCATGATTTGTTCTCATACACAAAAAGTGGTAAGTAGATATGAAATTTGAAGAGCTAATGAGGGTTCCGTTATGTGCTCACTAGATGACGTTAATCTACAACGAAATCTGCGCATCCAATAAAGAATTAGCAAGTGACTGCTTATTTTTAAAAGGGAGTTTTGATGGGACAGCCCCGCTACAACCTCCCAAAACCGCTGCAACTCCTGTAAGTCACGATCTACAGTAGATACAACCATGAAAACACCGGAACACTGAAGTCCGGCGCGTCACAGGGACATGAATAACTGTCTTGGTTCCCGCAACGAAGTGAATCAGAAGATATTATAAGAGGAGTAGACGAAAAATCTATGGTTTCCACTTTCCTTGGTGAATTATTGAAGGAGATAGAATGAATTAAGCCTAAAGGCACAAAGAAGAGACTGTACAACTGGGTGAAGCCCAGGGAGCCCTTTTAAAAGGGGGGGGGGAGGGTAAATCATCGTATAACTTCGCCCATCTGGGTGAGGCGAGAGGGAGTGTCAGACTCTTACTGACTAAAAACCACCCCGTTCAGTCCTTCAGCTTTGTAAGCTACTGACTGCTAGAGTCAAACTGTTGGAGCTGCGGACGACCTAGGGGGATATCGCAGCTCCGTCTCGAAGTAGAAGTAGGAACGGGGTGGTGTTTAGTCAGTAAGAATCTAACACTCCCTCTCCCGGGCGGGAGAAGTCATTGGATGATTATCTTCCTTCAATAAAAAACCATTGGACAGCTTTTTGACAGCTATGATTGGATAAAAAGACTTGAAGCTACATTCGCGCCACCTAATGAGCAATAAACGAAGCTTTTGCTGAAATAGGGAGCGATTTAGGTTTACCCTTTGAGTACCGTCATTATAGACACAATTAAAGAACAATAGGTGTACGGACACCGGTGTCCTCGCGGTGTTTGACAGTTTAATTATATCTAGTTATAGTTATGTATAGAAATGGAAAACAATTCAAATCACACTTTACTTACACAACTAAAATACATACAAAACTAGACTCAATAACATTTTTGCATACATTTGATAACTAGAGATAGAATTTTGACATAGGCCCAGCGCAGACTGGCGGAGGCGCGGTGTGGATACTGAGAATAAATCAATTTTAATATAAATCTTACCTACTATGATATACGGATAATAATAGCATGCCAAAGATGAGAGGCACGTGGTGCTTCGTCAAACCTCTTTAGCAAGCTGTTTTTATTCATATGCCATAGTATTTAAGGTTTAATTATAATTGATTTATTGTCATTATCTTCGCCGCCTCCTCCGATGCATTGGGCCATAAGCTCCATACAAAACATATTACTGAGACTGGTTTAAGACTAAGATAATAGATATTGCTTATTATATATTTGTCTCTTTCTAAATATGCAGTGCGAAAGACAGCTATAGGATACCAAGCAACATCTATGAAATTGAACCTTAAGAATGGAATTTTAAAGTCTATTTTGGATCATTTACTCAATAGCAGCTAGGAGAAGTTGGGCGATATCTTCTCGAGGGGATCTGGAGACTAATTTCATGGTAACGGCGTTGCCAGCGGCCGCCAGACGAGCCCTAACCAGTACAGGCGCTCCGCCCCTGAAAATTCCACCTCCCCGAATTTCTTTCACAGCATCTCCCACAATGGCAGCTTTAGGCAACCCTAGATGCTCACAAACCGCTTTAGCAGCCTCAGTAACATCATTCTGAGACAGCACAAACGTCTCACTAGCCTCAGGGGCATTCGCAACCCTTTCCCAAGTCTGTTCCCAATCATCAGACCCTGCCCTCGCTCGGATCTGATCAGCACAAGTCATTTCGAACTCCTCCAAAGGATAGGAGTCTGAATACCCTTCGCCTGGGTCTGGTATACCCGTGGTGGGGTCACAATCGCGTACCAAGAACTCTAAAGTAGCCCCGAAGGTTGCAAGACTGTCGAGGAAGACGCAAGGGTACTCCACAACGAGGAAGACGCTTCCAGGTTTGTCATAGGCCAATTTTTCGCATGGCACTACGGTCTTAACCTCATATTCTCCAGGTACTTCCAGTTTCACGGAAACATGTTCTAGCAGTTGATCGCTAAGGGTGTTAACACATTCAAACTGAAAGATCACATGTCTTGCGTAAATGTGCTTGATTAAACGCACCCTGTACTCAGTCTCTGCTTCGGTTAAATCGATCGGCAAATTTGTCTTGAATAGAGCTCCCAGTCTTTCGATCCCTGGTATCTTTGCCAGCTGTTCACCGTATATTTCCTCAATGGACATCTGGATAGGTTTCCGAATCTCAATTTCAACGATTGGTTCCTTACTTTCCTTGGCCTCTTCTTCAGCCGGTACTGATAATAAGTTGAAGGGTTCATCTGGCGTCGTCGCTAGATGGTCTCTCAAAGCCTTTTCTAACAAAACTGGGTTCGGTTTAGGGACGTTGACGATGTAGTCGTTAATCAACTGTTGGTCTCCAGTATCTAGAATCGCGCTGTAGTAAATCGCTCTGTCCCTGACTTCATCTTCCTCATCAAGTTGGCACCGAGCAAGCAAGACGCTGATATTCGGCAAGAGCTCTGGTCTTTGAGCTCCAAATTGCGCCACAGCGGAGACAGCAGCCGCGCGAACAGGGCCAGACTCCAGAATCACACGGTTGTAGATAAATCGTATGTACCGTGACGGTTGACGGGATTTTGGCCCTTCTCGTCCAAGTAAATGTAGGATGCGAACAGCCAAAGCCGTGTGCTCACAATCTTCAATGAACTCGCAGAGGTGAGCAAGACCTGTCTCCTTCGCTTCAGCATTTTCTTCAACTAAAGCTATGATAGCGTCAGCAATAGCTGCCTTGTATTCTAGACCACCTTCATCACGTAACATACCAGCCAAGAAAGCAGCCAGCGACTGATGCTTTCTCGGGAACTTCGTGCACAAACGCCGGATAGCTCGGACGACGACAATTTTGAACTCATCCGATATTTCGGAGACAAAACTGGATATTTGCTTCATCAGTCTGTCGACCGAGCTCTCAGCGCCCGTTGCTAGCAACGTAGTCACTGCTAGAGTGGCTACGGAGCGATTAGGGTCAGAGATGAGATTCTCAAGGTCAACTGCACATGCTGCAACTGCAGTTGGGTGTTTGGCTGTTAACCTCGCGAGGGTCCTTGCTCCAGCGAGCCTTAGAGACGCTTTAGAAGAACCGCAGAACAGTTGCAAGACTGAGACAGCTGGAGCGAGATCTCTTGCCGTCTTCCTTAAATTGACAATAGCATGGGCAGCTTCATAGATGACCATCTCTGACTTATGACGGAGACAGCACTCAATAAACTCGATATAGGGTTGTGCTGCATCGGAATCATCATCATCAACTAACTGAGCTGCTAAACGGATGAGGAGGCATAGTGCGTAGGGGGACTTTAAGGGAGACCTAGCCAACCGCGTGACTAGTTTCACAGTTGATAACTTGTCGTTCTTTCTGGAGCCAGCGACAACACCCAGAGCGTGGTAGGAGACCATTGCGTTCTCGGAACTGATGGCTTCCTGTAAAATAATGAAAATGGAAATGAAAAATATGTTTTTAAATGAGAAACTTTAACTGTACTAAGATTAAGTGTGGGAGGGCCATGCTTACGCACGAATGGGCCGGCTCGACCGGAGTGATACCTCGGCCGAGCAGTAAACCGACGTGAAACAACGCTTGCGTTGTGTTTTATCATGTGAGTGAGATAACCGGAGGTCAAATTACACGCTCTCCCCAGTTCCCCCAAACCCGAATGGGCATGCCATGGATGGCAAAAAAAAAAACAGTAAATAATTAACACAGTCGGATTATGTCACAAACTGTTAAAAAATTTGTATGTTGGTTAACAGATTGACCAATGTATCACGGATCATAGTAGGTGGCGCTTTGTACCTTTCAATGCAACAAATAAATGCATTATACATCTATGACTGCCTCATTGGCCGAGTGGTCGCAAGTGCGACTGCCGGGCAAGGCGTCTCGGGTTCGATTCCCAGATCGGGCAAAGTATTACTGGGTCTCAGTAGTAGCACGGAGTCTGGAAATGTGCCCGGTATATGGCAATAGGCTCACCCCCTATTACATGGGACTCATAACATAAATGGTGAAAAGTGGGTGTTACATTGTGCAGTGGCAATGTGGCATTACGTGCCGCAATGTACCTACACGTCTGCGGGGATAAAAGGCGTGATGTTATGTTATGTTACGTTATTCATCTATAGTTTCTGTCGTCCAAAATGGGACATTGGGCGACAGATACTATTATCAAAACATTAAAACTTGAAACAGAACAGTTTACAAAATATATTCAAATACATTACTATCAGTGAGTATGATAATGAGTTTGGAAACTATGTCCTGTTGTATGTTAATAATAACTCAATTAACATAAAACAATATTTTTTTGCAGTGAAAACACTTTATAAGAGTTTCTATATGCAAAACATGCTCTAACCATGTTTTTAACTGTGTCTTATTGTCTATGTCTAATTATTTACTGTATAATCTGTGGTTATTTAAGTAATAGCGTCATCCAGTGGCTTCGCCCGCGTTCCCGTGCGATATATATTCTGTAGCCTAGGTGTTTTTTAGATCATAATCCAACCCTGTATCAAATTTCATCTCATTTCCCTTCAGTAGTTTTGATGTGAAGCAGTAACAAACAAACAAACTAACAAACATACAAACTTTCACATTTATTTTATTATATATTATATAGTTTTATACAGTTCAGAAAGCTTAATATTTTGCCCGACCCAGGAATCAAACCCAAGAACCTTTGTCCTGCAATCGCACTTGCAACCCCTCGGCCAATGAGGCAGACTATATTTAAAAGGAACAGCTAAAACAATCATATTGTCAACCATTAGTTAAACACACAAGATTTTTATCATTATGTTACTGATAAACTCAAATGATTAAATTGTATGATTACGTTTCAATGTTTTGATTAAAATCAGATACTATACTGAAAAATATGTATTTCTTTTTTTTATTGGAATAGGAGGCAAACGAGCATACGGATCACCAGATGGTAAGCAATCAACGCCGCCCATGGATGCCCACAATACTAGTAGAGGCATAGGTGCATTGCCGGCCTTTTAAAAAGGAATACGCTCTTTTCTTGAAGGTTTGAAGATCGTATGGGTTCAGACATACCGCCGAATTCATTAGTAATTACATCACAAGCAAGAATTTGTTAAGAATTTTTTTTAAAATGTCAATACTTCAAATATTTTCTTTTCTATATGATGCAATATAGCCAAATGTTGATGTTAGATGGGCATTATGTCAATATTATAATAGCTGAGCTTCTAAAGTGTAAAATGTAACATCTAACTGAGATTTAATTTACTGTCTGATATATACTGAATTTAAAAATTCTAACATAGTTTAGCAATTTATAATGAATCTTTTTCACTGAATTGAGATATGAGAAGTTTGAATATTGTTTCTCTTATGATCAATTAGATTTTTATTTCACAAAACCTATGTAAAAAATATCATTTCAAATCAAAAATATTTCGGTTATCTGTAGATTATCTATGTGTTTACCTACTAAAAAAACTATTTCAAACAAATATTACAAACCTGAGCTTCATTAGCCCATCGACGGACTAAGTCTGGGGCCGTCGACGATAGATGGAGAGCGGAAACCAGCGCCGCAGAGCTAACGGCGGAGTTCTTATCAACAATTGCTTGTTTCATGTACCTTTCGATGGCTTGCAGCATCGTACTATCAGTTATACTGCACAAGGCTCTAATAGCAGCCGCTCGGTACAAATCCTCCTTTCCAGTCATGTCTTTGGTTAGCGAAGAAGTCACTATGATCACATCTTGAGCCAACGTACTCAACTCCTTGATACATAAATACACCATACGCCGTAACATCACATCTTTTGACTGGAACAGCTTTGTTGTAGCGAAGAATGCCTCTGTAGCTTCCTGTGTAGTGAACTTCTGCTCTCCTTGGTTCAGTAAATACAGGATTTTCGTCAAAATAAGGCAACATTTTCGAGGATTCACAGGAGATTGGTTGAAATATCTCGCTTCTTGCAGGATTATTGTCTTGTCCAAGTTCTGGTATGGGTTCCCGCCGCTGTCCTCTTCCTCCTTTTTATCGCGTTTGAAGCTCATTTTGAGCTTTTTTGGGTTTCCCTGAAGGAAATAATTATAAGGTGCGGACGAAAGCAGCTTACACGTCACTTGCGCAGTCGAACACAAAAATAAATGTCACTGTCAAAATAATCGCTCTATGTTTAGTTACTGCAGTTGCGTTTTGGTAAATTATTGATCATGAATATTGTTAACATTTTTTCCTATTGAATCTCGTATAAAATTGCATTTATTTAAAATATTATGAAGATAATTCAATATGTCTAATAATTAAAATGAGGACTCAACAGGATCTCAATTTGTTTTTTTATGGCACAACCTGGTAAACAAGCAGACGGATCACCTGATGGTAAGCAATCGGCGCCGTCCATGGACACCTGGAACACCGAGACGTTACAAGTCCTTTACCGGCCTTTTGGGAATTGGGAATTTGATGATTGTGGAAGATTCAGGGATTGGGTAATTGGGCCACCGGTAACCTCACTCGCACGACGAAACACAACGCAAGCGTTGTTGTAGGTACGTCGGTTTTCTGTGAGGCCGTGGTATCACTCCGGTCGAGCCGGCCTCAAAGATTATAATAAGTGCCGGCCTATTCGTGCAGACGCATGGCTCTGCCACACTTTGATTTAATTCATTGTTTTACAAAAATAGAGAATCAATTCGACTGACCCGCTTGTGAGCTTAGCAGGTTTAGCAGAATTCTTTTACAGATTGAAAAAAATCTTGTATAATGCCTGTATCTTCCCATACGCGTAATCTTTACTATACTCAGCATTGGCTAGTGTTTTAACCCAGTCAAGAATTTTTCATGGTTTCTTAAATTCTTATTTCAATTATTATCTGTTGCTCTCGGCTTTGCTCATACTTAAATTATTTTACCCGTGATGTACTTTACCAACGTTTTCATAATTACTTTACCAATGAAGATTCTAAAACTACATTGCCCCACGCTTGATCGTGAATCTCATGAATGCATTTATAAACATAAAAATTCGTATACACGTCACACAGATCCGTGCAGGAATCGAACTCGCGACTTCAGTTGCCCAGCCACTGACTACGCCAACTGTGCAGTCCGTTGTCCAGGGTATAATTTATCAGGGTGTTCGTTATGGGGAGTCCACGAGAGTATAATCCATCCAAAAATTTTTTAGTAGGTATCTAGGAAAAACACTTCCGTCAGGGCAAGAAGTTAGTAGAAAATAAAACCCAATATTTATATAAATATTTACATTTTATTCGTTTTTCTCATCAGTTGAGAACTCCCAACATGCTGCTGTATTGAACTTTTATGAACAATTTTAAAATCAGTGAGAGGATATTACTTCGAAAAGGACAGATAGTAATAAAACTTTTAAAAAGTATGATTTCATTGACATAAATTTAGATAATGCTGAATATTTTTTTAAATACTTTATAGGTCGATGTTTGACCACCATCTCGCCTGATGGTAAGCGATGATGTGGCCGACGATGGAGCACGCCTACCTATGAGCAACCTGTTCACTCGGGACTTGAAGACACCCAAGTCATATTTGACGGGAAACACAGCCTCGGGCAAGGAATTCCATTCCTTAGCGGTTCGCATGAGGAAGCTTGACGCGAAATTAATAAACAATATTATGGATGCTACACACCTTAGGATTTAACTGTGCAGTTCGACTGTCAAGACGTCCCGGTAGGCCCAGAAGATGGCGGGATGAGCTTGACTTCTATGAAAAGGATTGGCCACAGAAAGCTTTAAGAAGGGACGAGTGGAAGGAGGGTAGGGAGGCCTTTGCCCTACAGTGGGACCATGGCTAAAAATAAAAATGAATAAATAAATAAGTTTGACTGTACAGGTTGTATGGACCTATGATTTAAACTGTCAAATACCAAGCGGTCACCGGTGACCGCGACCTATTGTTCTTTAATTGTGTCTATAAAACCGGTACTCGACGAGTTAACCGTACAGTTAAACTGTGTAGCCACTACTAAGCTCTTGAGTGCCGGCTTGTGAGATACAATAGAAAATAGAGTATGTCCCGCATAGATCATGTTCGGCATACCATGGGTTAATTCATAATCTCAAAGGATTTGGCAGAAAATGCATGTAAATATAGGTGCTTGAGTTTAATCGTTTATAGAATATTAATAACACAGTAACACCGCTCACTGACTTCAAAATTTAAATAATAATATAATAAAATACTAAATGAAAGATCACTATAAATTGACTACATTACAAAAATTATGAAGAAATTACTCTAATTTTGACTAACAATAACATTATTCAGTCAAATACAGCAACATATTACTAGAAACTTGAAAATAATCATATATACAGGTTGCATCAGTCATTTTAGAAAAATCCTTAATTATACACTATCAACGAGTAAAGATTATGTATTTAAACAGTTCAATAATTAACGAAAATATAGCCAAATATGTAGTGTAAATATTTTTTTACGTTGTCCAGATGGCGCCACTAGCGTTTATTGTCTGGTCAGCCAAAATAAACTGCTTAAATACATCGTCTATTAAAGGAAGCGTCGATTCATATTCCTAAACTTAAAATGAACTAAAAATTAAACTCTATTGTGTGTTTGTAAAAATATTGCAATTTGTAATATAAATTTCTTTTATAGTACTTCATCTTTATTGCCAAAACATTAAGGTTACAATTGTGTACGCGTCTGAATGAAACAATAATTTTGCAAACACACACGTTTGGAGGGAAATTCGTATGATTCAAGTTCGGTACTAATGAAAATATTTCATAAAAACTGCTACAATTCATACTAAAGCTCTTCATTTTCAAAACCAACAAGTATTTATTATGATAATCTTCGATTGTATTGGTTTCATTAACTTGTATTTATTTTTATTTGGGTCATACGCGAACATATCTTTATATATATAATTCTTCTGTGAGTGTGTATGTCACTGAACTTCTCTCAAACGACTGGACCGATTTTGATAAAAATTTTTGTGTGTGTTCAAGGGGATCTGGGAATGGTTTAGATTCACAAATCAGCCCGGCAGATGGCGCTGCAGTCGACGTTTAGGTTATTTATCCTAAACAGCTGAAGTAATTTGAATGAACTTTTGTTTATACATTCAAGTGGATATGCAGGACAACGTCAGTTGGGTCCGCTAGTTTCATTATATTTGCTTTTATTCTGAAGAAACTGTTTATTTACGGAGATTTCCACACCTGAAAAATGTATGGCGAGATCTATCTAGGCACCCACCTTAACTTAACCCTTTGTATTGTTAGGTGACATTTATAGTTAGGTGGAAACAAATATCGTCGGCTTAGGGGTTCCTTAAATTTTAGAAGGGATTGATGAAAAAGGGCATTAGCTTTCAATACTTTTTTGAAGGGAGAAGGTCATCCAATGACTTCTCCCACCTGGGTGAGGCGAGCGGGAGTGACAGACTCTTACTGACTAAAAACCATCCCGTTCCTACTCCTGCACTTCAAACCGGTGCCCCGGCAACCCGTTAAGCCCTCCGCACCTCGGTGTCGGCATCAGCCCTATTGGGCACCATACTTAGCAGATAGTTTTAAGTTTTTGACTGCCAATAGAAAACTGTTATTGAAGGCAAATCCTTTGCTAACTTCGGTCAGCGCCTCACCGATGACCCCTATGGTGTTTAACATGTTAAATACTATTATACATATGTATAAAGCGGAAGAGTTTGTTTAATTGTTTGTTTGTTTGAACGCACTAATCTCCGTAACTACAAGTCTGATTTGACTAATTATTTTTGTGTTGGATAGCGCATTTATCGAGGACGGCTATAGGCTATAAAACATCACGCTACGACAATAGGAGCTGAGCAGAGCGTGTGAAACCGCGCGGAAGTAGCTAGTGTTGAAATAAAAGTAGAACTATAATTCTTAACCCATTGTTAAAATAAAGACCATTCATGCATTAAAACCTTAATATTCTATGGAAGTCTTATTGTGATAGTAAGATCATATGAATATCCCTCAACTTAATATAAAAATTATATTACAATACATAATATTTTTTGGCATTTATATGGTACAAAATTTACAAATTCCTTATTCCGTTTAAAGTACAACCTCTTTTTTTAGGAACTATAATATATTTTTTTAATTTGTATTGTAACTTTCGTGAGACATACTATACATAAATTAGTATCGACGGTTGAAAGGCTAATTGATCTAAGCGACATTTTTTGTGATATTGATACCTACATCACGGCGAAGGAGAATTCGCTGATTTCGAATATGTATTTAACTTAATTTCGCAAAAAAATGTCGCTTAGACCAATTAGCCTTTCAACCGTGCGTCGGTATGTTTTCGGCTTACGATTACGATCGAATATGAGCCTCTAGCATGGCTTGAAACTAGTCGAGTTCCTCGAAAACATAACAATTTATTTGTTTTAATTTTCAATAAAGGATTGAGTCTCAAATTATTTATCTATGGTCTAAAGATGTGTATGTATCTCTAATTATCAAATTTTCGGATAAAGATCTCTTTTCAGACGGAGAAGGCTTGAGCATTAATCACCACACTTGCTTAAGGCGACAGACTTATGTTTGTAATTACATATAAGCCCCGGTTTCCTCACGATTTTAACCTGCATCGTTTGTCAGTGGTGTCTAAATAATTTTAGAAAATTCATTTCAAAGAATAAACTATGTTTCATAACTTCCCAGATTCCACATTCCAACATTTCTTATCAAACTGTCAAACACCGCGAGGACACCGGTGACCGCAACCTATTGTTCTTTAATTGTGTCTATAATGATGGTACTCAAAGAGTTAAAATTCCAACAAGTTAAAAAAGAGGTTGTCCTTCAAACGGAAACATTTTCACGCCAGTCATAATAGACTAAAAATAAGGAAGAAAAATAATTTGTTTTTAGATATAAACACATTATTGATTTCATTGCATTATTCTCAGCTTAGATGTTTAAAATACAAGTTATTATATTTATGTTGTACAATCACATTGCTTAATGTTGGTCATAGATATGGGCCCCTACATGGCTTGAAACTAGTCGAGTTACGAGAGTAAATCGTAACTTATTTGATTTTGGAGTACATTATTGTTAAATGACTGCTTCGTTGACCGAGTGGTCCAAGTGCGACTACGGTAAGCGGTCTCGGGTTCGATTCTCGGGTCGGTCAAAGTATTACTGGTTTTTTTTTTATAATTTTCAATAGTAGCTCAAAGTTTGGAATTGTGCCCGGTATATGGCAATAGGCTCAAAAGGCCCTATAACATGGGACTCATAACAAATAGTGAAAATTGGGTGTTACATGGTAGGTACAGTGGCTTTAAGTGCCATAATGTGCACTTCTACCTTCGGGGACAAAAGGCGTGATGTCATTTTATATGTTATTATTGTTAAACACACTAAGCTGAGACTTCGGTTAATTTAAACAAAGCAAACGGTGCGAAAACATAAAAATATGTGCCAATAATACAATTTCGTTAGTGAACAGCACTGTAAACAGCAATGTTTAACTAAAATTACTTTTTTTAACGTAAAATTCCTTTGGTCTATTCCAAAGCTTACTAAAATATAGAAAGAAATTAAAACATACTCTTAACTTGATCACTATGCAAGTCTGTTCAACAGTCTTGCATTATTCAAAATTCTTGCTTCAAATATTAAAACGTCTTGCTTCGTCGCTTGATAGCGTCCGTGCTTAAAAACCACTATTAAAAAATTCATAATTGAATAACTATTCAAACTTGAATCACTTAGGTTATCACTTTTAACACATAGTTTTTGATATTTTTGCGCGATTTTTACGTCACTTTTTAATAGTCTTGCATCACAATTCATAAGTCTTGTTCCACTGATTTTCTTGCTTCATTCGTGGGTGTAGAAGATTAGTTGTGGGTTCGAGTCGTCCGGAGACATTTCTAGTTGGACGTATTGCGGCGTCGTTCGCGCTGACTCGTAGGAATTACCACCGTTGCGTGATAATGAATTTCTTGATCTGAAAAGTAGATTATATTGTTAAAATTACATGTAGGGTTTGAGTGTGGGAGAACTATGCTTCGGCATGAATGGGCCGGCTTGACCGGAGTGATACCATGGTCTAACTGAAAACCGATGTGAAACAACGCTTGCATTGTGTGAGTGAGGTTACCAATTACCCCCCACCTCAGTCTCCCGAATCCCCCCACAATCATCAAAATCTCAATTCCTAAAGGCAGGTAACGCACTTGTAACGCCTTTGGTGTTTCAGGTGTCCATGGGCGACGCCGATTGCTTACCTTCAGGTGATCCGTCTGCTCGTTTTACCAGCTTATCCCATAAAAAGGGTATGATAAAAACTGATTCAACGATGAATAAACTGTTTTGTACTAAAAATTTAACCTATTGAGTGCCAGTATATGAGCTCATATACCGGCACTCAGGACATAATTGTCTTGAGTAGATCTACGTTCCGGAATCCCACGGGTTGAAGTTTAAACAGACACTTTACGCCAATGTTCCTCTCTCGCTTATCTAAGTATTGTATTCTTAACCGATAGAATAAAAAATACAACGTCTAATTGTCTAACTGATGTACTAATTAATACATTTTTAATTTTCGTACCCTGTCAACAATCGCATTCCGCCTGCTTGTTCTAAGCGTAGTTAAGTATTTAGTTACCCCCTTTTTGTGGGGTGAAAATAATTCAAGACTTCTCCCACCTTGGGTTAGGCGAGAGGGAGTGTGTCAGACTCTTACTGACTAAATAACACCCAGTTCTTACTCCTACTTCGAGCTGCGGTCCCAGTAACCCCTTAAGTTGTCCTCAGCTCCGGTTTGAATATGTTATCTGGATCTGAGTAATTATTTACTCACTTTTGATTTTTGAGGGGGAAAATTATCCAATGACATCTACCACTTTGGGTTAGGCGGGAGGGAGTGTCAGACTCTTACTGACTAAAACCCACCCCGTTCCTACGCCTGCTCTTCAAACTGGAGCCCCGGTAACCCGTTAGGCCTTTCGCGGCTCCGTATCGGCATCAGCCTTACTGGGCCCCATCTGTGGTGGTCAGAGGGCGAAGCAAGAAAAACAATCGCATTCGTAACGTAACAGTATCGAGCGCTTTCGGCGCTCTGATTGGCCGGCTCAAGTGAACCAACCAATCAGACCGCTTAACTCGCTAGTTATTCGTGCTTGGCACTCTGATGGCTCTTTAAGGCGCGCGGGGGACGCGACGCGCCGTACTCGGGTATGGAATTAGTTACTCACTTGGCCTTAGCATGTGTAAGTATATGTGACTTGAGGTTGGTACTCTGCGCGAACTTCTTGTTGCATCCGTCGAACGGACACACGTACGGACGGTCGCCTGTGTGGATGCGGACGTGTGTTCTGGAAGAAGATAGATATTATTAGTTAATTTATTTGTTTAGCGCTTCATTGTGTAGTATAAAGTGAAAGGACGGATTTTCTAGATGGTCTCATATCATCAAATATATATATTTTTTATAAAAACGTTCCCCACATTAGGATTTTCTCCTGTATCGTGTGTGCGTTAACAAATATACAAGTTCACATACACATGACACCCAGACCAGAAACAACAATTTGTGGATCACACAAAGTGTTGTTCCGTGCGGGAATCGAACCCGCGGCACGTCGCACGGCAGCCGGTTGCCCAGCCATCGCATCAACCGTGCAGTCGAATATAATTAAAAGTGAATGGATACTTCTGTTCTGTAGTGGACAATATTAATGTTTTATCATCATTAATCCCTGTTATAATCTAATGTAAAACTATGAGGCTTCTTTGCAAAAGAAGGTTTGCCAAACTGCTGAAACTGCTAAAACACAGAATGGATCTGTGACTTCTTCAGTTTGTTACAATACCCGTAGAAAGTGCAAAACTAGTGACAAAGATATGCTAGACTGTCATCATCACATGGCTTCACATGTTCTTAGTATACTTATATGTCCAGGCGACACACGTACTTAGGTATCGTCCTGAGCTAATGTTCACATGTAAACAGCAGCTCATGTAGTGTAGGTGTCCAGTCAACAAGGATGTAGCGAGGTTGAATACCGGTAAACGGAACATTTCCAAAACGCTGACAAAAATATTTTTTTTTTTACAATATGAATCATTTTTGTTTTCTCGTTTTCATGCGACATCAGCCTTGAATTGATTACAACTATTATAAAACCCCGTCCACACGAATGGCAAACAATGGCAAACACCAAACAACAAACAGCAAACACCTACATGTGGATGGGTGTTTGTATGTATTTGTCTGTTCCTGTTTGTGTTCGCCACTGTTCGAGATCGGTGTCGAACAGTGGCGAACACAAACACAGATCAAAGGCTGTTCGGCAAACAGTTTGCGATGTGTCCACACGCTAGCTACACATCGATGTTCGAGACTTCATTTGTTGTGTTTGGTATTTGTGGCAAACATCAAGCATGTGAACGGGGCATAATAACATAAAAGAAACAAACATTGACTACACGGTTGGCTGGTGGCTGGGCAACTGGCAGCTGTGTAACGCGTCACGGGATTGATTTCCGCACGGGACAACTCTTTGTGTGATCCACAGATTGTTGTTCCGTGTCTGTGTGTTATGTGTATGTCAACTTGTATGTTTGTAAACGCACACACGACACAGGAGAAAATCCTAGTGTGGGGCAAAGTAAGAAAAAAGAGACAATTCCTTACTTTTATATAGATACTAGCTTCTGCCCGCGACTTCGTACGCGCAATTCTATTTTCCCCCCGTTCCCGTTCGTGATTTTCGGTAAAAATTAAAAAAAAGTATTGTATAAAAAGTATCCTATGTCCGTCTCCTGGTTCTAAGCTACCTCCCTGCCAATTTTCATCTAAATCGATTGAGCCGTTCTCGAGTTATAAATAATGTAACTAACACAACTTTCTTTTATATGTATATATAGAAATCTCGTTTTTTGCCATCACCTGTCCGTTCCGTTTACACCCGATATACTATAAGCCTTACCTTAAGTTAAAATCTAAGGAGAACCTCTTCCCGCAGCCCTCGAATGTGCACTGGAAAGGTTTCTCGCCGGTGTGGACTAGTTGATGGCGTTTTAACTTTGAACTTTCTACGAATGCTTTGCCTGGAATCAGATAAATAGATATATTTTAGAAATATTGAATTGGAGCGTCGACTTTCCTAGTCAAATTCAATACTTCAGAACAATAACGATAAACACGGTAATTAATGGGATATTATATCATAAATTATAATTCATAATTTATGGGATAAGCCGGTAAATGAGCAGACGAATCATCTGATGGTAAGCAATCGGCGTCGCCTATGGATGTGATAGGATAATTGGGCCTCCAGTAACCTCACTCACACGATGCAACACAACGCAAGTATTGTTTCTGTTTTTGTTTATGGTTTTCTGGTTGGCCGTGGTATCACTCCGGTCGAGCCGGCCTATTCGTACCGAAACTTGACTCTCTTACTTGTATTATTGTTTGCAAGCGCTACTTAATTAATTTACTAAAATTTTATTTTAAATATACTATGTATATCTACACATACCACATTCAGCACAGACGTGTACCCTGGGTCCGTGTGTGTGTAAATGTTTCCTCATGGCGGAGTTGTCTCTGAACATCTTCGTGCAGCCTTTGTGGGGACACGCTGTAAACAAATACATTGTATTTTAGTACATTAATGAACGTGATAAATATTTACTACAGTCATCCTTACTAATATTATAAATCGGAAAGTGAGTTCGTTTGTTGGTTCCGCTTTCACGCCGTAACTACTAAACCGATTGTTTTGAATATTTGCAGATGTAAAATTAGAAGTCTGGATTGAATAATAGAGTACTTTTTATCCTGAAAAAATTTGATATTCTCGAGGGAAAACGAAATTATTGGTATAGATGGCGCTGTGTGTATTGGTATATGTCACAAAGGCTACTTTTTATCCTTTTTTGACGCGTGCGAAGCCGCGGGTAAAAGCTAGTAAATTATACATTTAAGCCGGGATTACACTATTTATTGAGTTTACTTTTTTTTATGGAATAGGAGGCAAACGAGCAGACGGATCACCTGATGGTAAGCGATCAGCGCCGCCCATGGACACCCGCAACACCAGAGGAGTCACAGGTGCGTTGCCGGCCTTTTTAAAAGGAATACGCTCTTTTCTTGAAGGTACTCTCTTCTTACTTTGGTACAGACGCGAAATGAGATTTCATTTACAAAATTTATGTAAATTTGTAAGCACTATTCGTATCGTCTCAATAGCCGACTGGTCGCAAGTGTGCCTGCCAGGCAAGGGGTCTCGGGTTCGATTCTCATCATGTCGGGCAAAGTAACACCGGGTTTTAAAAAAAATCTTAGTAGTAGCACGGAGTCTATTGTCATATACCGGGCACAATTCCAGATTCCGTGCTACTACTGGGAATAAAAAAAACAGTAATACTTTGCCCGACCCAGGAATCGATCCTGAGACCCCTTGAACGCCAGTCGCACTTACGACCACTGGCCGAGTGCTCGTAAGTGAGGTGAATGAGGCAGCACACATTGTAAAAGGTAGTAATACATAGAAACTCACCAATAGTTCTGTCCGATGACTCCGGCATGGGTTTCTTTAGTCTTATCTTGTGTCCGGGCCGCGCAAACTCCGCCAGCTGTTTCGGATCTGACAAGTCTAATCCTGGAAATAAATATGTATATGTTAGTACTCAGTCCATCACGTGGTTTCTCTGATATTTCTGCAGCTGTAGCCAAATGCCATTTAGCGCTTGTCTACATGTAGAATAGAAAACCAAATTATATGGAATTGACGTAAATTTTGACACTTGTCAGTGTCATCCCCATTTTTTTTTAAGGGGGGAAAATCATCGAATGACTGCTCCCACCCGGGTGAGGCGGGAGGGAGTGTCAGACTCTTACTGACTAAAAACCACCCCGTTCCTTCTCCCGCACGTCGAGCCGGAGCCCCGGTTACCCGTTAGGTTCTCCGCGACTCCGAATCGGCATCGGCCCTATTGGGCCCCATCTGTGGTGGTCTGATGGCTCTTTGAGGCGCGCGCGGAACGCGACGCGCCGTACGCTCGGGTCTGTTTCTGGTCGGACGGGGAGCCACCCATGCTCGCCGTCCTCCGACCCGCGCTTACGGTGGCCGGAGATCGTCCCGCGATCCCCGACGCCCGGTGTGTCCTTCGCGATGGCTGGGTTGCGAGGAGGCAGCGCTTCGCTGCCTCACGCGTCCCGCCTCCTCCTTAGCTAGCATGACTGCTTCGCAAAAGGAGGAGACGGCATCCCAGTCCCCCTCGCTCCGCATCATGGCCTGCACTAGGCCTGCACGCGAGAGGTCGCCATCGCCGATCACTTCCCTGAGGGCACGGCGGTGCTCAGCCCACGCAGGGAATGCCCTGAGTGTGTTCCACCGTGTCCTCAGGGCGGTCCTCGCAGTGATGACACCCGGGCGTTTCCTCCCGCCCCATCAGACACAGGTTCCTCCCGAAACTTCCATGTCCGATGAGGACCTGCGTCAGGCGAGTGTCATCCCCATACATTTTGATTTCTACTCTCTTTGTAGACAAGCGGTAAAGGGGCTTTTGGTTAAAGGCACTGGACCTTTGATTGTTTTCTATCTCTGATCAGTTTGCAAGTAGAAGTATGGAGATTATGGGACTGGTCAGCTCCAGACTGTATTATTTATTGCCCTTAAGATTATTTTCTTTTTCAATCTCTTTGACTGGATTAGTGTTAGATTGTTCTCGCACAATATAAACAACAGAACTATGTAACTAGAGAATTGTATTGTGAACTGATTGAAAAAGACTAACTGATGGAGTTTCTTGGTCGTTCTTTTCCGTAGGAATCTACACCTTGGAATGAGAAAATAGCTTCACTTTTAATATTTTGTTGACGTTCAAAATTGCCTTTCTGGTCTAATTGAAATAAATAATTTTGACTTTGACTTTAATGACTAAAAACCACCATGTTCCTACTATTTCTATTCGAGCCAGAGCCTTGGCAACCCGTTAAGTGTCCTGGCTGTGGTGTTCTGATGGCCTTTTGCGATCGCTCGGGTCTAGTTCTGGTCGTGCGAAGAGCTACCCATGCTCACCATCCGCAGACCCGTGCTTACGGTGGCCGAAGATCATCTGGCGATCGCCGAAGTATACGGCAGCAAACAAGCATGGTCGAGTAGTGCCAAAGCATAACTCTCATTTTTTTTATGGCATAAGCCGGTAAACGAGCAGACGGATCACCTGATGGTAAGCAATCGGCGTTGCCCATGGACACCCAGAACACCAAAAGTGTTACAATTACAAGTGCATTACCGGCCTTTGGGGATTAGGAGTTTGAGGATTATTGGAAGGGTATTTCGTCCTCTGATAACCTTACTCACACGACGAAACAACGCAAGTTTTGTTTTACTATGGTTTCCTGCTCGGCCGTGGTATCACTCCGGTCGAGCCGGCCCATTCGTGCCGAAGCATGGCTCTCCCACACTTCATGAAGATATATTATAACTAGACCAATAGTCTAGGTATTTATTAGCTTACCTGGCATAGATTCACTTCCTAATATACTCTTCTTGCCGGTCATATACTCTGTGTAGTCGGGGTCCGGCTCGGGATTCGAACCGTCATCTGGAAATAGCAAAATATAGTTATAGTCACTTAGTCATAGAAGAATGTGGTGTTAATCGATGTATGGTGTTAAATTTTAATCGATATTTGGGATCGAAACTAAGTATTCATGTATTAAAGATAGTTCCCCTCTCCTCTCTGCTGCCTCGTTGGCCGAGTGGTCGCAAGTGCGACTGCCGGACCAAGGGTTTCGGGTTCAATTTCCTGGTCGGGCAAAGTATTACCAGGTTTTTTAAAAATTCTCAGCAGTAGCGGTGTTGCACGTGTCCATGGGCGACGCCGATTGCTTACCATTAAGGAACTTTAAATAAATGAACATAACATAACATAGGAAGCGGTAGGCAGAGGTGTACATTACGGCACTTAATGCCGCTGTACAGTGTAACACCCACTTTTCATTATTTATTGTTATGAGTCCCATGTAATAGGGGGTGAGCCTATTGCCATATACCGGGCACAATTCCAGACTCCGTGCTACCACTGAGAATTTAAAAACCCAGTAATGCTTTGCCGGACCTAGGAATCGCACTTGCGACCACTCAGCCAACGAGGCAGTTAAGTCAAGGAAGTTTAAATCTATATATATAAAAGAAAGTCGTGTTAGTTACACTATTTATAACTCGAGAACGCCTCAATCGATTTAGATGAAGATTGGGAGGGAGGTATTATTATTATTTTATTATTATTATTTATTTAATTCAGACAGGCAGTTGAAACAACTGATAAATGCCTGTATCGTATTTTTCTATCAGTGGTTAATTCAATGTTGTGTATCTGTCAAGTCTGTTTTTGAACTGGTTAACATTCTGTGCAGCGATTACATATTCTGGCAGCTTGTTCCATGCTCCGACCACGCGATTACTCAGAAAGTGTCTGTGAGGAATATTTTTCGATAAGCTTTTACACAGCTTAAGGTGGTGGCCTCTAAGATGAACGTTTTCATTACGTGAGAACAGTTGGTCGAAATCAGTAATGTCATAATGTCCACTCAAGATCTCGTATGTCTCAATTAGGTCTCCAGGTAAGGTAGCTTAGAACCAGGAGACGGACATAGGATACTTTTTATACAATACTTTTTTTTTACTTTTTACTGAAAATCACGAACGGGAACGGGGGGAAAATGGGATTGTGCGTACGAAGTCGCGGGCAGAAGCTAGTGTATAATTATATATGCCGCGGAGAACCTAACGGGTAACCGGGGCTCCGGCTCGACGTGCAGGAGAAGGAACGGGGTGGTTTTTAGTCAGTTAGAGTCTGACACTCCCTCCCGCCTCACCCAGGCGGGAGCAGTCATTCGATGACTTTCCCCCTTAAAAAAAAAAATGTTTTTACCATCATCCTCGCCAGTAGCCCACATGGTGACGGAGAACTCTCCCTCCATGGTCTTGATCTGAACTTGCTTCTGTTCCCAGCGCCGCGCCGGCCCACGACCTGACACTCCATCCATTAGACCTACCGGGACTTCACCTGCAAAATTTTTGAAATTTTCATAAGTAAAGCTAACAAGAAGTATCTTTATATATATAATTCTTCTGTGAGAGTGTATGTCACTGAAGTTTTCTTAAACGACTGGACCGATTTTGATGATATTTTTTGTATGTGTTCAAGGAGATTCACAAATCAGCCCGGCAGATGGCCCTGCAGTCGATGTTTAGGTTATCTATCCTAAACTGTAGAACTAATTTGAATGAATTTTTGTTTATACATTCAAGTGGATATGCAGGACAACGTCTGTCGGGTCCGCTAGTTCAATTATAAATTACTAGCGACCCGCCCCGGCTTCGCACGGGTGCAAATGCATGTTCTTATACATATAAACCTTCCTTAACCCTTTGAGTACCGTCATTATAGACACAATTAAAGAACTATAGGTTGCGGTCACAGGTGTCCTCGCGGTGTTTGACAGTTTAAGAATCACTCTATCTATTAAAAAAACCGCATCAAAATCCGTTGCGTAGTTTTAAAGATCTAAGCATGCATAAGGACAGAAAGACGGCGGATAGCGACTTTGTTTTAAATACTATGTAGTGATTCTATGTTTTCAGATGACTTTACTATTAACCAGCTTTTGCCCGCGACTTCGACGCGACGCCGTCCGCATATAATATGATTCCTGTTTTAACCCATAGGAGCATTTAATCGGGATAAAAATCCTATCACCTAAGTCAGCTCATACCCTGCCTGTATACCAAAATTTCATCGAAATCCGTTCAGTAGTTTCAGCGTAATTGACGGACAAACATCCAAATGAGGTACACAATTTTAGATATAATCATACAAGTAAATGTTTAAGTTTCAAACTTACCGATAGGCATTAAATGCTGTATATTATTAGCGTTATTGTTGACATTTGAACGAGGCCTGCCGCGCCCTCTGTTGGAACAATCAGGCAAACTGTTATAGAAACAGAAAAAAAAAACATATTATGTAAGGAAATGAGGGTACAAGAGATTATAATACAATATAACATAATCATAACATAATTAAAATAAAAAAAAACCTAATAGTATTTTGTTACACCCGGGAATCGAACCCGAATCTTTATTCTGCCGATTCTATTGGAACAAATGGTAGTTTTTTGTGATTATGATTTGTAATGTAATCGACAATTATCTCGCCTGGTGGTAAGCGATGATGCGGTCTACGATGAAGCACATCGTCACATAAGCAATCTATTCACTCGGGGCTTGAAGACACCCAGGTTATACCCTTCAGGAAATGTGTTTCCAGTCTAGGAGGCTTACTCTTGAATCCAATTCCGATCGATCGACATTGGTTTTGCGAAATTTCGTACTCTTGAGTTGGAACACTAGCGCCCATTGCATCCGTATTGCGTGGGTATTGAATGAACTAAATGGTATTGAGTTTGTCTTTATATTCCGTACTCTGAATGCTATTATTACAGCTACGATTGTGGTTGTTGATTGTTGACATTGAATAATTATTGAGATTTTATTGGATTGAAATTGCATTGACATTGAGATTGGTTTCAAGAGTAAGCACCCTGAAGGGTATGACTGTCAAGTTTGGCAAAGAAATCCACTCTTTAGCGGTTCGTTACCTACTCAAGTTATGTAGTAATTCTTTTACAAACTACTTTAAAGAACAGATTTCAACCCCCTTTTTTCCTAAGCAATTAATATACTAAAACCTTCTCTTAAGCGCAACAAACACTTATCTGAAAACCGCATCAAAATCGCTTCAACCAATTACGAGATAATTACGCACAAACATACACACATACAAACAGGTCAAAATGAGAACTACCTTTATTTGAAGTCGGTTAAAATAAATAAATCTTTATTAATTATAAGACATTGGTCATACTCACGTGAATATACTGAGAAAACCTCTACTAGTTTCGAACCACAGAGGTTCTTCCTCATGAGCAGCGTGCGCGGTCGCGGCGACGTAGCGCAGCTCAATCAGTGAGACCAAGAACCCCTCTGTGGTTCGAAACTAGTAGAGCTTTTCTCAGTATATTCACGTGAGTAACCCGGCATTTTATTTAATTTAGTCTGTCTCACGATAGTTGTTATAAAAATATTGGTCATAGTACAGATAAACATCTTAATTTATAATCAGAGATCTCACTAGGTTTGAATGCGTGCACTACGTAGAATATCCTGTATCACAGGCGAAAGAAGCACTATACAAGGTGTTGTTTTAAAGCCGCGTCATTTTCTAGGAGGTAACTCGGCTATCGATTCTGAGTCCGAATCAATAAAAAAAATTGTAGCTAATCCGTAAGTGCGAACTACACGCCGCCGTCTTATAACTGGTTTTTATAACGCGGCTTAACACACGTAATTGATATTATTCCTAATTCCATAAAACTCCAATAAGAAACATTGTTGTCGCTTATTCTGAAATACTGTCGAACTTAAACGATTAATTATAGCTGTATTTTTAACTATTGGTCCGAAACTTTCTCTTACTTTGAACATATATGACTTCTGTGACATGCCCCGAGAAATGACACGGCTTCAAAACTACACCTTGTATATACAAGATAGTTATAAAATAAAAGTCACCTGCTAGTTGAAGGCGGCACTGTGTACAGCGGATCGTAGTGCGAGTCTGTACTCGCATTTAGCACTTCCTCGCCAGATATGCCTGGCAATATGACCTCTTCGCTGCCCACTGAAATTTTATAGTCTGTCAGCAATGGCCGACATTTTAAATATGGTTAGTTTTTGATGTGATGACGTGGCATGAATGTTAATTAGAGATGCAACGAATATTCTGTTACTATCCGGTATCCGGCTTATCCGGCCGGATACCGGATGGTAATATACTATCCGGCCGGATACCGGATAGTAAACTTGGTAGATTTTATAAATGAAATCTAAATAAAGACACTGTTATAATTGAATCTTTTTATTGTTTTAAATAATTTTAAACTTTTTATAATAACAAGTCAAAACCTGCACGGCGAGCGGCGTGGCGGTACGCGACACGCACCTACGAAACTTAAAATGTAGGTATCACACTGCCGGCCGAATATTCGGCGGCCGGATACCGAATATTCGGCTGGTGGTCAGGCCGAATATCCGGTATCCGGCCAAACAACTATTCGTTGCATCTCTAATGTTAATCTTAAACTATTATTTAAGCTGAACTACCGGTTCGATTTCAAAAATTCTTTATGTGTTGGACAGTCCATTTATAGAGAAAGGCTAAAACATCAAGCTACGACTAATAGGAGCCGAGCAGAGCGGGTGAAAGCGGTAGTTGCACTTCCAATAATTTGTCTATGCAAATTATTTTTTGAAGTTAATTTGTTTAAAATATAGTCGTGATTTTATTGAAAAACAAAATATTCATCGGACAACAAAATGATTTTAACGGCTTACGAAAATTTTCGAGGGCGCCCGACTAGTTTCGAGCCAAAGCGGGGTTCTTAAAAATAATCGAGCATCCTTAAACATATACTTAAATATTTTGATAGTGACTTTACCTTCCTCGAGGTGCTGCATACCAATAACTTGCTCTTCCACCTCTTCATACTGATCATCTGTGATGTACTCCTCGTACTGACCAGTCTCTATCTCTTCGTACTGAAAATATAAAAAAGTTCAAGTTAATCAAACTTCTATGTATATAAAAATGAATTCCCGCTCGTTAGTCCCGCTATAAACTCGAGAACGACTGAACCGATTTGGCTGTTTCTAATTTTATACTAGCTATTGGTCACGACATTGTCCGCGTAGAATAAGATTGCTGTTTTATCCCATTTGAGCATTTAATCAGGATAAAAGCCCTATCACCTAAGTCAGCCCATATCAAGCCTGTATACCAAATTTCATCCAAGTCGGTTCAGTAGTTTCAGCGTAATTGACGGACAAACATCCAAACTAAGAAACTTTCACATATTAATGTGATTCTTGACTTTCCAACATTTTTTCACACTTAAAATAAATATTTTGTTTTTGTTAAGGGAGGCCTATGTTCAACAGGTCTATGGACGTCTTGTGACTGATTTATGATAATGACTAGCTTTTACCCGCGGCTTCGCTCGCGTCACAAAAGGATTAAAGCCAATGTGACATATACCAATACACACAGCGCCATCTATACCAATATTTTTGTTTTCCCTCAGGAATATCAAATTTTTCAGGGATAAAAAGTACCCTATTATTTAATCCGGACTTCTAACTTTATGTCTGCACAATTTCAAAGCAATCGGTTTAGTAGTTACGGCGCTAAAGTGGAACAAACAAACAAACAAACTCACTTTCCGATTTATAATATAAGTAAGGAAAGTAAGGAAGTAAGGATTATTATTTACCTTGACTCCAACTTGATCGTCGCCCTCAATCTCCACCATAGACCCGTGCGTCCCTATCTCCACCTCGCACATGATCTCCTGATTCATCATATTGATGTGTCACCTGAAAAAAAAAATTATTTATTTATTATTACACACACAAGCTAACATTACAGGTTTAGGAACCAATGCGATAACAAGGTATTATAAAATCTAGTGACACCTTACACCATATTAAACTTTACAAACTAATAAAGAAATCCAAACTATTACAGAGATAACGAAAAAAAAAACCAAACCTTGTATTAAAGTTAATAAAGTAAATTATTATTATTACTAAAATAAATAATATTGGTAACTGACAGATAAACAGATTACTTTTACAGGACAGAGTGCCTATTGTGAGTTTTTCACCTATTCAATGGTGTTAACGATAACTGTGATTTGTATAGAGCGGCAACAGCGCGCTTACAGGAGTCTGTTGACGTCCCGTGCTAATTTCTTGCTGTACAGCGTCGCCCATAGACACTCCCACGGGCGGAGATAAACGGCAACACCAGAGCCGAGTACAGAAAAAATATCCAATCGGTGCGCGTTTCTCGTACACCCGTGTGTACGAGAAACACGCGAGAGGTTAAAGTATTCGAACGAAACGAGTACGAGCTCGGCACTCTGAGGCCTTAGTACGAGGTTTGTTCTACGTTTAAAGTAATCGTAACGAGTACGCGTTCGGCGCTGTGATTGGTTGCTTCATTGGTACCGGCCAATCAGAGGCCTTAGTACGAGTTTTTTTACGTTAAAAGTAATCGAAACGAGTAAGCGTTCGGCGCTCTGATTGGCCGGCTCCAATGAACCAACCAATCAGAGCGCCGAATGCAGTCTTGTTTCGATTACTTTTAACGTAAAACAAACTGGTACTAAGGCCTCAGAGCGCCGAACGCGTACTCGTTTCGATTACTTTCAACGTAAAAGAAACTCGTACTAAGGCCTCAGAGTGCCGAGCTCGTACTCGTTTCGTTCGAATACTTTAACCTCTCGCGTGTTTCTCGTACACACGGGTGTACGAGAAACGCGCATCGATTGGATATTTTTTCTGTGACGTATATTTTCAAGTTTGTAACCCGTTCTTTTTTTGATTGAACAGCATAGTTAATTCGTTGTTCTATTAAAATATTTACCCGTGGGTACGAGAACGCGCGTTTACCCGTGTGTACAAGAAGCGCGCGAGGGTTTTTTTTTTTTTTTATGGGGGAAAATCATCGAATGACTGCTCCCGCCTGAGTGAGGCGGAAGGGAGTGTCAGACTCTTACTGACGCGAGAGGTTAAACGTAAATCAAACTAGTACTAAGGCTTCAGAGGAGTGTGTTGTCAGTCTTTTGGGGATTTTTATGTAGATACCTACATATTCTTTTATGCAACAGTGTCCTATAACATTTTGGATATAACTGTGATCCTCGAACGGCCTGTCAAGCGTGGCAAACGCTTTTATAATCTTTTCCTCTTAATTAAATTTATTATTATACTAGCTTTTACCCGCGGCTTCACTCGCGTCACAAAAGAATAAAAAGTAGCCTATGTGACATATACCAATACAATATATAAAATACACACAGCGCCATCTATACCAATACTTTTGTTTTTCCTCGGGAATATCAATTTTTTCCGGGTTAAAAAGTACCCTATAATTTAATCCGGACTTCTAACTTTACGTCTGCAAAAATTCAAAGCAATCGGTTGAGTAGTTACGGCGTGAAGGTGGAACAAACAAACAAACAAACAAACTCACTTTCAGATTTATAATATTAGTAAGGAAGTAAGGATATCTGTTACAATAACTATATCCTGTCTGGATAATAAAATTAAATGATTACAGTTACACCATGAATAAAACACAACCATTTTTTTTCCTCTAAAAACCCTAAATAATTACCACAGTTACCTACAGTTAGTTTTTTTTTTTGGAGGGCATACGATCAGACGGATCTCATAGTGATAGGTGATCAGCGCCACACATAGAAACTCGTAACCAGAGAAGTTTGCGTTGTCATAATGCAAGGGAATGGGGTGATTCAGTAACTACAGTATCCAAGTGTTGTTTCAGGCCAGTTTTCTATAAGGCTAAGTGGTATTACTCTGTTTGAGTCAGCTCATTGGTATCATATTTGTGACTTTGTGACGGAGGTAGTTTTGATTTTTGTGGAGTGAAAATCATCCAATGACTTAAGCGAGAGGGAGTGTCAGACTCTTACTGACTAAATACCGCCCCTTTCCTACTTCTGCATTTCGAGCCGGAGCCCTGGCAACCCATTAGGGTTTCCGCGGATCCGTTACAGTTTAGGGACTGGACTGGAAAGAAATATAGAAAGAACGAAGCTTTTGTTCGGTAGTAGACAAAACGGTTTGATGATAATTGGCCTTTTTGCGCCGTCTTCACTGTTTTAATTTTTTTTTGTGTTATTGTACTTTGTGACGGTGTGAAAATAAACATTTTTTTTTCTTATATCTTTCTTATAATAAGAACCATACAAAATGAAGTGTACAAAATCGATTACATAGTGTATGTCAATACGAAATATCTGTTAATTACACAGAGAACCAGGTCATTTAGGTCGAAACTGAGAAGCAATTCAAGGGCACACAAGATCAATTGCCAATTCACTTATTGGCTATAACTTTACACTTGTAATACATAACTTCACACCTGTCTCCCACGGGGGTAGGCAGAGACTATGGTACGCTAATTACTACGATTCCTACATACCTCTTTCGCTTCACCAACAGTCATCAATCTTTTCATGCATGCTCATCGGTTAAGGGTACTTTTAATTTGGCCCATCTTTAATATATACTTGTAATATTACGGTAATTTACTCTCTTATCGAATTTTTTTCAGTAGTCACCAGCATAAAGTCTTGAATTGTGTCCGGTGTATGGATATAGGCTCACCCCCTATGACATGGGACTAAATAACTTAAGATAAAAGTGGATGTTACATTGATATTGCACTCTGCCTCTATTGAAAAAGTATGACATTATATACTCTTAACCCCTATCTTTTTTTTGATGGGGGAAATCCTCCAATGACTTCTCCCGCCCGGGTAAGACAAGTAGGAGTGTCAGACACTGACTAAAATTACTTAGAAAAATCATCAAGTTATAATTCAATTCAGCTAACATAAGAAAGGAATAGATGTATCACTCAATTATAATATAATGAAAATGAAGAGCTATTGTTCTCAACACAATTACTGATATAACTAGTTGGGAAGTGTTTCTTATTTATTGTTTTATTTATCAAAGTACAGTAATGTATATTAAGGCTGGTACTACAGATTGATACACAAGAGATCTCTTCTCAAATACAGTTAAAAAGGGATGCAAATATATTTGATAGATGTGTGCATCGTTTTTCAACTATCCTTTCTTTTAAAGGGGAGAATCATCCAATGACTTCTCCTACCTTCGGTCAGGCGATAGTGTCAGATTATTACTGACAAAAACCACCCCCTACCAATTCCTGCTTCGACTGGAAGTCCCAGTAACCTGTTAGGTTGTTTACAGCTCCGGTTTCCAACTACACTTGATCTGAGATTTCTATTAGAGTACCATTCTAAAATAAAGTTTAGAGATAGAAGATAATTGACACTAGCTGTACTCTGCAGTTTCATTTACTACTTAGCTCCTATTGATTTTATGGTCTTCGTCAATAAGTGGATTATACTTCTTCGTCAATATATGGAGTTTCTTGCTTGTTCTTCTCCATAGGAATCTACATCTTGGAATGAGCAAATAACTTCACTTTTAATTTTTTGTTGACGTTCAAAAGTGTCTTTTTGGTCTAATTGAAATAAAAGTCTACAATAACCCAACATTTTTAGACGACAAGTAAGTTGTTAAGGATATTAGCGTGTTCGAGCAAACAATTAAATTCCTAAGTATTATAATTTTACTATTGGTAAGTTACATATGAAGTTATATATGTGTCATATTTTTGTCTATACTTAGCTAGAATTTAGTAAGCTTGTAAACATACATATCATGGAAAAAACTTTTAACGCTTTGACTGCCAATAAAAAAATTGTTGAAAGTAAATCCTCCGCTAACGTTGGTCACCGCTGACCCCCATGGTGTTTAACGTGTTAAGTTATCAGAAGATCAGAAGTTATCAGAAGATTATCACAGGCTTGTGTCTGGAATTGCCTAGTTGTTTTATTGTGACATTTTCTTTCCCTAGCTGTTACATTTTTTGTATTTTGAAGTCAAAGTCAAACCATTTATTTCAATTAAACCATCATTTGGTACTTTTGTAATGTCAACAGATACAAAATAAATAATAGTCTGTCAATCAGTCCGTCAGTGAAGCTAGGTGATTAGGCGATACGATATGAAACTCAACTAATATTCTATGTATCTACTTATCTAGTTGGAAAACATTTAAAAAAAGCACCCATTATAAAACATTTTTGTAATTCAAATTCCAAGAATGTGTTAGAATTATTTCTGTTGAATAATGAATTTAAATGTCTACCGAAACAGAGGAAAATTGAAGGAAATGTGGATAGATTGATTGAAAAAAAGCCCAGTAAAATTAATATTATGTGTAAAACTAGTGATGAGACATCATATCAATTATATGTCGGGGATGTCTCAATCATTGAACTGTTTCTGAAGTGGTCCATTGACTACTTCGCACACCATGGTGTTCAAAAAGCTAAAAGACAGGAAGGCCAATTACCATTATTACTTTTTTTTTAATATATACCTGCAATAATTGAAGATGGGTACACACACCACTGGGCGTTCTCCATACATGTCACAATACATGAATCTCTTAACCACCAGTTAAATGCCCAACTGGGCAGGTTGCAGGGAAATAAGGAGATTATAAAAAAAAATATATATATCCCAGGTGGGGTTTTTCTCCTATACATACAACACCACTGTTACCACCACCATTGTTGACGTTATCTCCAATGTTTATAGACCCCTTATGTAGACAATAATTTTGAAGATTTTCGGTATGATACATCAAGTGATCTTGCAATGTAAGTAAGTATGTAGTAGTATGTATGTGTAGTGGAATCTTATAAAGGAATTTTGACGCAGATAT